CACGTCAGCACCTGCAGAACCAAACACCAGAAGAAGCGAAGCAACTGGAACAGGATGGGGCAGTCCCGGCCCTGTGCTTGGCCCTTGGGGAGAAGTCCTGACTCCAGAAGAAGCAGCCGCGAGCGGATGGGGCGCCGTTCCAACACAAGAGGGCGCCGCTGGAGGCGGTTGGGGAACCTCAGCCGGAGAAGGATGGGGACCACGAAACTAAAATGAAGCTACGGGACTCCCTCCTGCGGAAGTGGCGGCAGTCGACCCATACTGGGCAACTCGTGGTACCAGCTGGGGCGGTCCACCTCTTCCCGATCAGTACGCCCCTGACACACTAAAGCCCACAGCAGAGGAGTCAGAAGAAGAAGTGACTTACAAGTTCTTCAAAGAAGCAGCAAAATGACCAGAACCTACCGAGGAGCCACCGTCGCCAAAACAAGGGCCTCAGCTGATTGAAGTTATCGGTAACGAGCACTACTACTATCGCATCCCGATGACAGGACTCCCGGCCTCTGAGTGGCCAGATAGAGCCACCTTCCCCCAGCTGCTCGTCACCGGCAACCAAGTTCATGCCGCTGATACAGACGATATCATTGGGATTCCGCGCACCCTTCTGGAACGTAACTTCGTCCGAGCCCTCGCCATTGACGCCGAAGCCGCCGTCGACACAGGACCTGAAAAGGAGCAGAACGACGCATCAGCATGATACGCATACTATCAAAAGACCGTCGAATACCGCTCGGATCCGGGAACATGGCATCAGCGACTCGTACACCCTTCGCACGCAACACTCAAGAACTCACTCAAGGCCGGAGTCTTGGACGAAGGAGCACTACTTCTACATCGAGATGGCTCCCTCACAACAGACTCTGCTGACCCGCTGTGCACCGTCTGTCCGACCGCATCGCTCACCCACAAGCCTTTTCCCGACTTACCCCCGAGATACGAACGTTACAAGCCGCTGGACAAGGTCTACAGCGACTTTATGATTCTCAGTCAGCCGGGGCTTGACGGTGAACAGTACACGCTCATCTTCATTGACGCAAACACGCGCTACGTCTGGGCTGTCAACACCGACTGTCGCTCTCTTGCCTTCGAGTGCTTCGTGGCGTGGATGAAGCGGGCTGAGCGTCAATCTGGAATGAAGCTGAAAAGTTACCAGACAGACGGGTTTGAAGTTCTTCTCAACATAGTTCAAGGAACTCTTCAAGCAGAAGGGGATCGAGCACTTGGTGTCCCTGCCCTACGCTCACGAGCAGCAAGGAGTAGCAGAACGGACAAACAGGAGCCTCGCTACACAGATGAGGGCCCTGATGAAGCAGTCGGCCATTTCAACCCGCTATTGGCCATTTGCGATGAACCGCGCTGTTCGGCTGCACAACTTGCTGTCCTCCCGAAGCCTCGCGAACAACAATTCCCCCTACAGGGCATGGACGGGCAGAAAAGCGGACACGCGTCTGCTTCGAGTGTTCGGCTGCATGGTACAGTACAGGCCCCACACAGCAAGGACCGGAACATTTGTTGACCGGGCGTGCTGGGGCATCCACCTCGGGATCGAAAAAGAATACAAGGCGTGGATCGTGCTGGACTACGTGACACACGACGTGACTGCATCTTCTACGATAAGCTAACTCTGCCACTGTTCAAGGAACACCAAGAAGCTGACAAGGCACCGAAGAGGGTTTTCGAAGGACACTGCAGCTTTGCAACTCCACATGACGAAGGTGACCTGGCATAGGACGCCGATGTAGCAGATGTTACTCAATATGACAGCGCCCCAAGCATCCCCCTTACAAGCTCTCTCAAGACTCCGACATTCATTCCTATACACCAATTTGATCCTGACGATACAACTCGCGAAGCTCACAACTACAACAGCGAGGCGCGCCGATCCCCAGATGCAGAGTTACCACAACCCAACACCTCGCAAGACACCCTCCGCCTCGGCAACGAAAGCGACGACGACGTCGTCGAGGTTACCAGCTTCCACGACTACGATCGCCTTCACTACGAAAAGACCGACGAAACTGGTCTGCGCGTCCTCGGGCTCGCTGTAGCAGTTCGCCACGCCTCTCCCAAGGAACCTACCACAATTCGTCAAGCTCTATCTGGCCCCGACAGTGACAAATGGAGAGCAGCCATGGCCGCAGAAGTCGCGTCGCTGAAAAAGCGTGGAACTTGGAAGCTAGTCCCTCGCTCATCAGCCAAGGGGAGAAAAATCCTCAGCGGGAAGTGGGTGTTCCGCATCAAAACTCTGGCGGACGGCTCAATTGATAAGCGCAAGGCGCGTTGGGTGGTGCGCGGCTTCGAACAAACGCACCTGGTGGACTTCACTCTCAACTACGCACCTGTCGGACGCCACACATCGGTGCGCATTCTCATCTGTATCGCAGCCGTCAGACAACGACCACTCCGTTTAATCGACATCGGCAGCGCATTTCTGTACGCCCCCGTCGGACTCGCCAACCTCACCGCTACTCTACAGCTCCATGGCTACGTAGACGCAGACCACGCAGGAGATGTTGACAACAGACGCTCCCGCACAGGATTCATTTTCCAGCTCCAACCTGCTGGACTCATCTCTTGGAACTCTCAAAAGCAAGAACTCATCGCTCTTTCGTCAGCCGAAGTTGAGTTCATCGCCGCTAGTGCAGCTGTTCGCGAAGGACTGTACCTAATGGAGCTCCTGCAAGAAGCGAAAGTGACGATGAATGGGCACTTCACGTTACTCTGCGACAATCAGAGCGCGATCAAGATCGCAAACAAACCCGGCTTCGTGAACCGCACGAAGCATATCACACTCCGTTACTTCTTCGTCAATGATGAAATCGACAAGGGGAGAGTCAAACTCACGTACTGCCCAACCGATGACATGGCAGCTGACTTTCTGACGAAGAAACTGTCACGTCAACAGTTCCAGCACTGCGCCGACCTCTGCGGGATCACCAAGAAATCCTACGTGGCTCACCTTCCGGAATGAAGGGGAGCGTTGGAATAACCGTAAGGTTATTATATGCATTCCCGAAGGATTCCCACTAACGCGTCTGTTCTTAACAAAACAACGCACTGTACCAGTACCGCAGTAGCTCCTATAGAGCATGCGGAAGGTCGAGAGTCACCTGAAGGTCAACAGTCGAAAGACAGTCAACGGTCGTGACTCTTGACCGACCAGTAGCCGCACGACAGTTAATCGCTGCAACATAGTACGGTAACTGTCGAGAATAGCAATTGTCGTGGTTACTGTAGTTGTGCAATACACTCAATAAGGGAATGTACCCCTCAGAGTACATGGTTATCTTGTTCTCTTTCAACTATTACCAACAAGGTCACTACAAAGACTTTACTGTCTTTCCTAGACTTGGCAGACTTATTCTATTCACTACGATTCCTTGGTTATATCAGCACATTTGACACACCCCCATATGCTACCGGTACAGTAAGTGCAAAATGTCCTATCCGTTGTTCATCATCTAAAATATTCCTGCCCTGCCAGACGAATAACCGTATAAATTTTGAACACACAATGTGTTTTTCAATATCGGCTCACTCTTTCAGCTCAAGCAGGGTTATTTTTTTTTTACCTTAGCTAAGCTGTCCGTACGCCTTCTACCGATGTGCAGATGTTGTGGTCGCCACACATCCGAACGGTTGGATGGACGCGGACGGCGTCCTCGCGTGGCTCGACGGGACGGTGAACCCCTACGTCAACCCCAGGTTCGGAGTCCGCAGCAAGAAGGCGCTGTTGGTGCTTGACTCCTACCGCGGGCACCTCACTGACGCTGTGAAGGCGAAATTCGGCGAGCTGGACATCGTGCCCGCCGTCATACCAGCTGGCTGCACCTCCGAGATCCAGCCACTTGACGTCGCGGTGAATCGTTCATTCAAAGCAGCAGTCCGACAACTGTACCAGGAATGGTTCGAGAGCGAGGGGGTCGACTGCCTGACCGAAAGAGGTGAGCCCACTTCCAACACGTGTTCGATGTGCCTGCGCTTAACTGTCCCCACCCTATTCTGATTGTTGTTGTGTTTCCACGTGTGGCAGGCAACATCCGCAAACCACCTCCAGAGCTGACGCTCAAGTGGATCTCCAAGGCTTGGAAGACCGTGCCCAAGGAGTTGATTGAGCGCTCGTTCCTCACCTGCGGCATCAGCAACGCCCTGGATGGGTCCCAGGACAATCTCTGCATGCAGCATCGGCGGGACGCCGTCAAGGGTGAAGTAGAACTAGACGAAGAGATTGCAGCAGATGGATTCTGCTGCAACAACGTAGAGGAGCCAGAGTCGGACGGCGAGGCCGACCAAGATGGCTCCGCCACTGTTGATGGCGATGTATAGGATGTGTAGGTAGATTAGATTTTAGAGAAGATTTTCAATGTTGCGGCAAACTTTTAGTAAAATGTTGTTATGCATGAAATATTAGAGCCTGTAAAACAGCCTGTAAAAGATAGGATTATAATAGTAGAGTTTAAAAAAGAATGGCGCTTATAATCTGTAACGATATTGGGGGCGCTTATAATCTGTAAGCCTCTAGGGGTGCGCTTATAATCGAGGACCGGATATAAGCGCCATCACCCTTTTATAACCGCCGGCGCTTATCCGAGGCCTGCGCTTATATCCGGGGGCTTACGGTAGGCTAGAACTAAAATTTGCATAGAGGCTTAAAATGACGGGGTAAAATACCGTACTAGCCAACCACATTTGGGAGCTGGAAACGGTGCTGGACAATATTAAAAGAGGTTGCTTGCGGTAGTTCAGATGCCGGGGAAGCCGAAGTAGGGGTGTGGCCGTGGTGCAGGCTGTGTGGGTCTGGGTGCTGACATGTTGCGATACATCTCTATCACCTGCCACCATGCCCCATGCACCATGCACCATGCCCCATGCCCCATGCCCCATGCACCATGCACCATGCACCATGCACCATGCCCCATGCACCATGCACCATGCACCATGCACCATGCACACCATGCACCATGCAGCATGCAGCATACACCATGCTCCATCAACCAAGCTCACACACGGTCATGCATCACCATTCCAAGGGCACGAAGCACCACCAACAGGAAAGGAAGTTCAGTATAACCTTCTCTAAATGTTGTGCTTAACCCAACTCCCTGCATCCCTTCTCCACCCAATTCCACCTCCTGCCCCCCAACCCCACCATGTGCCGCACCCACCTGCAGGGCCATGGTCTTGGCAGCAGCAGCAGCGCCAGAGGGGCGGTGGGAGCCGGGGCTGGGGCCAGCAGGGAGGGACGAGGGAGAGGTGGCAGCAGCAGCAGCGGCGGCGGAGGCAGCTCGCTCCAACACTGCCAGTGCCTCGGGTGTCAGGCCCTGTGCTCTCGCTAGTGGCAGTGCCTGGTGGGCGTGGTGGCACACATGGGGCGGGGGGAAGGGAGAAGTTGAGTGAGAACGGGTCGACGGTGAGCGCGGGATGGCAGGGCGGATCCCGGCAGACACACGCTTGCTGTCGTGCAAGTGTGCTTCTCACCTCGCCTTGAAGGCGCGTCTCACCAGGCAGGGGCGTCTCACCAGGCAGGGGCGTCTCACCAGGCAGGGGCGTCTCACCAGGTGGAGGAGGTTGAAGATGTCAGCAGGGCGGTTGTTGGGCACAAACCGAATCTCCTCCAACACCTCCGCCCACTCCCTTGCCGCTGCTGCCCCACCTGCGGCTGCTGCCATGCCTGGAGCTCCCACCCCTGCCGATGCTGCTGCTGCTGCATGCTGCCCCGTGATAAGCCCCTGCTGCCTTGATGCTGACGTGACGCCTTGTCCCATCACCTGCTGCTGTGCCACCTGTTGCTGCCCCATGTGCGGCTGCTGCTGTGGCTGAAGGCCCATGACGGGTTGCTGGCCCATGACAGGGGCATACTGACCCATCACCCCATGCGTCGCCATGCCCATCCCTGCCACCCCATGCATCTCACCGCCTCCCCGCGCACCTCCACCTGCCCCCATGGCCCCACCGGCTGCCACCATCCCACCTGCTGCAGCCATGCCCCCATGAGCGTCCACAGCGCTCACCCTGCCTGCACCCATCCCACCCATCATGCCACTCCCTCTCGCCCCGCCTGCCACCCCTCCTGTGCTTTCAACTGCCTCCTGCTGCTGCCTTTGCTGCAACAGTTGTTGTTGCTGCTGATGCACCTGCTGCTGCTGCTGCTGCTTGTGCTGTTGCTGTTGACGCTGCTGTTGCTGGTGCTGCTGATGCTGTTGTTGCTGCTGCTGGCGCTGATGCTGCTGCTGTTGCTGCTGCTGCTGCTGCTGATGCTGCTGCTGATGCTGCTGCTGATGCTGCTGCTGATGCTGCTGCTGCTGCTGCTGCTGTTGCTCCTCGTGACGCTGTTGCTGCTGCTCTTGCTGCTGTGCGGCCCCTTGCACGAGTGGCTGATGCCCTCTCACAGTCTGCACAGCAGCAGCAGCAGCGGCAGCAGGCGCTCCGCCCCGCACGCTGTGGCTGTGGAAGGGCACACTTTGCTCCAACTCCTGCCAGGGGCCCGCAAGGGGGGGGGTGTGTGGGGGTGATGAGGAGAATGAGTGGTTGGGTAGGCAACTCCCAGGGGCATGGCGGGGCAGAAGCATAGCGGTTGACCAGCCACAGTGAGAACGCTTCTCCACGGCTGCTTGCCATAACGGTGGCTCACTGCAGTGCCTGTGGGCACATGGTGTGCTGGGTGACAGGCCACTAGATGCTTCGGGAGACGGGCGCGCAGTGCATGTGCGGGCGTGCATGTGCGGGCGTGCATGTGCGGGCGTGCGGGTGTGTGTGATGCCATGGATCAAAGCCATGATTGTGCCCTTCACCATTAAAGAGCACACATATGCACCAAACACGCAAGCAGGCATGTACACATGCGTAAACTTGCACATGCATGAACACACACACACAGAGCAGTTCCCACACCCAGCAGTTCCGGGGCATCCACTTAGACCCACCCCCGGGCGTCCACTTAGACGCACATGGAGATGCACACACATGGAGATGCACGCACATGGAGATGCACACACATGGAGATGCACGCACATGGAGATGCACGCACACAGCACCCAACCCCCACACCCAGTCATTTTCACACCCACCTGGCAGCAGTCATTTCCACACCCACCTGGCAGCAGTCATTTCCACACCCACCTGGCAGCAGTCATTTCCACACCCACCTGGCAGCAGTCATTTCCACACCCACCTGGCAGCAGTCATTTCCACACCCACCTGGCAGCAGTCATTTCCACACCCACCTGGCAGCAGTCATTTCCACTCCCACCTGGCAGCAGTCATTTCCACACCCACCTGGCAGCAGTCATTTCCACACCCACCTGGCAGCAGTCATTTCCACACCCACCTGGCAGCAGTCATTTCCACACCCACCTGGCAGCAGTCATTTCCACACCCACCTGGCAGCAGTCATTTCCACACCCACCTGGCAGCAGTCATTTCCACACCCACCTGGCAGCAGTCATTTCCACACCCACCTGGCAGCAGTCATTTCCACACCCACCTGGCAGCAGTCATTTCCACACCCACCTGGCAGCAGGGGCAGATGGTGATGCGCACTTGCGGCTGCACGCGGAACCTTCTCAGAAACGAGGGCTCGCAGTCGACAGAGGAGGGTGGCACGTGCAGGGAGCACCAGGAGGAGGGGCAGCTGCGGCACACCACCGCCACTGCTGCCCGGCACCCGCGCTGCTTGCACTGATGCCTCGGGCAGATGAACGGGCAGCCGTCCTGATTGCAACGCAGAGAGTGACAGTAGGTGGGCAAAGGCAAGGAGGCAGGACGTGGGAGTGAGCGGAGAGCGAGGGAAGGTGGAAGCAGCAGAGTGGGTGAGAGTACGGCAAAGAGGCAAGCGCAGGTGAGAGGAGACTCCATGCTTGCTGCAAGGAGAAGGCACGGCCATGGGGCCAAGGCCATGGGGGCAAGGCCATGGAGCTGAAACACCAAACTTCAAACAATCCTGCTTCCCACATTGACTCACCTTCACCCATGGACTCACCTTCACCCATTGTCGGAGAACCTTCCTCCTCTCAGCCGCCGCTCTTCTTCATGCACCTCCTCTTCACCCTGCACCTGCTCTTCACCCTGCACCTGTTCTTCACCCTGCACCTGTTCTTCACCCTGCACCTGTTCTTCACCCTGCACCTGTTCTTCACCCTGCACCTGTTCTTCACCCTGCACCTGTTCTTCACCCTGCACCTGTTCTTCACCCTGCACCTGTTCTTCACCCTGCACCTGTTCTTCACCCTGCACCTGTTCTTCACCCTGCACCTGTTCTTCACCCTGCACCTGTTCTTCACCCTGCACCTGTTCTTCACCCTGCACCTGTTCTTCACCCTGCACCTGTTCTTCACCCTGCACCTGTTCTTCACCCTGCACCTGTTCTTCACCCTGCACCTGTTCTTCACCCTGCACCTGTTCTTCACCCTGCACCTGTTCTTCACCCTGCACCTGTTCTTCACCCTGCACCTGTTCTTCACCCTGCACCTGTTCTTCACCCTGCACCTGTTCTTCACCCTGCACCTGTTCTTCACCCTGCACCTGTTCTTCACCCTGCACCTGTTCTTCACCCTGCACCTGTTCTTCACCCTGCACCTGTTCTTCACCCTGCACCTGTTCTTCACCCTGCACCTGTTCTTCACCCTGCACCTGTTCTTCACCCTGCACCTGTTCTTCACCCTGCACCTGTTCTTCACCCTGCACCTGTTCTTCACCCTGCACCTGTTCTTCACCCTGCACCTGTTCTTCACCCTGCACCTGTTCTTCACCCTGCACCTGTTCTTCACCCTGCACCTGTTCTTCACCCTGCACCTGTTCTTCACCCTGCACCTGTTTCTTCACCCTGCACCTGTTCTTCACCCTGCACCTGTTCTTCACCCTGCACCTGTTCTTCACCCTGCACCTGTTCTTCACCCTGCACCTGTTCTTCACCCTGCACCTGTTCTTCACCCTGCACCTGTTCTTCACCCTGCACCTGTTCTTCACCCTGCACCTGTTCTTCACCCTGCACCTGTTCTTCACACTGCACCTGTTCTTCACCCTGCACCTGTTCTTCACCCTGCACCTGTTCTTCACCCTGCACCTGTTCTTCACCCTGCACCTGTTCTTCACCCTGCACCTGTTCTTCACCCTGCACCTGTTCTTCACCCTGCACCTGTTCTTCACCCTGCACCTGTTCTTCACCCTGCACCTGTTCTTCACCCTGCACTTGTTCTTCACCCTGCACCTGTTCTTCACCCTGCACCTGTTCTTCACCCTGCACCTGTTCTTCACCCTGCACCTGCTCTTCACCCTGCACCTGTTCTTCACCCTGCACCTCCTCTTCACCCTGCACCTCCTCTTCACCCTGCACCTGTTCTTCACCCTGCACCTGTTCTTCACCCTGCACCTGCTCTTCACCCTGCACCTGTTCTTCACCCTGCACCTGCTCTTCACCCTGCACCTGTTCTTCACCCTGCACCTGTTCTTCACCCTGCACCTGTTCTTCACACTGCACCTGTTCTTCACCCTGCACCTGTTCTTCACCCTGCACCTGTTCTTCACCCTGCACCTGTTCTTCACCCTGCACCTGTTCTTCACCCTGCACCTGTTCTTCACCCTGCACCTGTTCTTCACCCTGCACCTGTTCTTCACCCTGCACCTGTTCTTCACCCTGCACCTGTTCTTCACCCTGCACCTGTTCTTCACCCTGCACCTGTTCTTCACCCTGCACCTGTTCTTCACCCTGCACCTGTTCTTCACCCTGCACCTGCTCTTCACCCTGCACCTGTTCTTCACCCTGCACCTCCTCTTCACCCTGCACCTCCTCTTCACCCTGCACCTGTTCTTCACCCTGCACCTGTTCTTCACCCTGCACCTGCTCTTCACCCTGCACCTGCTCTTCACCCTGCACCTGCTCTTCACCCTGCACCTGTTCTTCACCCTGCACCTGTTCTTCACCCTGCACCTGTTCTTCACCCTGCACCTGCTCTTCACCCTGCACCTGTTCTTCACCCTGCACCTGCTCTTCACCCTGCACCTGTTCTTCACCCTGCACCTCCTCTTCACCCTGCACCTCCTCTTCACCCCGCACCTCCTCTTCACCCTGCACCTCCTCTTCACCCTGCACCTCCTCTTCACCCTGCACCTCCTCTTCACCCTGCACCTGCTCTTCACCCTGCACCTGCTCTTCACCCTGCACCTCCTCTTCACCCCGCACCTGCTCTTCACCCTGCACCTCCTCTTCACCCTGCACCTGCTCTTCACCCTGCACCTGCTCTTCACCCTGCACCTGCTCTTCACCCTGCACCTGTTCTTCACCCTGCACCTGCTCTTCACCCTGCACCTGTTCTTCACCCTGCACCTGCTCTTCACCCTGCACCTGCTCTTCACCCTGCACCTGCTCTTCACCCTGCACCTGCTCTTCACCCTGCACCTCCTCTTCACCCTGCACCTGCTCTTCACCCCGCACCTCCTCTTCACCCTGCACCTGCTCTTCACCCTGCACCTGCTCTTCACCCTGCACCTCCTCTTCACCCTGCACCTGCTCTTCACCCTGCACCTGCTCTTCACCCTGCACCTGCTCTTCACCCTGCACCTGCTCTTCACCCTGCACCTGCTCTTCACCCTGCACCTCCTCTTCACCCTGCACCTGCTCTTCACCCTGCACCTGCTCTTCACCCTGCACCTGCTCTTCACCCTGCACCTGTTCTTCACCCTGCACCTGTTCTTCACCCTGCACCTGCTCTTCACCCTGCACCTGCTCTTCACCCTGCACCTGTTCTTCACCCTGCACCTGCTCTTCACCCTGCACCTGTTCTTCACCCTGCACCTGCTCTTCACCCTGCACCTCCTCTTCACCCTGCACCTGCTCTTCACCCTGCACCTGCTCTTCACCCTGCACCTGCTCTTCACCCTGCACCTGCTCTTCACCCTGCACCTGCTCTTCACCCTGCACCTCCTCTTCACCCTGCACCTGCTCTTCACCCTGCACCTCCTCTTCACCCTGCACCTGCTCTTCACCCTGCACCTGCTCTTCACCCTGCACCTGCTCTTCACCCTGCACCTGTTCTTCACCCTGCACCTGCTCTTCACCCTGCACCTGTTCTTCACCCTGCACCTGCTCTTCACCCTGCACCTGTTCTTCACCCTGCACCTGTTCTTCACCCTGCACCTGTTCTTCACCCTGCACCTGCTCTTCACCCTGCACCTCCTCTTCACCCTGCACCTGCTCTTCACCCTGCACCTCCTCTTCACCCTGCACCTGCTCTTCACCCTGCACCTGCTCTTCACCCTGCACCTGTTCTTCACCCTGCACCTCCTCTTCACCCTGCACCTGCTCTTCACCCTGCACCTCCTCTTCACCCTGCACCTGCTCTTCACCCTGCACCTGCTCTTCACCCTGCACCTGCTCTTCACCCTGCACCTGCTCTTCACCCTGCACCTCCTCTTCACCCTGCACCTGCTCTTCACCCTGCACCTGCTCTTCACCCTGCACCTGCTCTTCACCCTGCACCTGCTCTTCACCCTGCACCTGTTCTACCCTGCACCTGCTCTTCACCCTGCACCTGCTCTTCACCCTGCACCTCCTCTTCACCCTGCACCTGCTCTTCACCCTGCACCTGCTCTTCACCCTGCACCTGCTCTTCACCCTGCACCTGCTCTTCACCCTGCACCTCCTCTTCACCCTGCACCTGTTCTTCACCCTGCACCTGCTCTTCACCCTGCACCTCCTCTTCACCCTGCACCTGCTCTTCACCCTGCACCTCCTCTTCACCCTGCACCTCCTCTTCACCCTGCACCTGCTCTTCACCCTGCACCTCCTCTTCACCCTGCACCTGCTCTTCACCCTGCACCTGCTCTTCACCCTGCACCTGCTCTTCACCCTGCACCTCCTCTTCACCCTGCACCTGCTCTTCACCCTGCACCTGTTCTTCACCCTGCACCTGCTCTTCACCCTGCACCTCCTCTTCACCCTGCACCTGCTCTTCACCCTGCACCTGCTCTTCACCCTGCACCTGTTCTTCACCCTGCACCTCCTCTTCACCCTGCACCTGCTCTTCACCCTGCACCTGCTCTTCACCCTGCACCTGTTCTTCACCCTGCACCTGCTCTTCACCCTGCACCTCCTCTTCACCCTGCACCTGCTCTTCACCCTGCACCTCCTCTTCACCCTGCACCTGCTCTTCACCCTGCACCTGCTCTTCACCCTGCACCTGCTCTTCACCCTGCACCTGCTCTTCACCCTGCACCTGCTCTTCACCCTGCACCTCCTCTTCACCCTGCACCTGCTCTTCACCCTGCACCTGCTCTTCACCCTGCACCTGCTCTTCACCCTGCACCTGCTCTTCACCCTGCACCTGCTCTTCACCCTGCACCTCCTCTTCACCCTGCACCTGCTCTTCACCCTGCACCTGCTCTTCACCCTGCACCTCCTCTTCACCCTGCACCTGCTCTTCACCCTGCACCTGCTCTTAACCCTGCACCTGCTCTTCACCCTGCACCTGCTCTTCACCCTGCACCTGCTCTTCACCCTGCACCTGCTCTTCACCCTGCACCTGCTCTTCACCCTGCACCTGCTCTTCACCCTGCACCTGCTCTTCACCCTGCACCTGTTCTTCACCCTGCACCCTGCTCTTCACCCTGCACCTCCTCTTCACCCTGCACCTGCTCTTCACCCTGCACCTGCTCTTCACCCTGCACCTGCTCTTCACCCTGCACCTGCTCTTCACCCTGCACCTCCTCTTCACCCTGCACCTGCTCTTCACCCTGCACCTGCTCTTCACCCTGCACCTGCTCTTCACCCTGCACCTGCTCTTCACCCTGCACCTGCTCTTCACCCTGCACCTCCTCTTCACCCTGCACCTGCTCTTCACCCTGCACCTGCTCTTCACCCTGCACCTGCTCTTCACCCTGCACCTGCTCTTCACCCTGCACCTGCTCTTCACCCTGCACCTGCTTCTTCACCCTGCACCTGCTTCTTCACCTTGCACCTGCCTCTTCACCCTTGCACCTGCTCTTCACCCTGCACCTGCTCTTCACCCTGCACCTGTTCTTCACCCTGCACCTGTTCTTCACCCTGCACCTGTTCTTCACCCTGCACCTGCTCTTCACCCTGCACCTCCTCTTCACCCTGCACCTGCTCTTCACCCTGCACCTCCTCTTCACCCTGCACCTGCTCTTCACCCTGCACCTGCTCTTCACCCTGCACCTGCTCTTCACCCTGCACCTGCTCTTCACCCTGCACCTGTTCTTCACCCTGCACCTGTTCTTCACCCTGCACCTGCTCTTCACCCTGCACCTCCTCTTCACCCTGCACCTGCTCTTCACCCTGCACCTGCTCTTCACCCTGCACCTGCTCTTCACCCTGCACCTGTTCTTCACCCTGCACCTGTTCTTCACCCTGCACCTGCTCTTCACCCTGCACCTCCTCTTCACCCTGCACCTGCTCTTCACCCTGCACCTGTTCTTCACCCTGCACCTGTTCTTCACCCTGCACCTGTTCTTCACCCTGCACCTGTTCTTCACCCTGCACCTGCTCTTCACCCTGCACCTCCTCTTCACCCTGCACCTGCTCTTCACCCTGCACCTCCTCTTCACCCTGCACCTGCTCTTCACCCTGCACCTGCTCTTCACCCTGCACCTGCTCTCACCCTGCACCTCCTCTTCACCCTGCACCTCCTCTTCACCCTGCACCTCCTCTTCACCCTGCACCTGCTCTTCACCCTGCACCTCCTCTTCACCCTGCACCTGCTCTTCACCCTGCACCTGCTCTTCACCCTGCACCTCCTCTTCACCCTGCACCTGCTCTTCACCCTGCACCTGTTCTTCACCCTGCACCTGTTCTTCACACTGCACCTGTGCTTCACCCTGCACCTGTTCTTCACCCTGCACCTGCTCTTCACCCTGCACCTGCTCTTCACCCTGCACCTGCTCTTCACCCTGCACGTGCTCTTCACCCTGCACCTGTTCTTCACCCTGCACCTGCTCTTCACCCTGCACCTGTTCTTCACCCTGCACCTGTTCTTCACCCTGCACCTGTTCTTCACCCCCCTGCTCTTCACCCTGCACTCCTCTCACCCTGCACCTGCTCTTCACCCTGCACCTCCTCTTCACCCTGCACCTGCTCTTCACCCTGCACCTGCTCTTCACCCTGCACCTGTTCTTCACCCTGCCCCTCCTCTTCACCCTGCACCTGCTCTTCACCCTGCACCTCCTCTTCACCCTGGCACCTGCTCTTCACCTGCACCTGCTCTTCACACCTGCACCTGCTCTTCACCCTGCACCTGCTCTTCACCCTGCACCTGCTCTTCACCCTGCACCTCCTCTTCACCCTGCACCTGCTCTTCACCGCCTGCACCTGCTCTTCACCCTGCACCTGCTCTTCACCCTGCAGCATGCTCTTCACCCTGCACCTCCTCTTCACCCTGCACCTGTTCTTCACCCTGCACCTGCTCTTCACCCCTTCACCTCCTCTTCACCCTGCACCTGCTCTTCACCCTGCACCTCCTCTTCCACCCTGCACCTCTCTTCACCCTGCACCTCCTCTTCACCCTGCACCTGCTCTTCACCCTGCACCTGCTCTTCACCCTGCACCTGCTCTTCACCCTGCACCTGCTCTTCACCCTGCACCTGCTCTTCACCCTGCACCTGCTCTTCACCCTGCACCTGCTCTTCACCCTGCACCTCCTCTTCACCCTGCACCTGCTCTTCACCCTGCACCTGCTCTTCACCCTGCACCTGCTCTTCACCCTGCACCTGCTCTTCACCCTGCACCTGCTCTTCACCCTGCACCTGCTCTTCACCCTGCACCTGCTCTTCACCCTGCACCTGCTCTTCACCCTGCACCTGCTCTTCACCCTGCACCTGCTCTTCACCCTGCACCTCCTCTTCACCCTGCACCTGCTCTTCACCCTGCACCTGCTCTTCACCCTGCACCTGCTCTTCACCCTGCACCTGCTCTTCACCCTGCACCTGCTCTTCACCCTGCACCTCCTCTTCACCCTGCACCTGCTCTTCACCCTGCACCTGCTCTTCACCCTGCACCTGCTCTTCACCCTGCACCTGCTCTTCACCCTGCACCTGCTCTTCACCCTGCACCTGCTCTTCACCCTGCACCTGCTCTTCACCCTGCACCTGCTCTTCACCCTGCACCTGCTCTTCACCCTGCACCTGCTCTTCACCCTGCACCTGCTCTTCACCCTGCACCTGCTCTTCACCCTGCACCTCCTCTTCACCCTGCACCTGCTCTTCACCCTGCACCTGCTCTTCACCCTGCACCTGCTCTTCACCCTGCACCTGCTCTTCACCCTGCACCTGCTCTTCACCCTGCACCTGCTCTTCACCCTGCACCTGCTCTTCACCCTGCACCTCCTCTTCACCCTGCACCTGCTCTTCACCCTGCACCTGCTCTTCACCCTGCACCTGCTCTTCACCCTGCACCTGCTCTTCACCCTGCACCTGCTCTTCACCCTGCACCTGCTCTTCACCCTGCACCTGCTCTTCACCCTGCACCTGCTCTTCACCCTGCACCTGTTCTTCACCCTGGCACCTGTGTCTTGCACCCTGCACCTGCTCTTCACCCTGCACCTCCTCTTCACCCTGCACCTGCTCTTCACCCTGCACCTGCTCTTCCCCCTGCACCTGCTCTTCACCTGCACCTGCTCTTCACCCTGCACCTCCTCTTCACCTGCACCTGCTCTTCACCCTGCACCTGCTCTTCACCCTGCACCTGCTCTTCACCCTGCACCTGCTCTTCACCCTGCACCTCCTCTTCACCTGCACCTCCTCTTCACCCTGCACCTGCTCTTCACCCTGCACCTGCTCTTCACCCTGCACCTGCTCTTCACCCGGCACCTGCTCTTCCACCCTGCACCTGCTCTTCACCTGCACCTGTTCTTCACCCTGCACCTGCCTCTTCACCTTGCACCTCCTCTTCACCCTGCACCTGCTCTTCACCCTGCACCTGTTCTTCACCCTGCACCTGTTCTTCACCCTGCACCTGTTCTTCACCCTGCACCTGTTCTTCACCCTGCACCTGCTCTTTCACCCTGCACTTGTCACCCTCCCTGCTTCACCCTGCACCTCCTTCACCCTGCACCTGCTCTTCACCCTGCCCTGCTCTTCACCCTCACTGCTCTTCACCCTGCACCTGCCTCTTCACCCTGCACCTCCTCTTCACCCTGCACCTCCTCTTCACCCTGCACCTCCTCTTCACCCTGCACCTCCTCTTCACCCTGCACCTGCTCTTCACCCTGCACCTGCTCTTCACCCTGCACTGCTCTTCACCCTGCACCTCCTCTTCACCCTGCACCTCCTCTTCACCCTGCACCTCCTCTTCACCCTGCACCTGCTCTTCACCCTGCACCTCCTCTTCACCCTGCACCTGCTCTTCACCCTGCACCTGTTCTTCACCCTGCACCTGTTCTTCACCCTGCACCTGTTCTTCACCCTGCACCTGTTCTTCACCCTGCACCTGCTCTTCACCCTGCACCTCCTCTTCACCCTGCACCTGCTCTTCACCCTGCACCTACTCTTCACCCTGCACCTGCTCTTCACCCTGCACCTGCTCTTCACCCTGCACCTGCTCTTCACCCTGCACCTCCTCTTCACCCTGCACCTCCTCTTCACCCTGCACCTCCTCTTCACCCTGCACCTGCTCTTCACCCTGCACCTCCTCTTCACCCTGCACCTGCTCTTCACCCTGCACCTGCTCTTCACCCTGCACCTCCTCTTCACCCTGCACCTGCTCTTCACCCTGCACCTGTTCTTCACCCTGCACCTGTTCTTCACACTGCACCTGTGCTTCACCCTGCACCTGTTCTTCACCCTGCACCTGCTCTTCACCCTGCACCTGCTCTTCACCCTGCACCTGCTCTTCACCCTGCACCTGCTCTTCACCCTGCACCTGCTCTTCACCCTGCACCTGCTCTTCACCTTGCACCTCCTCTTCACCCTGCACCTGCTCTTCACCCTGCACCTGTTCTTCACCCTGCACCTGTTCTTCACCCTGCACCTGTTCTTCACCCTGCACCTGTTCTTCACCCTGCACCTGCTCTTCACCCTGCACCTCCTCTTCACCCTGCACCTGCTCTTCACCCTGCACCTCCTCTTCACCCTGCACCTGCTCTTCACCCTGCACCTGCTCTTCACCCTGCACCCGCTCTTCACCCTGCACCTCCTCTTCACCCTGCACCTCCTCTTCACCCTGCACCTCCTCTTCACCCTGCACCTGCTCTTCACCCTGCACCTCCTCTTCACCCTGCACCTGCTCTTCACCCTGCACCTGCTCTTCACCCTGCACCTCCTCTTCACCCTGCACCTGCTCTTCACCCTGCACCTGTTCTTCACCCTGCACCTGTTCTTCACACTGCACCTGTTCTTCACCCTGCACCTGTTCTTCACCCTGCACCTGCTCTTCACCCTGCACCTGCTCTTCACCCTGCACCTGCTCTTCACCCTGCACCTGCTCTTCAACCCTGCCACCTGTCTTCACCCTGCACCTGTTCTTCACCCTGCACCTGCTCTTCACCCTGCACCTCCTCTTCACCCTGCACCTGCTCTTCACCCTGCACCTGCTCTTCACCCTGCACCTCCTCTTCACCCTGCACCTGCTCCTTCACCCTGCACCTGCTCTCACCCTGCACCTGTTCTTCACCCTGGCACCTGCTCTTCACCCTGCACCTGCTCTCAACACCTGCACCTGCTCTTCACCCTGCCACCTGCTTCGTTCAACCCTGCACCCTGTTTCTTCACCCTGCACCGGTTCTCACCCTGCACTCTGTTCTTCACCGCACCTGCTCACCTGTCTCGTCACCCTGCAACCGTGCTTCTTCCAACCCTGCACCTGCTCTTCACCCTGCACCTGCTCTTCCACCCTGCACCTGCTCTTCACCCTGCACCTGCTCTTCCACCCTGCCCTGCTCTTCACCCTGCACGCTTCTCTTCACCCTGCACCTGCTCTTCACCACTGCACCTGCTCTTCACCCGCCCTGCTATTCAACCCTGCACCTCCTCTTCACCCTGCACCTGTTCTTCACCCTGCACCTGTTCTTCACCCTGCACCTGCTCTTCACCTGCACCTGCTCTTCACCCATGCACCTCCTCTTCACCGCACCTGTTCTTCACCCTGCACCTGTTCTTCACCCTGCACCTGTTCTTCACCTTGCACCTGCTCTTCACCTGCACCTCCTCTTCACCCTGCACCTCCTCTTCACCCTCACCTCTCTTCACCCTGCACCTGCTCTTCACCCTGCACCTGCTCTTCACCCTGCACCTGCTCTTCACCCTGACCTGCTCTTCACCCTGCACCTCCTCTTCACCCTGCACCTGCTCTTCACCCTGCACCTGCTCTTCACCCTGCACCTGCTCTTCACCCTGCACCTGTTCTTCACCCTGCACCTGCTCTTCACCCTGCACCTGCTCTTCACCCTGCACCTGCTCTTCACCCTGCACCTGCTCTTCACCCTGCACCTGCTCTTCACCCTGCACCTGCTCTTCACCCTGCACCTCCTCTTCACCCTGCACCTGCTCTTCACCCTGCACCTCCTCTTCACCCTGCACCTGCTCTTCACCCTGCACCTGCTCTTCACCCTGCACCTGCTCTTCACCCTGCACCTGCTCTTCACCCTGCACCTGCTCTTCACCCTGCACCTGCTCTTCACCCTGCACCTGCTCTTCACCCTGCACCTGCTCTTCACCCTGCACCTGCTCTTCACCCTGCACCTGCTCTTCACCCTGCACCTCCTCTTCACCCTGCACCTGCTCTTCACCCTGCACCTGCTCTTCACCCTGCACCTGCTCTTCACCCTGCACCTGCTCTTCACCCTGCACCTGCTCTTCACCCTGCACCTGCTCTTCACCCTGCACCTGCTCTTCACCCTGCACCTGCTCTTCACCCTGCACCTGCTCTTCACCCTGCACCTGCTCTTCACCCTGCACCTGCTCTTCACCCTGCACCTGCTCTTCACCCTGCACCTGCTCTTCACCCTGCACCTGCTCTTCACCCTGCACCTGCTCTTCACCCTGCACCTGCTCTTCACCCTGCACCTGCTCTTCACCCTGCACCTCCTCTTCACCCTGCACCTGCTCTTCACCCTGCACCTGCTCTTCACCCTGCACCTGCTCTTCACCCTGCACCTGCTCTTCACCCTGCACCTGCTCTTCACCCTGCACCTGCTCTTCACCCTGCACCTGCTCTTCACCCTGCACCTGCTCTTCACCCTGCACCTGCTCTTCACCCTGCACCTGCTCTTCACCCTGCACCTGCTCTTCACCCTGCACCTGCTCTTCACCCTGCACCTGCTCTTCACCCTGCACCTGCTCTTCACCCTGCACCTGCTCTTCACCCTGCACCTGCTCTTCACCCTGCACCTGCTCTTCACCCTGCACCTGTTCTTCACCCTGCACCTGCTCTTCACCCTGCACCTGCTCTTCACCCTGCACCTGCTCTTCACCCTGCACCTGCTCTTCACCCTGCACCTGCTCTTCACCCTGCACCTGCTCTTCACCCTGCACCTCCTCTTCACCCTGCACCTCCTCTTCACCCTGCACCTCCTCTTCACCCTGCACCTCCTCTTCACCCTGCACCTCCTCTTCACCCTGCACCTCCTCTTCACCCTGCACCTCCTCTTCACCCTGCACCTGCTCTTCACCCTGCACCTGCTCTTCACCCTGCACCCTCTTCACCCTGCACCTCCTCTTCACCCTGCACCTCCTCTTCACCCTGCACCTCCTCTTCACCCTGCACCTCCTCTTCACCCTGCACCTCCTCTTCACCCTGCACCTCCTCTTCACCCTGCACCTCCTCTTCACCCTGCACCTCCTCTTCACCCTGCACCTCCTCTTCACCCTGCACCTCCTCTTCACCCTGCACCTCCTCTTCACCCTGCACCTCCTCTTCACCCTGCACCTCCTCTTCACCCTGCACCTCCTCTTCACCCTGCACCTCCTCTTCACCCTGCACCTCCTCTTCACCCTGCACCTCCTCTTCACCCTGCACCTCCTCTTCACCCTGCACCTCCTCTTCACCCTGCACCTCCTCTTCACCCTGCACCTCCTCTTCACCCTGCACCTCCTCTTCACCCTGCACCTCCTCTTCACCCTGCACCTCCTCTTCACCCTGCACCTCCTCTTCACCCTGCACCTCCTCTTCACCCTGCACCTCCTCTTCACCCTGCACCTCCTCTTCACCCTGCACCTCCTCTTCACCCTGCACCTCCTCTTCACCCTGCACCTCCTCTTCACCCTGCACCTCCTCTTCACCCTGCACCTCCTCTTCACCCTGCACCTCCTCTTCACCCTGCACCTCCTCTTCACCCTGCACCTCCTCTTCACCCTGCACCTCCTCTTCACCCTGCACCTCCTCTTCACCCTGCACCTCCTCTTCACCCTGCACCTCCTCTTCACCCTGCACCTCCTCTTCACCCTGCACCTCCTCTTCACCCTGCACCTCCTCTTCACCCTGCACCTCCTCTTCACCCTGCACCTCCTCTTCACCCTGCACCTCCTCTTCACCCTGCACCTCCTCTTCACCCTGCACCTCCTCTTCACCCTGCACCTCCTCTTCACCCTGCACCTCCTCTTCACCCTGCACCTCCTCTTCACCCTGCACCTCCTCTTCACCCTGCACCTCCTCTTCACCCTGCACCTCCTCTTCACCCTGCACCTCCTCTTCACCCTGCACCTCCTCTTCACCCTGCACCTCCTCTTCACCCTGCACCTCCTCTTCACCCTGCACCTCCTCTTCACCCTGCACCTCCTCTTCACCCTGCACCTCCTCTTCACCCTGCACCTCCTCTTCACCCTGCACCTCCTCTTCACCCTGCACCTCCTCTTCACCCTGCACCTCCTCTTCACCCTGCACCTCCTCTTCACCCTGCACCTCCTCTTCACCCTGCACCTCCTCTTCACCCTGCACCTCCTCTTCACCCTGCACCTCCTCTTCACCCTGCACCTCCTCTTCACCCTGCACCTCCTCTTCACCCTGCACCTCCTCTTCACCCTGCACCTCCTCTTCACCCTGCACCTCCTCTTCACCCTGCACCTCCTCTTCACCCTGCACCTCCTCTTCACCCTGCACCTCCTCTTCACCCTGCACCTCCTCTTCACCCTGCACCTCCTCTTCACCCTGCACCTCCTCTTCACCCTGCACCTCCTCTTCACCCTGCACCTCCTCTTCACCCTGCACCTCCTCTTCACCCTGCACCTCCTCTTCACCCTGCACCTCCTCTTCACCCTGCACCTCCTCTTCACCCTGCACCTCCTCTTCACCCTGCACCTCCTCTTCACCCTGCACCTCCTCTTCACCCTGCACCTCCTCTTCACCCTGCACCTCCTCTTCACCCTGCACCTCCTCTTCACCCTGCACCTCCTCTTCACCCTGCACCTCCTCTTCACCCTGCACCTCCTCTTCACCCTGCACCTCCTCTTCACCCTGCACCTCCTCTTCACCCTGCACCTCCTCTTCACCCTGCACCTCCTCTTCACCCTGCACCTCCTCTTCACCCTGCACCTCCTCTTCACCCTGCACCTCCTCTTCACCCTGCACCTCCTCTTCACCCTGCACCTCCTCTTCACCCTGCACCTCCTCTTCACCCTGCACCTCCTCTTCACCCTGCACCTCCTCTTCACCCTGCACCTCCTCTTCACCCTGCACCTCCTCTTCACCCTGCACCTCCTCTTCACCCTGCACCTCCTCTTCACCCTGCACCTCCTCTTCACCCTGCACCTCCTCTTCACCCTGCACCTCCTCTTCACCCTGCACCTCCTCTTCACCCTGCACCTCCTCTTCACCCTGCACCTCCTCTTCACCCTGCACCTCCTCTTCACCCTGCACCTCCTCTTCACCCTGCACCTCCTCTTCACCCTGCACCTCCTCTTCACCCTGCACCTCCTCTTCACCCTGCACCTCCTCTTCACCCTGCACCTCCTCTTCACCCTGCACCTCCTCTTCACCCTGCACCTCCTCTTCACCCTGCACCTCCTCTTCACCCTGCACCTCCTCTTCACCCTGCACCTCCTCTTCACCCTGCACCTCCTCTTCACCCTGCACCTCCTCTTCACCCTGCACCTCCTCTTCACCCTGCACCTCCTCTTCACCCTGCACCTCCTCTTCACCCTGCACCTCCTCTTCACCCTGCACCTCCTCTTCACCCTGCACCTCCTCTTCACCCTGCACCTCCTCTTCACCCTGCACCTCCTCTTCACCCTGCACCTCCTCTTCACCCTGCACCTCCTCTTCACCCTGCACCTCCTCTTCACCCTGCACCTCCTCTTCACCCTGCACCTCCTCTTCACCCTGCACCTCCTCTTCACCCTGCACCTCCTCTTCACCCTGCACCTCCTCTTCACCCTGCACCTCCTCTTCACCCTGCACCTCCTCTTCACCCTGCACCTCCTCTTCACCCTGCACCTCCTCTTCACCCTGCACCTCCTCTTCACCCTGCACCTCCTCTTCACCCTGCACCTCCTCTTCACCCTGCACCTCCTCTTCACCCTGCACCTCCTCTTCACCCTGCACCTCCTCTTCACCCTGCACCTCCTCTTCACCCTGCACCTCCTCTTCACCCTGCACCTCCTCTTCACCCTGCACCTCCTCTTCACCCTGCACCTCCTCTTCACCCTGCACCTCCTCTTCACCCTGCACCTCCTCTTCACCCTGCACCTCCTCTTCACCCTGCACCTCCTCTTCACCCTGCACCTCCTCTTCACCCTGCACCTCCTCTTCACCCTGCACCTGCTCTTCACCCTGCACCTCCTCTTCACCCTGCACCTCCTCTTCACCCTGCACCTCCTCTTCACCCTGCACCTCCTCTTCACCCTGCACCTCCTCTTCACCCTGCACCTGCTCTTCACCCTGCACCTCCTCTTCACCCTGCACCTCCTCTTCACCCTGCACCTCCTCTTCACCCTGCACCTCCTCTTCACCCTGCACCTCCTCTTCACCCTGCACCTCCTCTTCACCCTGCACCTCCTCTTCACCCTGCACCTCCTCTTCACCCTGCACCTCCTCTTCACCCTGCACCTCCTCTTCACCCTGCACCTCCTCTTCACCCTGCACCTGCTCTTCACCCTGCACCTCCTCTTCACCCTGCACCTCCTCTTCACCCTGCACCTCCTCTTCACCCTGCACCTCCTCTTCACCCTGCACCTCCTCTTCACCCTGCACCTCCTCTTCACCCTGCACCTCCTCTTCACCCTGCACCTCCTCTTCACCCTGCACCTCCTCTTCACCCTGCACCTCCTCTTCACCCTGCACCTCCTCTTCACCCTGCACCTCCTCTTCACCCTGCACCTCCTCTTCACCCTGCACCTCCTCTTCACCCTGCACCTCCTCTTCACCCTGCACCTCCTCTTCACCCTGCACCTCCTCTTCACCCTGCACCTCCTCTTCACCCTGCACCTCCTCTTCACCCTGCACCGGCTCTTCACCCTGCACCTCCTCTTCACCCTGCACCGGCTCTTCACCCTGCACCTCCTCTTCACCTGCACCGCTCTTTCACCCTGCACCTGCTCTTCACCCTGCACCTGCTCTTCACCCTGCACCTGCTCTTCACCCTGCACCTGCTCTTCACCTGCACCTGCTCTTCACCCTGCACCTGCTCTTCACCCTGCACCTGCTCTTCACCCTGCACCTGCTCTTCACCCTGCACCTCCTCTTCACCCTGCACCTCCTCTTCACCCTGCACCTCCTCTTCACCCTGCACCTCCTCTTCACCCTGCACCTCCTCTTCACCCTGCACCCCTCTGCACCCTGCACTCTCTTCACCCTGCACCTCCTCTTCACCCTGCACCTCCTCTTCACCCTGCACCTCCTCTTCACCCTGCACCTCCTCTTCACCCTGCACCTCCTCTTCACCCTGCACCTCCTCTTCACCCTGCACCTCCTCTTCACCCTGCACCTCCTCTTCACCCTGCACCTCCTCTTCACCCTGCACCTCCTCTTCACCCTGCACCTCCTCTTCACCCTGCACCTCCTCTTCACCCTGCACCTCCTCTTCACCCTGCACCTCCTCTTCACCCTGCACCTCCTCTTCCCTGCACCTCCTCTTCACCCTGCACCTCCTCTTCACCCTGCACCTCCTCTTCACCCTGCACCTCCTCTTCACCCTGCACCTCCTCTTCACCCTGCACCTCCTCTTCACCCTGCACCTCCTCTTCACCCTGCACCTCCTCTTCACCCTGCACCTCCTCTTCACCCTGCACCTCCTCTTCACCCTGCACCTGCTCTTCACCCTGCACCTCCTCTTCACCCTGCACCGCTCTTCACCTGCACCCTCTTCACCCTGCACCTCCTCTTCACCCTGCACCTCCTCTTCACCCTGCACCTCCTCTTCACCCTGCACCTCTCTTCACCCTGCACCTCACCCTGCACCTCCTCTTCACCCTGCACCTCCTCTTCACCCTGCACCTCCTCTTCACCCTGCACCTCCTCTTCACCCTGCACCTCCTCTTCACCCTGCACCTCCTCTTCACCCTGCACCTCCTCTTCACCCTGCACCTCCTCTTCACCCTGCACCTCCTCTTCACCCTGCACCTCCTCTTCACCCTGCACCTCCTCTTCACCCTGCACCTCCTCTTCACCCTGCACCTCCTCTTCACCCTGCACCTCCTCTTCACCCTGCACCTCCTCTTCACCCTGCACCTCCTCTTCACCCTGCACCTCCTCTTCACCCTGCACCTCCTCTTCACCCTGCACCTCCTCTTCACCCTGCACCTCCTCTTCACCCTGCACCTCCTCTTCACCCTGCACCTCCTCTTCACCCTGCACCTCCTCTTCACCCTGCACCTCCTCTTCACCCTGCACCTGCTCTTCACCCTGCACCTGCTTCACCTGCCTCCTCTTCACCCTGCACCTCTTCACCCCTCTTCACCCTGCACCTCCTCTTCACCCTGCACCTCCTCTTCACCCTGCCTCTTCACCCTGCACCTCCTCTTCACCCTGCACCTCCTCTTCACCCTGCACCTCCTCTTCACCCTGCACCTCCTCTTCACCCTGCACCTCCTCTTCACCCTGCACCTGCTCTTCACCCTGCACCTCCTCTTCACCCTGCACCTCCTCTTCACCCTGCACCTCCTCTTCACCCTGCACCTCCTCTTCACCCTGCACCTCCTCTTCACCCTGCACCTCCTCTTCACCCTGCACCTCCTCTTCACCCTGCACCTCCTCTTCACCCTGCACCTCCTCTTCACCCTGCACCTCCTCTTCACCCTGCACCTCCTCTTCACCCTGCACCTCCTCTTCACCCTGCACCTCCTCTTCACCCTGCACCTGCTCTTCACCCTGCACCTGCCTCTTCACCCTGCACCTCCTCTTCACCCTGCACCTCCTCTTCACCCTGCACCTCCTCTTCACCCTGCACCTCCTCTTCACCCTGCACCTCCTCTTCACCCTGCACCTCCTCTTCACCCTGCACCTCCTCTTCACCCTGCACCTGCTCTTCACCCTGCACCTCCTCTTCACCCTGCACCTCCTCTTCACCCTGCACCTCCTCTTCACCCTGCACCTCCTCTTCACCCTGCACCTCCTCTTCACCCTGCACCTCCTCTTCACCCTGCACCTCCTCTTCACCCTGCACCTCCTCTTCACCCTGCACCTCCTCTTCACCCTGCACCTCCTCTTCACCCTGCACCTGCTCTTCACCCTGCACCTCCTCTTCACCCTGCACCTCCTCTTCACCCTGCACCTCCTCTTCACCCTGCACCTCCTCTTCACCCTGCACCTCCTCTTCACCCTGCACCTGCTCTTCACCCTGCACCTCTCTTCAACCTGCACCTCCTCTTCACCCTGCACCTGCTCTTCACCCTGCACCTCCTCTTCACCCTGCACCTGCTCTTCACCCTGCACCTCCTCTTCACCCTGCACCTGCCTCTTCACCCTGCACCTCCTCTTCACCCTGCACCTGCTCTTCACCCTGCACCTGCCTCTTCACCCTGCACCTGCTCTTCACCCTGCACCTCCTCTTCACCCTGCACCTCCTCTTCACCCTGCACCTCCTCTTCACCCTGCACCTCCTCTTCACCCTGCACCTCTCTTCACCCTGCACCTCCTCTTCACCCTGCACCTGCTCTTCACCCTGCACCTCCTCTTCACCCTGCACCTGCTCTTCACCCTGCACCTCTCTTCACCCTGCACCTGCCTCTTCACCTGCACCTGCTCTTCACCCTGCACCTGCTCTTCACCCTGCACCTGCTCTTCACCCTGCACCTCCTCTTCACCCTGCACCTGCTCTTCACCCTGCACCTCCTCTTCACCCTGCACCTCCTCTTCACCCTGCACCTGCTCTTCACCCTGCACCTGCTCTTCACCCTGCACCTCCTCTTCCCCTGCACCTGCTCTTCACCCTGCACCTCTCTTCACCCTGCACCTCCTCTTCACCCTGCACCTCCTCTTCACCCTGCACCTCCTCTTCACCCTGCACCTCCTCTTCACCCTGCACCTCTCTTCACCTGCACCTGCTCTTCACCCTGCACCTCCTCTTCACCCTGCACCTCCTCTTCACCCTGCACCTCCTCTTCACCCTGCACCTCCTCTTCACCCTGCACCTCCTCTTCACCCTGCACCTGCTCTTCACCCTGCACCTGCCTCTTCACCCTGCACCTGCTCTTCACCCTGCACCTCCTCTTCACCCTGCACCTCCTCTTCACCCTGCACCTCCTCTTCACCCTGCACCTCCTCTTCACCCTGCACCTCCTCTTCACCCTGCACCTCCTCTTCACCCTGCACCTCCTCTTCACCCTGCACCTCCTCTTCACCCTGCACCTCCTCTTCACCCTGCACCTGCCTCTTCACCCTGCACCTCCTCTTCACCCTGCACCTGCTCTTCACCCTGCACCTCCTCTTCACCCTGCACCTGCTCTTCACCCTGCACCTGCCTCTTCACCCTGCACCTCCTCTTCACCCTGCACCTCCTCTTCACCCTGCACCTCCTCTTCACCCTGCACCTGCCTCTTCACCCTGCACCTCCTCTTCACCCTGCACCTCCTCTTCACCCTGCACCTCCTCTTCACCCTGCACCTCCTCTTCACCCTGCACCTCCTCTTCACCCTGCACCTCCTCTTCACCCTGCACCTCCTCTTCACCCTGCACCTCCTCTTCACCCTGCACCTCCTCTTCACCCTGCACCTCCTCTTCACCCTGCACCTCCTCTTCACCCTGCACCTGCTCTTCACCCTGCACCTCCTCTTCACCCTGCACCTCCTCTTCACCCTGCACCTCCTCTTCACCCTGCACCTCCTCTTCACCCTGCACCTGCTCTTCACCCTGCACCTCCTCTTCACCCTGCACCTGCTCTTCACCCTGCACCTCCTCTTCACCTGCACCTCCTCTTCACCCTGCACCTCCTCTTCACCCTGCACCTCCTCTTCACCCTGCACCTCCTCTTCACCCTGCACCTCCTCTTCACCCTGCACCTCCTCTTCACCTGCACCTCTCTTCACCCTGCACCTCCTCTTCACCCTGCACCTCCTCTTCACCCTGCACCTCCTCTTCACCCTGCACCTCCTCTTCACCCTGCACCTCCTCTTCACCCTGCACCTCCTCTTCACCCTGCACCTCCTCTTCACCCTGCACCTCCTCTTCACCCTGCACCTCCTCTTCACCCTGCACCTCCTCTTCACCCTGCACCTCCTCTTCACCCTGCACCGGCTCTTCACCCTGCACCTCCTCTTCACCCTGCACCGGCTCTTCACCCTGCACCTGCTCTTCACCCTGCACCTGCTCTTCACCCTGCCACCGGCTCTTCACCCTGCACCTCCTCTTCACCCTGCACCGGCTCTTCACCCTGCACCTGCTCTTCACCCTGCACCTGCTCTTCACCCTGCACCTGCTCTTCACCCTGCACCTGCTCTTCACCCTGCACCTGCTCTTCACCCTGCACCTGCCTCTTCACCCTGCACCTCCTCTTCACCCTGCACCTCCTCTTCACCCTGCACCTCCTCTTCACCCTGCACCTCCTCTTCACCCTGCACCTCCTCTTCACCCTGCACCTCCTCTTCACCCTGCACCTCCTCTTCACCCTGCACCTCCTCTTCACCCTGCACCTCCTCTTCACCTGCACCTCCTCTTCACCCTGCACCTCCTCTTCACCCTGCACCTCCTCTTCACCCTGCACCTCCTCTTCACCCTGCACCTCCTCTTCACCCTGCACCTCCTCTTCACCCTGCACCTCCTCTTCACCCTGCACCTCCTCTTCACCCTGCACCTCCTCTTCACCCTGCACCTCCTCTTCACCCTGCACCTCCTCTTCACCCTGCACCTCCTCTTCACCCTGCACCTCCTCTTCACCCTGCACCTCCTCTTCACCCTGCACCTCCTCTTCACCCTGCACCTCCTCTTCACCCTGCACCTCCTCTTCACCCTGCACCTCCTCTTCACCCTGCACCTCCTCTTCACCCTGCACCTCCTCTTCACCCTGCACCTCCTCTTCACCTGCACCTCCTCTTCACCCTGCACCTCCTCTTCACCCTGCACCTCCTCTTCACCCTGCACCTCCTCTTCACCCTGCACCTCCTCTTCACCCTGCACCTCCTCTTCACCCTGCACCTGCTCTTCACCCTGCACCTGCTCTTCACCCTGCACCTCCTCTTCACCCTGCACCTCCTCTTCACCCTGCACCTCCTCTTCACCCTGCACCTCCTCTTCACCCTGCACTCCTCTTCACCCTGCACTCTCTTCACCCTGCACCTCCTCTTCACCCTGCACCTCCTCTTCACCCTGCACCTCCTCTTCACCCTGCACCTCCTCTTCACCCTGCACCTCCTCTTCACCCTGCACCTCCTCTTCACCCTGCACCTCCCCTCTTCACCCTGCACCTCCTCTTCACCCTGCACCTCCTCTTCACCCTGCACCTCCTCTTCACCCTGCACCTCCTCTTCACCCTGCACCTGCTCTTCACCCTGCACCTGCTCTTCACCCTGCACCTCCTCTTCACCCTGCACCTCCTCTTCACCCTGCACCTCCTCTTCACCCTGCACCTGCTCTTCACCCTGCACCTCCTCTTCACCCTGCACCTGCTCTTCACCCTGCACCTCCTCTTCACCCTGCACCTGCTCTTCACCCTGCACCTCCTCTTCACCCTGCACCTGCTCTTCACCCTGCACCTCCTCTTCACCCTGCCCTGCTCTTCACCCTGCACCTCCTCTTCACCCTGCACCTGCTCTTCACCCTGCACCTGCTCTTCACCCTGCACCTGCTCTTCACCCTGCACCTGCTCTTCACCCTGCACCTCCTCTTCACCCTGCACCTGCTCTTCACCTGCACCTCCTCTTCACCCTGCACCTCCTCTTCACCCTGCACCTGCTCTTCACCCTGCACCTCCTCTTCACCCTGCACCTGCTCTTCACCTGCACCTCCTCTTCACCCTGCACCTGCTCTTCACCCTGCACCTCCTCTTCACCCTGCACCTGCTCTTCACCCTGCACCTCCTCTTCACACCTGCACCTGCTCTTCACCCTGCACCTCCTCTTCACCCTGCACCTGCTCTTCACCCTGCACCTCCTCTTCACCCTGCACCTGCTCTTCACCCTCTGCTCTTCCCTGCACCTGCTCTTCACCCTGCACCTCCTCTTCACCCTGCACCTGCTCTTCACCCTGCACCTCCTCTTCACCCTGCACCTGCTCTTCACCCTGCACCTCCTCTTCACCCTGCACCTGCTCTTCACCCTGCACCTGCCTCTTCACCCTGCACCTGCTCTTCACCCTGCACCTCCTCTTCACCCTGCACCTGCTCTTCACCCTGCACCTCCTCTTCACCCTGCACCCCTTCACCCCTCTTCCCCTGCACCTGCTCTTCACCCTGCACCTGCTCTTCACCCTGCACCTGCTCTTCACCCTGCACCTCCTTCACCCTGCACCTGCTCTTCACCCTGCACCTCCTCTTCACCCTGCACCTCTCTTCACCCTGCACCTGCTCTTCACCCTGCACCTGCTCTTCACCCTGCACCTGCTCTTCACCCTGCACCTGCTCTTCACCCTGCACCTGCTCTTCACCCTGCACCTGCTCTTCACCCTGCACCTCCTCTTCACCCTGCACCTCCTCTTCACCCTGCACCTCCTCTTCACCCTGCACCTGCCTCTTCACCCTGCACCTGCTCTTCACCCTGCACCTCCTCTTCACCCTGCACCTGCTCTTCACCCTGCACCTCCTCTTCACCCTGCACCTCCTCTTCACCCTGCACCTCCTCTTCACCCTGCACCTCCTCTTCACCCTGCACCTCCTCTTCACCCTGCACCTCCTCTTCACCCTGCACCTGCTCTTCACCCTGCACCTCCTCTTCACCCTGCACCTCCTCTTCACCCTGCACCTGCTCTTCACCCTGCACCTCCTCTTCACCCTGCACCTCCTCTTCACCCTGCACCTCCTCTTCACCCTGCACCTCCTCTTCACCCTGCACCTCCTCTTCACCCTGCACCTCCTCTTCACCCTGCACCTGCTCTTCACCCTGCACCTCCTCTTCACCCTGCACCTCCTCTTCACCCTGCACCTCCTCTTCACCCTGCACCTGCTCTTCACCCTGCACCTCCTCTTCACCCTGCACCTGCTCTTCACCCTGCACCTCCTCTTCACCCTGCACCTCCTCTTCACCCTGCACCTCCTCTTCACCCTGCACCTGCTCTTCACCCTGCACCTGCTCTTCACCCTGCACCTCCTCTTCACCCTGCACCTCCTCTTCACCCTGCACCTCCTCTTCACCCTGCACCTCCTCTTCACCCTGCACCTCCTCTTCACCCTGCACCTCCTCTTCACCCTGCACCTCCTCTTCACCCTGCACCTCCTCTTCACCCTGCACCTCCTCTTCACCCTGCACCTGCTCTTCACCCTGCACCTCCTCTTCACCCTGCACCTCCTCTTCACCCTGCACCTCCTCTTCACCCTGCACCTGCTCTTCACCCTGCACCTCCTCTTCACCCTGCACCTGCTCTTCACCCTGCACCTCCTCTTCACCCTGCACCTGCTCTTCACCCTGCACCTCCTCTTCACCCTGCACCTCCTCTTCACCCTGCACCTCCTCTTCACCCTGCACCTCCTCTTCACCCTGCACCTCCTCTTCACCCTGCACCTCCTCTTCACCCTGCACCTCCTCTTCACCCTGCACCTGCTCTTCACCCTGCACCTCCTCTTCACCCTGCACCTGCTCTTCACCCTGCACCTCCTCTTCACCCTGCACCTGCTCTTCACCCTGCACCTGCTCTTCACCCTGCACCTCCTCTTCACCCTGCACCTCCTCTTCACCCTGCACCTCCTCTTCACCCTGCACCTCCTCTTCACCCTGCACCTCCTCTTCACCCTGCACCTCCTCTTCACCCTGCACCTCCTCTTCACCCTGCACCTCCTCTTCACCCTGCACCTCCTCTTCACCCTGCACCTCCTCTTCACCCTGCACCTCCTCTTCACCCTGCACCTCCTCTTCACCCTGCACCTGCTCTTCACCCTGCACCTCCTCTTCACCCTGCACCTGCTCTTCACCCTGCACCTGCTCTTCACCCTGCACCTCCTCTTCACCCTGCACCTGCTCTTCACCCTGCACCTCCTCTTCACCCTGCACCTCCTCTTCACCCTGCACCTCCTCTTCACCCTGCACCTCCTCTTCACCCTGCACCTCCTCTTCACCCTGCACCTCCTCTTCACCCTGCACCTCCTCTTCACCCTGCACCTCCTCTTCACCCTGCACCTCCTCTTCACCCTGCACCTGCTCTTCACCCTGCACCTCCTCTTCACCCTGCACCTGCTCTTCACCCTGCACCTCCTCTTCACCCTGCACCTCCTCTTCACCCTGCACCTCCTCTTCACCCTGCACCTGCTCTTCACCCTGCACCTCCTCTTCACCCTGCACCTCCTCTTCACCCTGCACCTGCTCTTCACCCTGCACCTCCTCTTCACCCTGCACCTCCTCTTCACCCTGCACCTGCTCTTCACCCTGCACCTCCTCTTCACCCTGCACCTGCTCTTCACCCTGCACCTCCTCTTCACCCTGCACCTCCTCTTCACCCTGCACCTGCTCTTCACCCTGCACCTCCTCTTCACCCTGCACCTCCTCTTCACCCTGCACCTCCTCTTCACCCTGCACCTGCTCTTCACCCTGCACCTCCTCTTCACCCTGCACCTGCTCTTCACCCTGCACCTCCTCTTCACCCTGCACCTCCTCTTCACCCTGCACCTGCTCTTCACCCTGCACCTCCTCTTCACCCTGCACCTGCTCTTCACCCTGCACCTCCTCTTCACCCTGCACCTCCTCTTCACCCTGCACCTCCTCTTCACCCTGCACCTCCTCTTCACCCTGCACCTCCTCTTCACCCTGCACCTCCTCTTCACCCTGCACCTCCTCTTCACCCTGCACCTGCTCTTCACCCTGCACCTCCTCTTCACCCTGCACCTCCTCTTCACCCTGCACCTCCTCTTCACCCTGCACCTCCTCTTCACCCTGCACCTCCTCTTCACCCTGCACCTCCTCTTCACCCTGCACCTCCTCTTCACCCTGCACCTCCTCTTCACCCTGCACCTCCTCTTCACCCTGCACCTCCTCTTCACCCTGCACCTCCTCTTCACCCTGCACCTCCTCTTCACCCTGCACCTCCTCTTCACCCTGCACCTCCTCTTCACCCTGCACCTGCTCTTCACCCTGCACCTCCTCTTCACCCTGCACCTCCTCTTCACCCTGCACCTCCTCTTCACCCTGCACCTCCTCTTCACCCTGCACCTGCTCTTCACCCTGCACCTCCTCTTCACCCTGCACCTCCTCTTCACCCTGCACCTCCTCTTCACCCTGCACCTCCTCTTCACCCTGCACCTCCTCTTCACCCTGCACCTGCTCTTCACCCTGCACCTCCTCTTCACCCTGCACCTCCTCTTCACCCTGCACCTCCTCTTCACCCTGCACCTGCTCTTCACCCTGCACCTGCTCTTCACCCTGCACCTCCTCTTCACCCTGCACCTCCTCTTCACCCTGCACCTCCTCTTCACCCTGCACCTCCTCTTCACCCTGCACCTGCTCTTCACCCTGCACCTCCTCTTCACCCTGCACCTCCTCTTCACCCTGCACCTCCTCTTCACCCTGCACCTCCTCTTCACCCTGCACCTCCTCTTCACCCTGCACCTCCTCTTCACCCTGCACCTGCTCTTCACCCTGCACCTCCTCTTCACCCTGCACCTCCTCTTCACCCTGCACCTCCTCTTCACCCTGCACCTGCTCTTCACCCTGCACCTCCTCTTCACCCTGCACCTGCTCTTCACCCTGCACCTCCTCTTCACCCTGCACCTGCTCTTCACCCTGCACCTCCTCTTCACCCTGCACCTCCTCTTCACCCTGCACCTCCTCTTCACCCTGCACCTCCTCTTCACCCTGCACCTCCTCTTCACCCTGCACCTCCTCTTCACCCTGCACCTGCTCTTCACCCTGCACCTCCTCTTCACCCTGCACCTCCTCTTCACCCTGCACCTCCTCTTCACCCTGCACCTCCTCTTCACCCTGCACCTCCTCTTCACCCTGCACCTGCTCTTCACCCTGCACCTCCTCTTCACCCTGCACCTGCTCTTCACCCTGCACCTCCTCTTCACCCTGCACCTGCTCTTCACCCTGCACCTGCTCTTCACCCTGCACCTGCTCTTCACCCTGCACCTGCTCTTCACCCTGCACCTCCTCTTCACCCTGCACCTCCTCTTCACCCTGCACCTCCTCTTCACCCTGCACCTGCTCTTCACCCTGCACCTCCTCTTCACCCTGCACCTCCTCTTCACCCTGCACCTCCTCTTCACCCTGCACCTGCTCTTCACCCTGCACCTGCTCTTCACCCTGCACCTGCTCTTCACCCTGCACCTGCTCTTCACCCTGCACCTCCTCTTCACCCTGCACCTCCTCTTCACCCTGCACCTCCTCTTCACCCTGCACCTCCTCTTCACCCTGCACCTCCTCTTCACCCTGCACCTCCTCTTCACCCTGCACCTGCTCTTCACCCTGCACCTGCTCTTCACCCTGCACCTCCTCTTCACCCTGCACCTGCTCTTCACCCTGCACCTCCTCTTCACCCTGCACCTCCTCTTCACCCTGCACCTCCTCTTCACCCTGCACCTCCTCTTCACCCTGCACCTCCTCTTCACCCTGCACCTCCTCTTCACCCTGCACCTGCTCTTCACCCTGCACCTCCTCTTCACCCTGCACCTCCTCTTCACCCTGCACCTCCTCTTCACCCTGCACCTCCTCTTCACCCTGCACCTCCTCTTCACCCTGCACCTCCTCTTCACCCTGCACCTCCTCTTCACCCTGCACCTCCTCTTCACCCTGCACCTCCTCTTCACCCTGCACCTCCTCTTCACCCTGCACCTCCTCTTCACCCTGCACCTCCTCTTCACCCTGCACCTCCTCTTCACCCTGCACCTCCTCTTCACCCTGCACCTCCTCTTCACCCTGCACCTGCTCTTCACCCTGCACCTCCTCTTCACCCTGCACCTCCTCTTCACCCTGCACCTCCTCTTCACCCTGCACCTCCTCTTCACCCTGCACCTGCTCTTCACCCTGCACCTCCTCTTCACCCTGCACCTGCTCTTCACCCTGCACCTCCTCTTCACCCTGCACCTCCTCTTCACCCTGCACCTCCTCTTCACCCTGCACCTCCTCTTCACCCTGCACCTCCTCTTCACCCTGCACCTCCTCTTCACCCTGCACCTCCTCTTCACCCTGCACCTCCTCTTCACCCTGCACCTCCTCTTCACCCTGCACCTCCTCTTCACCCTGCACCTCCTCTTCACCCTGCACCTCCTCTTCACCCTGCACCTCCTCTTCACCCTGCACCTCCTCTTCACCCTGCACCTCCTCTTCACCCTGCACCTCCTCTTCACCCTGCACCTCCTCTTCACCCTGCACCTCCTCTTCACCCTGCACCTCCTCTTCACCCTGCACCTCCTCTTCACCCTGCACCTCCTCTTCACCCTGCACCTCCTCTTCACCCTGCACCTCCTCTTCACCCTGCACCTCCTCTTCACCCTGCACCTCCTCTTCACCCTGCACCTCCTCTTCACCCTGCACCTCCTCTTCACCCTGCACCTCCTCTTCACCCTGCACCTCCTCTTCACCCTGCACCTCCTCTTCACCCTGCACCTCCTCTTCACCCTGCACCTGCTCTTCACCCTGCACCTCCTCTTCACCCTGCACCTCCTCTTCACCCTGCACCTCCTCTTCACCCTGCACCTCCTCTTCACCCTGCACCTCCTCTTCACCCTGCACCTCCTCTTCACCCTGCACCTCCTCTTCACCCTGCACCTCCTCTTCACCCTGCACCTCCTCTTCACCCTGCACCTCCTCTTCACCCTGCACCTCCTCTTCACCCTGCACCTCCTCTTCACCCTGCACCTCCTCTTCACCCTGCACCTCCTCTTCACCCTGCACCTCCTCTTCACCCTGCACCTCCTCTTCACCCTGCACCTCCTCTTCACCCTGCACCTCCTCTTCACCCTGCACCTCCTCTTCACCCTGCACCTCCTCTTCACCCTGCACCTCCTCTTCACCCTGCACCTCCTCTTCACCCTGCACCTCCTCTTCACCCTGCACCTCCTCTTCACCCTGCACCTCCTCTTCACCCTGCACCTCCTCTTCACCCTGCACCTCCTCTTCACCCTGCACCTCCTCTTCACCCTGCACCTCCTCTTCACCCTGCACCTCCTCTTCACCCTGCACCTCCTCTTCACCCTGCACCTCCTCTTCACCCTGCACCTCCTCTTCACCCTGCACCTCCTCTTCACCCTGCACCTCCTCTTCACCCTGCACCTCCTCTTCACCCTGCACCTCCTCTTCACCCTGCACCTCCTCTTCACCCTGCACCTCCTCTTCACCCTGCACCTCCTCTTCACCCTGCACCTCCTCTTCACCCTGCACCTCCTCTTCACCCTGCACCTCCTCTTCACCCTGCACCTCCTCTTCACCCTGCACCTCCTCTTCACCCTGCACCTCCTCTTCACCCTGCACCTCCTCTTCACCCTGCACCTCCTCTTCACCCTGCACCTCCTCTTCACCCTGCACCTCCTCTTCACCCTGCACCTCCTCTTCACCCTGCACCTCCTCTTCACCCTGCACCTCCTCTTCACCCTGCACCTCCTCTTCACCCTGCACCTCCTCTTCACCCTGCACCTCCTCTTCACCCTGCACCTCCTCTTCACCCTGCACCTCCTCTTCACCCTGCACCTCCTCTTCACCCTGCACCTCCTCTTCACCCTGCACCTCCTCTTCACCCTGCACCTCCTCTTCACCCTGCACCTCCTCTTCACCCTGCACCTCCTCTTCACCCTGCACCTCCTCTTCACCCTGCACCTCCTCTTCACCCTGCACCTCCTCTTCACCCTGCACCTCCTCTTCACCCTGCACCTCCTCTTCACCCTGCACCTCCTCTTCACCCTGCACCTCCTCTTCACCCTGCACCTCCTCTTCACCCTGCACCTCCTCTTCACCCTGCACCTCCTCTTCACCCTGCACCTCCTCTTCACCCTGCACCTCCTCTTCACCCTGCACCTCCTCTTCACCCTGCACCTCCTCTTCACCCTGCACCTCCTCTTCACCCTGCACCTCCTCTTCACCCTGCACCTCCTCTTCACCCTGCACCTCCTCTTCACCCTGCACCTCCTCTTCACCCTGCACCTCCTCTTCACCCTGCACCTCCTCTTCACCCTGCACCTCCTCTTCACCCTGCACCTCCTCTTCACCCTGCACCTCCTCTTCACCCTGCACCTCCTCTTCACCCTGCACCTCCTCTTCACCCTGCACCTCCTCTTCACCCTGCACCTCCTCTTCACCCTGCACCTCCTCTTCACCCTGCACCTCCTCTTCACCCTGCACCTCCTCTTCACCCTGCACCTCCTCTTCACCCTGCACCTCCTCTTCACCCTGCACCTCCTCTTCACCCTGCACCTCCTCTTCACCCTGCACCTCCTCTTCACCCTGCACCTCCTCTTCACCCTGCACCTCCTCTTCACCCTGCACCTCCTCTTCACCCTGCACCTCCTCTTCACCCTGCACCTCCTCTTCACCCTGCACCTCCTCTTCACCCTGCACCTCCTCTTCACCCTGCACCTCCTCTTCACCCTGCACCTCCTCTTCACCCTGCACCTCCTCTTCACCCTGCACCTCCTCTTCACCCTGCACCTCCTCTTCACCCTGCACCTCCTCTTCACCCTGCACCTCCTCTTCACCCTGCACCTCCTCTTCACCCTGCACCTCCTCTTCACCCTGCACCTCCTCTTCACCCTGCACCTCCTCTTCACCCTGCACCTCCTCTTCACCCTGCACCTCCTCTTCACCCTGCACCTCCTCTTCACCCTGCACCTCCTCTTCACCCTGCACCTCCTCTTCACCCTGCACCTCCTCTTCACCCTGCACCTCCTCTTCACCCTGCACCTCCTCTTCACCCTGCACCTCCTCTTCACCCTGCACCTCCTCTTCACCCTGCACCTCCTCTTCACCCTGCACCTCCTCTTCACCCTGCACCTCCTCTTCACCCTGCACCTCCTCTTCACCCTGCACCTCCTCTTCACCCTGCACCTCCTCTTCACCCTGCACCTCCTCTTCACCCTGCACCTCCTCTTCACCCTGCACCTCCTCTTCACCCTGCACCTCCTCTTCACCCTGCACCTCCTCTTCACCCTGCACCTCCTCTTCACCCTGCACCTCCTCTTCACCCTGCACCTCCTCTTCACCCTGCACCTCCTCTTCACCCTGCACCTCCTCTTCACCCTGCACCTCCTCTTCACCCTGCACCTCCTCTTCACCCTGCACCTCCTCTTCACCCTGCACCTCCTCTTCACCCTGCACCTCCTCTTCACCCTGCACCTCCTCTTCACCCTGCACCTCCTCTTCACCCTGCACCTCCTCTTCACCCTGCACCTCCTCTTCACCCTGCACCTCCTCTTCACCCTGCACCTCCTCTTCACCCTGCACCTCCTCTTCACCCTGCACCTCCTCTTCACCCTGCACCTCCTCTTCACCCTGCACCTCCTCTTCACCCTGCACCTCCTCTTCACCCTGCACCTCCTCTTCACCCTGCACCTCCTCTTCACCCTGCACCTCCTCTTCACCCTGCACCTCCTCTTCACCCTGCACCTCCTCTTCACCCTGCACCTCCTCTTCACCCTGCACCTCCTCTTCACCCTGCACCTCCTCTTCACCCTGCACCTCCTCTTCACCCTGCACCTCCTCTTCACCCTGCACCTCCTCTTCACCCTGCACCTCCTCTTCACCCTGCACCTCCTCTTCACCCTGCACCTCCTCTTCACCCTGCACCTCCTCTTCACCCTGCACCTCCTCTTCACCCTGCACCTCCTCTTCACCCTGCACCTCCTCTTCACCCTGCACCTCCTCTTCACCCTGCACCTCCTCTTCACCCTGCACCTCCTCTTCACCCTGCACCTCCTCTTCACCCTGCACCTCCTCTTCACCCTGCACCTCCTCTTCACCCTGCACCTCCTCTTCACCCTGCACCTCCTCTTCACCCTGCACCTCCTCTTCACCCTGCACCTCCTCTTCACCCTGCACCTCCTCTTCACCCTGCACCTCCTCTTCACCCTGCACCTCCTCTTCACCCTGCACCTCCTCTTCACCCTGCACCTCCTCTTCACCCTGCACCTCCTCTTCACCCTGCACCTCCTCTTCACCCTGCACCTCCTCTTCACCCTGCACCTCCTCTTCACCCTGCACCTCCTCTTCACCCTGCACCTCCTCTTCACCCTGCACCTCCTCTTCACCCTGCACCTCCTCTTCACCCTGCACCTCCTCTTCACCCTGCACCTCCTCTTCACCCTGCACCTCCTCTTCACCCTGCACCTCCTCTTCACCCTGCACCTCCTCTTCACCCTGCACCTCCTCTTCACCCTGCACCTCCTCTTCACCCTGCACCTCCTCTTCACCCTGCACCTCCTCTTCACCCTGCACCTCCTCTTCACCCTGCACCTCCTCTTCACCCTGCACCTCCTCTTCACCCTGCACCTCCTCTTCACCCTGCACCTCCTCTTCACCCTGCACCTCCTCTTCACCCTGCACCTCCTCTTCACCCTGCACCTCCTCTTCACCCTGCACCTCCTCTTCACCCTGCACCTCCTCTTCACCCTGCACCTCCTCTTCACCCTGCACCTCCTCTTCACCCTGCACCTCCTCTTCACCCTGCACCTCCTCTTCACCCTGCACCTCCTCTTCACCCTGCACCTCCTCTTCACCCTGCACCTCCTCTTCACCCTGCACCTCCTCTTCACCCTGCACCTCCTCTTCACCCTGCACCTCCTCTTCACCCTGCACCTCCTCTTCACCCTGCACCTCCTCTTCACCCTGCACCTCCTCTTCACCCTGCACCTCCTCTTCACCCTGCACCTCCTCTTCACCCTGCACCTCCTCTTCACCCTGCACCTCCTCTTCACCCTGCACCTCCTCTTCACCCTGCACCTCCTCTTCACCCTGCACCTCCTCTTCACCCTGCACCTCCTCTTCACCCTGCACCTCCTCTTCACCCTGCACCTCCTCTTCACCCTGCACCTCCTCTTCACCCTGCACCTCCTCTTCACCCTGCACCTCCTCTTCACCCTGCACCTCCTCTTCACCCTGCACCTCCTCTTCACCCTGCACCTCCTCTTCACCCTGCACCTCCTCTTCACCCTGCACCTCCTCTTCACCCTGCACCTCCTCTTCACCCTGCACCTCCTCTTCACCCTGCACCTCCTCTTCACCCTGCACCTCCTCTTCACCCTGCACCTCCTCTTCACCCTGCACCTCCTCTTCACCCTGCACCTCCTCTTCACCCTGCACCTCCTCTTCACCCTGCACCTCCTCTTCACCCTGCACCTCCTCTTCACCCTGCACCTCCTCTTCACCCTGCACCTCCTCTTCACCCTGCACCTCCTCTTCACCCTGCACCTCCTCTTCACCCTGCACCTCCTCTTCACCCTGCACCTCCTCTTCACCCTGCACCTCCTCTTCACCCTGCACCTCCTCTTCACCCTGCACCTCCTCTTCACCCTGCACCTCCTCTTCACCCTGCACCTCCTCTTCACCCTGCACCTCCTCTTCACCCTGCACCTCCTCTTCACCCTGCACCTCCTCTTCACCCTGCACCTCCTCTTCACCCTGCACCTCCTCTTCACCCTGCACCTCCTCTTCACCCTGCACCTCCTCTTCACCCTGCACCTCCTCTTCACCCTGCACCTCCTCTTCACCCTGCACCTCCTCTTCACCCTGCACCTCCTCTTCACCCTGCACCTCCTCTTCACCCTGCACCTCCTCTTCACCCTGCACCTCCTCTTCACCCTGCACCTCCTCTTCACCCTGCACCTCCTCTTCACCCTGCACCTCCTCTTCACCCTGCACCTCCTCTTCACCCTGCACCTCCTCTTCACCCTGCACCTCCTCTTCACCCTGCACCTCCTCTTCACCCTGCACCTCCTCTTCACCCTGCACCTCCTCTTCACCCTGCACCTCCTCTTCACCCTGCACCTCCTCTTCACCCTGCACCTCCTCTTCACCCTGCACCTCCTCTTCACCCTGCACCTCCTCTTCACCCTGCACCTCCTCTTCACCCTGCACCTCCTCTTCACCCTGCACCTCCTCTTCACCCTGCACCTCCTCTTCACCCTGCACCTCCTCTTCACCCTGCACCTCCTCTTCACCCTGCACCTCCTCTTCACCCTGCACCTCCTCTTCACCCTGCACCTCCTCTTCACCCTGCACCTCCTCTTCACCCTGCACCTCCTCTTCACCCTGCACCTCCTCTTCACCCTGCACCTCCTCTTCACCCTGCACCTCCTCTTCACCCTGCACCTCCTCTTCACCCTGCACCTCCTCTTCACCCTGCACCTCCTCTTCACCCTGCACCTCCTCTTCACCCTGCACCTCCTCTTCACCCTGCACCTCCTCTTCACCCTGCACCTCCTCTTCACCCTGCACCTCCTCTTCACCCTGCACCTCCTCTTCACCCTGCACCTCCTCTTCACCCTGCACCTCCTCTTCACCCTGCACCTCCTCTTCACCCTGCACCTCCTCTTCACCCTGCACCTCCTCTTCACCCTGCACCTCCTCTTCACCCTGCACCTCCTCTTCACCCTGCACCTCCTCTTCACCCTGCACCTCCTCTTCACCCTGCACCTCCTCTTCACCCTGCACCTCCTCTTCACCCTGCACCTCCTCTTCACCCTGCACCTCCTCTTCACCCTGCACCTCCTCTTCACCCTGCACCTCCTCTTCACCCTGCACCTCCTCTTCACCCTGCACCTCCTCTTCACCCTGCACCTCCTCTTCACCCTGCACCTCCTCTTCACCCTGCACCTCCTCTTCACCCTGCACCTCCTCTTCACCCTGCACCTCCTCTTCACCCTGCACCTCCTCTTCACCCTGCACCTCCTCTTCACCCTGCACCTCCTCTTCACCCTGCACCTCCTCTTCACCCTGCACCTCCTCTTCACCCTGCACCTCCTCTTCACCCTGCACCTCCTCTTCACCCTGCACCTCCTCTTCACCCTGCACCTCCTCTTCACCCTGCACCTCCTCTTCACCCTGCACCTCCTCTTCACCCTGCACCTCCTCTTCACCCTGCACCTCCTCTTCACCCTGCACCTCCTCTTCACCCTGCACCTCCTCTTCACCCTGCACCTCCTCTTCACCCTGCACCTCCTCTTCACCCTGCACCTCCTCTTCACCCTGCACCTCCTCTTCACCCTGCACCTCCTCTTCACCCTGCACCTCCTCTTCACCCTGCACCTCCTCTTCACCCTGCACCTCCTCTTCACCCTGCACCTCCTCTTCACCCTGCACCTCCTCTTCACCCTGCACCTCCTCTTCACCCTGCACCTCCTCTTCACCCTGCACCTCCTCTTCACCCTGCACCTCCTCTTCACCCTGCACCTCCTCTTCACCCTGCACCTCCTCTTCACCCTGCACCTCCTCTTCACCCTGCACCTCCTCTTCACCCTGCACCTCCTCTTCACCCTGCACCTCCTCTTCACCCTGCACCTCCTCTTCACCCTGCACCTCCTCTTCACCCTGCACCTCCTCTTCACCCTGCACCTCCTCTTCACCCTGCACCTCCTCTTCACCCTGCACCTCCTCTTCACCCTGCACCTCCTCTTCACCCTGCACCTCCTCTTCACCCTGCACCTCCTCTTCACCCTGCACCTCCTCTTCACCCTGCACCTCCTCTTCACCCTGCACCTCCTCTTCACCCTGCACCTCCTCTTCACCCTGCACCTCCTCTTCACCCTGCACCTCCTCTTCACCCTGCACCTCCTCTTCACCCTGCACCTCCTCTTCACCCTGCACCTCCTCTTCACCCTGCACCTCCTCTTCACCCTGCACCTCCTCTTCACCCTGCACCTCCTCTTCACCCTGCACCTCCTCTTCACCCTGCACCTCCTCTTCACCCTGCACCTCCTCTTCACCCTGCACCTCCTCTTCACCCTGCACCTCCTCTTCACCCTGCACCTCCTCTTCACCCTGCACCTCCTCTTCACCCTGCACCTCCTCTTCACCCTGCACCTCCTCTTCACCCTGCACCTCCTCTTCACCCTGCACCTCCTCTTCACCCTGCACCTCCTCTTCACCCTGCACCTCCTCTTCACCCTGCACCTCCTCTTCACCCTGCACCTCCTCTTCACCCTGCACCTCCTCTTCACCCTGCACCTCCTCTTCACCCTGCACCTCCTCTTCACCCTGCACCTCCTCTTCACCCTGCACCTCCTCTTCACCCTGCACCTCCTCTTCACCCTGCACCTCCTCTTCACCCTGCACCTCCTCTTCACCCTGCACCTCCTCTTCACCCTGCACCTCCTCTTCACCCTGCACCTCCTCTTCACCCTGCACCTCCTCTTCACCCTGCACCTCCTCTTCACCCTGCACCTCCTCTTCACCCTGCACCTCCTCTTCACCCTGCACCTCCTCTTCACCCTGCACCTCCTCTTCACCCTGCACCTCCTCTTCACCCTGCACCTCCTCTTCACCCTGCACCTCCTCTTCACCCTGCACCTCCTCTTCACCCTGCACCTCCTCTTCACCCTGCACCTCCTCTTCACCCTGCACCTCCTCTTCACCCTGCACCTCCTCTTCACCCTGCACCTCCTCTTCACCCTGCACCTCCTCTTCACCCTGCACCTCCTCTTCACCCTGCACCTCCTCTTCACCCTGCACCTCCTCTTCACCCTGCACCTCCTCTTCACCCTGCACCTCCTCTTCACCCTGCACCTCCTCTTCACCCTGCACCTCCTCTTCACCCTGCACCTCCTCTTCACCCTGCACCTCCTCTTCACCCTGCACCTCCTCTTCACCCTGCACCTCCTCTTCACCCTGCACCTCCTCTTCACCCTGCACCTCCTCTTCACCCTGCACCTCCTCTTCACCCTGCACCTCCTCTTCACCCTGCACCTCCTCTTCACCCTGCACCTCCTCTTCACCCTGCACCTCCTCTTCACCCTGCACCTCCTCTTCACCCTGCACCTCCTCTTCACCCTGCACCTCCTCTTCACCCTGCACCTCCTCTTCACCCTGCACCTCCTCTTCACCCTGCACCTCCTCTTCACCCTGCACCTCCTCTTCACCCTGCACCTCCTCTTCACCCTGCACCTCCTCTTCACCCTGCACCTCCTCTTCACCCTGCACCTCCTCTTCACCCTGCACCTCCTCTTCACCCTGCACCTCCTCTTCACCCTGCACCTCCTCTTCACCCTGCACCTCCTCTTCACCCTGCACCTCCTCTTCACCCTGCACCTCCTCTTCACCCTGCACCTCCTCTTCACCCTGCACCTCCTCTTCACCCTGCACCTCCTCTTCACCCTGCACCTCCTCTTCACCCTGCACCTCCTCTTCACCCTGCACCTCCTCTTCACCCTGCACCTCCTCTTCACCCTGCACCTCCTCTTCACCCTGCACCTCCTCTTCACCCTGCACCTCCTCTTCACCCTGCACCTCCTCTTCACCCTGCACCTCCTCTTCACCCTGCACCTCCTCTTCACCCTGCACCTCCTCTTCACCCTGCACCTCCTCTTCACCCTGCACCTCCTCTTCACCCTGCACCTCCTCTTCACCCTGCACCTCCTCTTCACCCTGCACCTCCTCTTCACCCTGCACCTCCTCTTCACCCTGCACCTCCTCTTCACCCTGCACCTCCTCTTCACCCTGCACCTCCTCTTCACCCTGCACCTCCTCTTCACCCTGCACCTCCTCTTCACCCTGCACCTCCTCTTCACCCTGCACCTCCTCTTCACCCTGCACCTCCTCTTCACCCTGCACCTCCTCTTCACCCTGCACCTCCTCTTCACCCTGCACCTCCTCTTCACCCTGCACCTCCTCTTCACCCTGCACCTCCTCTTCACCCTGCACCTCCTCTTCACCCTGCACCTCCTCTTCACCCTGCACCTCCTCTTCACCCTGCACCTGCTCTTCACCCTGCACCTCCTCTTCACCCTGCACCTCCTCTTCACCCTGCACCTCCTCTTCACCCTGCACCTGCTCTTCACCCTGCACCTCCTCTTCACCCTGCACCTCCTCTTCACCCTGCACCTCCTCTTCACCCTGCACCTCCTCTTCACCCTGCACCTCCTCTTCACCCTGCACCTCCTCTTCACCCTGCACCTCCTCTTCACCCTGCACCTCCTCTTCACCCTGCACCTCCTCTTCACCCTGCACCTCCTCTTCACCCTGCACCTCCTCTTCACCCTGCACCTCCTCTTCACCCTGCACCTCCTCTTCACCCTGCACCTCCTCTTCACCCTGCACCTCCTCTTCACCCTGCACCTCCTCTTCACCCTGCACCTCCTCTTCACCCTGCACCTCCTCTTCACCCTGCACCTCCTCTTCACCCTGCACCTCCTCTTCACCCTGCACCTCCTCTTCACCCTGCACCTCCTCTTCACCCTGCACCTCCTCTTCACCCTGCACCTCCTCTTCACCCTGCACCTCCTCTTCACCCTGCACCTCCTCTTCACCCTGCACCTCCTCTTCACCCTGCACCTCCTCTTCACCCTGCACCTCCTCTTCACCCTGCACCTCCTCTTCACCCTGCACCTCCTCTTCACCCTGCACCTCCTCTTCACCCTGCACCTCCTCTTCACCCTGCACCTCCTCTTCACCCTGCACCTCCTCTTCACCCTGCACCTCCTCTTCACCCTGCACCTCCTCTTCACCCTGCACCTCCTCTTCACCCTGCACCTCCTCTTCACCCTGCACCTCCTCTTCACCCTGCACCTCCTCTTCACCCTGCACCTCCTCTTCACCCTGCACCTCCTCTTCACCCTGCACCTCCTCTTCACCCTGCACCTCCTCTTCACCCTGCACCTCCTCTTCACCCTGCACCTCCTCTTCACCCTGCACCTCCTCTTCACCCTGCACCTCCTCTTCACCCTGCACCTCCTCTTCACCCTGCACCTCCTCTTCACCCTGCACCTCCTCTTCACCCTGCACCTCCTCTTCACCCTGCACCTCCTCTTCACCCTGCACCTCCTCTTCACCCTGCACCTCCTCTTCACCCTGCACCTCCTCTTCACCCTGCACCTCCTCTTCACCCTGCACCTCCTCTTCACCCTGCACCTCCTCTTCACCCTGCACCTCCTCTTCACCCTGCACCTCCTCTTCACCCTGCACCTCCTCTTCACCCTGCACCTCCTCTTCACCCTGCACCTCCTCTTCACCCTGCACCTCCTCTTCACCCTGCACCTCCTCTTCACCCTGCACCTCCTCTTCACCCTGCACCTCCTCTTCACCCTGCACCTCCTCTTCACCCTGCACCTCCTCTTCACCCTGCACCTCCTCTTCACCCTGCACCTCCTCTTCACCCTGCACCTCCTCTTCACCCTGCACCTCCTCTTCACCCTGCACCTCCTCTTCACCCTGCACCTCCTCTTCACCCTGCACCTCCTCTTCACCCTGCACCTCCTCTTCACCCTGCACCTCCTCTTCACCCTGCACCTCCTCTTCACCCTGCACCTCCTCTTCACCCTGCACCTCCTCTTCACCCTGCACCTCCTCTTCACCCTGCACCTCCTCTTCACCCTGCACCTCCTCTTCACCCTGCACCTCCTCTTCACCCTGCACCTCCTCTTCACCCTGCACCTCCTCTTCACCCTGCACCTCCTCTTCACCCTGCACCTCCTCTTCACCCTGCACCTCCTCTTCACCCTGCACCTCCTCTTCACCCTGCACCTCCTCTTCACCCTGCACCTCCTCTTCACCCTGCACCTCCTCTTCACCCTGCACCTCCTCTTCACCCTGCACCTCCTCTTCACCCTGCACCTCCTCTTCACCCTGCACCTCCTCTTCACCCTGCACCTCCTCTTCACCCTGCACCTCCTCTTCACCCTGCACCTCCTCTTCACCCTGCACCTCCTCTTCACCCTGCACCTCCTCTTCACCCTGCACCTCCTCTTCACCCTGCACCTCCTCTTCACCCTGCACCTCCTCTTCACCCTGCACCTCCTCTTCACCCTGCACCTCCTCTTCACCCTGCACCTCCTCTTCACCCTGCACCTCCTCTTCACCCTGCACCTCCTCTTCACCCTGCACCTCCTCTTCACCCTGCACCTCCTCTTCACCCTGCACCTCCTCTTCACCCTGCACCTCCTCTTCACCCTGCACCTCCTCTTCACCCTGCACCTCCTCTTCACCCTGCACCTCCTCTTCACCCTGCACCTCCTCTTCACCCTGCACCTCCTCTTCACCCTGCACCTCCTCTTCACCCTGCACCTCCTCTTCACCCTGCACCTCCTCTTCACCCTGCACCTCCTCTTCACCCTGCACCTCCTCTTCACCCTGCACCTCCTCTTCACCCTGCACCTCCTCTTCACCCTGCACCTCCTCTTCACCCTGCACCTCCTCTTCACCCTGCACCTCCTCTTCACCCTGCACCTCCTCTTCACCCTGCACCTCCTCTTCACCCTGCACCTCCTCTTCACCCTGCACCTCCTCTTCACCCTGCACCTCCTCTTCACCCTGCACCTCCTCTTCACCCTGCACCTCCTCTTCACCCTGCACCTCCTCTTCACCCTGCACCTCCTCTTCACCCTGCACCTCCTCTTCACCCTGCACCTCCTCTTCACCCTGCACCTCCTCTTCACCCTGCACCTCCTCTTCACCCTGCACCTCCTCTTCACCCTGCACCTCCTCTTCACCCTGCACCTCCTCTTCACCCTGCACCTCCTCTTCACCCTGCACCTCCTCTTCACCCTGCACCTCCTCTTCACCCTGCACCTCCTCTTCACCCTGCACCTCCTCTTCACCCTGCACCTCCTCTTCACCCTGCACCTCCTCTTCACCCTGCACCTCCTCTTCACCCTGCACCTCCTCTTCACCCTGCACCTCCTCTTCACCCTGCACCTCCTCTTCACCCTGCACCTCCTCTTCACCCTGCACCTCCTCTTCACCCTGCACCTCCTCTTCACCCTGCACCTCCTCTTCACCCTGCACCTCCTCTTCACCCTGCACCTCCTCTTCACCCTGCACCTCCTCTTCACCCTGCACCTCCTCTTCACCCTGCACCTCCTCTTCACCCTGCACCTCCTCTTCACCCTGCACCTCCTCTTCACCCTGCACCTCCTCTTCACCCTGCACCTCCTCTTCACCCTGCACCTCCTCTTCACCCTGCACCTCCTCTTCACCCTGCACCTCCTCTTCACCCTGCACCTCCTCTTCACCCTGCACCTCCTCTTCACCCTGCACCTCCTCTTCACCCTGCACCTCCTCTTCACCCTGCACCTCCTCTTCACCCTGCACCTCCTCTTCACCCTGCACCTCCTCTTCACCCTGCACCTCCTCTTCACCCTGCACCTCCTCTTCACCCTGCACCTCCTCTTCACCCTGCACCTCCTCTTCACCCTGCACCTCCTCTTCACCCTGCACCTCCTCTTCACCCTGCACCTCCTCTTCACCCTGCACCTCCTCTTCACCCTGCACCTCCTCTTCACCCTGCACCTCCTCTTCACCCTGCACCTCCTCTTCACCCTGCACCTCCTCTTCACCCTGCACCTCCTCTTCACCCTGCACCTCCTCTTCACCCTGCACCTCCTCTTCACCCTGCACCTCCTCTTCACCCTGCACCTCCTCTTCACCCTGCACCTCCTCTTCACCCTGCACCTCCTCTTCACCCTGCACCTCCTCTTCACCCTGCACCTCCTCTTCACCCTGCACCTCCTCTTCACCCTGCACCTCCTCTTCACCCTGCACCTCCTCTTCACCCTGCACCTGCTCTTCACCCTGCACCTCCTCTTCACCCTGCACCTGCTCTTCACCCTGCACCTCCTCTTCACCCTGCACCTCCTCTTCACCCTGCACCTCCTCTTCACCCTGCACCTCCTCTTCACCCTGCACCTCCTCTTCACCCTGCACCTCCTCTTCACCCTGCACCTCCTCTTCACCCTGCACCTCCTCTTCACCCTGCACCTGCTCTTCACCCTGCACCTCCTCTTCACCCTGCACCTCCTCTTCACCCTGCACCTCCTCTTCACCCTGCACCTCCTCTTCACCCTGCACCTCCTCTTCACCCTGCACCTCCTCTTCACCCTGCACCTCCTCTTCACCCTGCACCTCCTCTTCACCCTGCACCTCCTCTTCACCCTGCACCTCCTCTTCACCCTGCACCTCCTCTTCACCCTGCACCTCCTCTTCACCCTGCACCTCCTCTTCACCCTGCACCTCCTCTTCACCCTGCACCTCCTCTTCACCCTGCACCTCCTCTTCACCCTGCACCTCCTCTTCACCCTGCACCTCCTCTTCACCCTGCACCTCCTCTTCACCCTGCACCTCCTCTTCACCCTGCACCTCCTCTTCACCCTGCACCTCCTCTTCACCCTGCACCTCCTCTTCACCCTGCACCTCCTCTTCACCCTGCACCTCCTCTTCACCCTGCACCTCCTCTTCACCCTGCACCTCCTCTTCACCCTGCACCTCCTCTTCACCCTGCACCTCCTCTTCACCCTGCACCTCCTCTTCACCCTGCACCTCCTCTTCACCCTGCACCTCCTCTTCACCCTGCACCTCCTCTTCACCCTGCACCTCCTCTTCACCCTGCACCTCCTCTTCACCCTGCACCTCCTCTTCACCCTGCACCTCCTCTTCACCCTGCACCTCCTCTTCACCCTGCACCTCCTCTTCACCCTGCACCTCCTCTTCACCCTGCACCTCCTCTTCACCCTGCACCTCCTCTTCACCCTGCACCTCCTCTTCACCCTGCACCTCCTCTTCACCCTGCACCTCCTCTTCACCCTGCACCTCCTCTTCACCCTGCACCTCCTCTTCACCCTGCACCTCCTCTTCACCCTGCACCTCCTCTTCACCCTGCACCTCCTCTTCACCCTGCACCTCCTCTTCACCCTGCACCTCCTCTTCACCCTGCACCTCCTCTTCACCCTGCACCTCCTCTTCACCCTGCACCTCCTCTTCACCCTGCACCTCCTCTTCACCCTGCACCTCCTCTTCACCCTGCACCTCCTCTTCACCCTGCACCTCCTCTTCACCCTGCACCTCCTCTTCACCCTGCACCTCCTCTTCACCCTGCACCTCCTCTTCACCCTGCACCTCCTCTTCACCCTGCACCTCCTCTTCACCCTGCACCTCCTCTTCACCCTGCACCTCCTCTTCACCCTGCACCTCCTCTTCACCCTGCACCTCCTCTTCACCCTGCACCTCCTCTTCACCCTGCACCTCCTCTTCACCCTGCACCTCCTCTTCACCCTGCACCTCCTCTTCACCCTGCACCTCCTCTTCACCCTGCACCTCCTCTTCACCCTGCACCTCCTCTTCACCCTGCACCTCCTCTTCACCCTGCACCTCCTCTTCACCCTGCACCTCCTCTTCACCCTGCACCTCCTCTTCACCCTGCACCTCCTCTTCACCCTGCACCTCCTCTTCACCCTGCACCTCCTCTTCACCCTGCACCTCCTCTTCACCCTGCACCTCCTCTTCACCCTGCACCTCCTCTTCACCCTGCACCTCCTCTTCACCCTGCACCTCCTCTTCACCCTGCACCTCCTCTTCACCCTGCACCTCCTCTTCACCCTGCACCTCCTCTTCACCCTGCACCTCCTCTTCACCCTGCACCTCCTCTTCACCCTGCACCTCCTCTTCACCCTGCACCTCCTCTTCACCCTGCACCTCCTCTTCACCCTGCACCTCCTCTTCACCCTGCACCTCCTCTTCACCCTGCACCTCCTCTTCACCCTGCACCTCCTCTTCACCCTGCACCTCCTCTTCACCCTGCACCTCCTCTTCACCCTGCACCTCCTCTTCACCCTGCACCTCCTCTTCACCCTGCACCTCCTCTTCACCCTGCACCTCCTCTTCACCCTGCACCTCCTCTTCACCCTGCACCTCCTCTTCACCCTGCACCTCCTCTTCACCCTGCACCTCCTCTTCACCCTGCACCTCCTCTTCACCCTGCACCTCCTCTTCACCCTGCACCTCCTCTTCACCCTGCACCTCCTCTTCACCCTGCACCTCCTCTTCACCCTGCACCTCCTCTTCACCCTGCACCTCCTCTTCACCCTGCACCTCCTCTTCACCCTGCACCTCCTCTTCACCCTGCACCTCCTCTTCACCCTGCACCTCCTCTTCACCCTGCACCTCCTCTTCACCCTGCACCTCCTCTTCACCCTGCACCTCCTCTTCACCCTGCACCTCCTCTTCACCCTGCACCTCCTCTTCACCCTGCACCTCCTCTTCACCCTGCACCTCCTCTTCACCCTGCACCTCCTCTTCACCCTGCACCTCCTCTTCACCCTGCACCTCCTCTTCACCCTGCACCTCCTCTTCACCCTGCACCTCCTCTTCACCCTGCACCTCCTCTTCACCCTGCACCTCCTCTTCACCCTGCACCTCCTCTTCACCCTGCACCTCCTCTTCACCCTGCACCTCCTCTTCACCCTGCACCTCCTCTTCACCCTGCACCTCCTCTTCACCCTGCACCTCCTCTTCACCCTGCACCTCCTCTTCACCCTGCACCTCCTCTTCACCCTGCACCTCCTCTTCACCCTGCACCTCCTCTTCACCCTGCACCTCCTCTTCACCCTGCACCTCCTCTTCACCCTGCACCTCCTCTTCACCCTGCACCTCCTCTTCACCCTGCACCTCCTCTTCACCCTGCACCTCCTCTTCACCCTGCACCTCCTCTTCACCCTGCACCTCCTCTTCACCCTGCACCTCCTCTTCACCCTGCACCTCCTCTTCACCCTGCACCTCCTCTTCACCCTGCACCTCCTCTTCACCCTGCACCTCCTCTTCACCCTGCACCTCCTCTTCACCCTGCACCTCCTCTTCACCCTGCACCTCCTCTTCACCCTGCACCTCCTCTTCACCCTGCACCTCCTCTTCACCCTGCACCTCCTCTTCACCCTGCACCTCCTCTTCACCCTGCACCTCCTCTTCACCCTGCACCTCCTCTTCACCCTGCACCTCCTCTTCACCCTGCACCTCCTCTTCACCCTGCACCTCCTCTTCACCCTGCACCTCCTCTTCACCCTGCACCTCCTCTTCACCCTGCACCTCCTCTTCACCCTGCACCTCCTCTTCACCCTGCACCTCCTCTTCACCCTGCACCTCCTCTTCACCCTGCACCTCCTCTTCACCCTGCACCTCCTCTTCACCCTGCACCTCCTCTTCACCCTGCACCTCCTCTTCACCCTGCACCTCCTCTTCACCCTGCACCTCCTCTTCACCCTGCACCTCCTCTTCACCCTGCACCTCCTCTTCACCCTGCACCTCCTCTTCACCCTGCACCTCCTCTTCACCCTGCACCTCCTCTTCACCCTGCACCTCCTCTTCACCCTGCACCTCCTCTTCACCCTGCACCTCCTCTTCACCCTGCACCTCCTCTTCACCCTGCACCTCCTCTTCACCCTGCACCTCCTCTTCACCCTGCACCTCCTCTTCACCCTGCACCTCCTCTTCACCCTGCACCTCCTCTTCACCCTGCACCTCCTCTTCACCCTGCACCTCCTCTTCACCCTGCACCTCCTCTTCACCCTGCACCTCCTCTTCACCCTGCACCTCCTCTTCACCCTGCACCTCCTCTTCACCCTGCACCTCCTCTTCACCCTGCACCTCCTCTTCACCCTGCACCTCCTCTTCACCCTGCACCTCCTCTTCACCCTGCACCTCCTCTTCACCCTGCACCTCCTCTTCACCCTGCACCTCCTCTTCACCCTGCACCTCCTCTTCACCCTGCACCTCCTCTTCACCCTGCACCTCCTCTTCACCCTGCACCTCCTCTTCACCCTGCACCTCCTCTTCACCCTGCACCTCCTCTTCACCCTGCACCTCCTCTTCACCCTGCACCTCCTCTTCACCCTGCACCTCCTCTTCACCCTGCACCTCCTCTTCACCCTGCACCTCCTCTTCACCCTGCACCTCCTCTTCACCCTGCACCTCCTCTTCACCCTGCACCTCCTCTTCACCCTGCACCTCCTCTTCACCCTGCACCTCCTCTTCACCCTGCACCTCCTCTTCACCCTGCACCTCCTCTTCACCCTGCACCTCCTCTTCACCCTGCACCTCCTCTTCACCCTGCACCTCCTCTTCACCCTGCACCTCCTCTTCACCCTGCACCTCCTCTTCACCCTGCACCTCCTCTTCACCCTGCACCTCCTCTTCACCCTGCACCTCCTCTTCACCCTGCACCTCCTCTTCACCCTGCACCTCCTCTTCACCCTGCACCTCCTCTTCACCCTGCACCTCCTCTTCACCCTGCACCTCCTCTTCACCCTGCACCTCCTCTTCACCCTGCACCTCCTCTTCACCCTGCACCTCCTCTTCACCCTGCACCTCCTCTTCACCCTGCACCTCCTCTTCACCCTGCACCTCCTCTTCACCCTGCACCTCCTCTTCACCCTGCACCTCCTCTTCACCCTGCACCTCCTCTTCACCCTGCACCTCCTCTTCACCCTGCACCTCCTCTTCACCCTGCACCTCCTCTTCACCCTGCACCTCCTCTTCACCCTGCACCTCCTCTTCACCCTGCACCTCCTCTTCACCCTGCACCTCCTCTTCACCCTGCACCTCCTCTTCACCCTGCACCTCCTCTTCACCCTGCACCTCCTCTTCACCCTGCACCTCCTCTTCACCCTGCACCTCCTCTTCACCCTGCACCTCCTCTTCACCCTGCACCTCCTCTTCACCCTGCACCTCCTCTTCACCCTGCACCTCCTCTTCACCCTGCACCTCCTCTTCACCCTGCACCTCCTCTTCACCCTGCACCTCCTCTTCACCCTGCACCTCCTCTTCACCCTGCACCTCCTCTTCACCCTGCACCTCCTCTTCACCCTGCACCTCCTCTTCACCCTGCACCTCCTCTTCACCCTGCACCTCCTCTTCACCCTGCACCTCCTCTTCACCCTGCACCTCCTCTTCACCCTGCACCTCCTCTTCACCCTGCACCTCCTCTTCACCCTGCACCTCCTCTTCACCCTGCACCTCCTCTTCACCCTGCACCTCCTCTTCACCCTGCACCTCCTCTTCACCCTGCACCTCCTCTTCACCCTGCACCTCCTCTTCACCCTGCACCTCCTCTTCACCCTGCACCTCCTCTTCACCCTGCACCTCCTCTTCACCCTGCACCTCCTCTTCACCCTGCACCTCCTCTTCACCCTGCACCTCCTCTTCACCCTGCACCTCCTCTTCACCCTGCACCTCCTCTTCACCCTGCACCTCCTCTTCACCCTGCACCTCCTCTTCACCCTGCACCTCCTCTTCACCCTGCACCTCCTCTTCACCCTGCACCTCCTCTTCACCCTGCACCTCCTCTTCACCCTGCACCTCCTCTTCACCCTGCACCTCCTCTTCACCCTGCACCTCCTCTTCACCCTGCACCTCCTCTTCACCCTGCACCTCCTCTTCACCCTGCACCTCCTCTTCACCCTGCACCTCCTCTTCACCCTGCACCTCCTCTTCACCCTGCACCTCCTCTTCACCCTGCACCTCCTCTTCACCCTGCACCTCCTCTTCACCCTGCACCTCCTCTTCACCCTGCACCTCCTCTTCACCCTGCACCTCCTCTTCACCCTGCACCTCCTCTTCACCCTGCACCTCCTCTTCACCCTGCACCTCCTCTTCACCCTGCACCTCCTCTTCACCCTGCACCTCCTCTTCACCCTGCACCTCCTCTTCACCCTGCACCTCCTCTTCACCCTGCACCTCCTCTTCACCCTGCACCTCCTCTTCACCCTGCACCTCCTCTTCACCCTGCACCTCCTCTTCACCCTGCACCTCCTCTTCACCCTGCACCTCCTCTTCACCCTGCACCTCCTCTTCACCCTGCACCTCCTCTTCACCCTGCACCTCCTCTTCACCCTGCACCTCCTCTTCACCCTGCACCTCCTCTTCACCCTGCACCTCCTCTTCACCCTGCACCTCCTCTTCACCCTGCACCTCCTCTTCACCCTGCACCTCCTCTTCACCCTGCACCTCCTCTTCACCCTGCACCTCCTCTTCACCCTGCACCTCCTCTTCACCCTGCACCTCCTCTTCACCCTGCACCTCCTCTTCACCCTGCACCTCCTCTTCACCCTGCACCTCCTCTTCACCCTGCACCTCCTCTTCACCCTGCACCTCCTCTTCACCCTGCACCTCCTCTTCACCCTGCACCTCCTCTTCACCCTGCACCTCCTCTTCACCCTGCACCTCCTCTTCACCCTGCACCTCCTCTTCACCCTGCACCTCCTCTTCACCCTGCACCTCCTCTTCACCCTGCACCTCCTCTTCACCCTGCACCTCCTCTTCACCCTGCACCTCCTCTTCACCCTGCACCTCCTCTTCACCCTGCACCTCCTCTTCACCCTGCACCTCCTCTTCACCCTGCACCTCCTCTTCACCCTGCACCTCCTCTTCACCCTGCACCTCCTCTTCACCCTGCACCTCCTCTTCACCCTGCACCTCCTCTTCACCCTGCACCTCCTCTTCACCCTGCACCTCCTCTTCACCCTGCACCTCCTCTTCACCCTGCACCTCCTCTTCACCCTGCACCTCCTCTTCACCCTGCACCTCCTCTTCACCCTGCACCTCCTCTTCACCCTGCACCTCCTCTTCACCCTGCACCTCCTCTTCACCCTGCACCTCCTCTTCACCCTGCACCTCCTCTTCACCCTGCACCTCCTCTTCACCCTGCACCTCCTCTTCACCCTGCACCTCCTCTTCACCCTGCACCTCCTCTTCACCCTGCACCTCCTCTTCACCCTGCACCTCCTCTTCACCCTGCACCTCCTCTTCACCCTGCACCTCCTCTTCACCCTGCACCTCCTCTTCACCCTGCACCTCCTCTTCACCCTGCACCTCCTCTTCACCCTGCACCTCCTCTTCACCCTGCACCTCCTCTTCACCCTGCACCTCCTCTTCACCCTGCACCTCCTCTTCACCCTGCACCTCCTCTTCACCCTGCACCTCCTCTTCACCCTGCACCTCCTCTTCACCCTGCACCTCCTCTTCACCCTGCACCTCCTCTTCACCCTGCACCTCCTCTTCACCCTGCACCTCCTCTTCACCCTGCACCTCCTCTTCACCCTGCACCTCCTCTTCACCCTGCACCTCCTCTTCACCCTGCACCTCCTCTTCACCCTGCACCTCCTCTTCACCCTGCACCTCCTCTTCACCCTGCACCTCCTCTTCACCCTGCACCTCCTCTTCACCCTGCACCTCCTCTTCACCCTGCACCTCCTCTTCACCCTGCACCTCCTCTTCACCCTGCACCTCCTCTTCACCCTGCACCTCCTCTTCACCCTGCACCTCCTCTTCACCCTGCACCTCCTCTTCACCCTGCACCTCCTCTTCACCCTGCACCTCCTCTTCACCCTGCACCTCCTCTTCACCCTGCACCTCCTCTTCACCCTGCACCTCCTCTTCACCCTGCACCTCCTCTTCACCCTGCACCTCCTCTTCACCCTGCACCTCCTCTTCACCCTGCACCTCCTCTTCACCCTGCACCTCCTCTTCACCCTGCACCTCCTCTTCACCCTGCACCTCCTCTTCACCCTGCACCTCCTCTTCACCCTGCACCTCCTCTTCACCCTGCACCTCCTCTTCACCCTGCACCTCCTCTTCACCCTGCACCTCCTCTTCACCCTGCACCTCCTCTTCACCCTGCACCTCCTCTTCACCCTGCACCTCCTCTTCACCCTGCACCTCCTCTTCACCCTGCACCTCCTCTTCACCCTGCACCTCCTCTTCACCCTGCACCTCCTCTTCACCCTGCACCTCCTCTTCACCCTGCACCTCCTCTTCACCCTGCACCTCCTCTTCACCCTGCACCTCCTCTTCACCCTGCACCTCCTCTTCACCCTGCACCTCCTCTTCACCCTGCACCTCCTCTTCACCCTGCACCTCCTCTTCACCCTGCACCTCCTCTTCACCCTGCACCTCCTCTTCACCCTGCACCTCCTCTTCACCCTGCACCTCCTCTTCACCCTGCACCTCCTCTTCACCCTGCACCTCCTCTTCACCCTGCACCTCCTCTTCACCCTGCACCTCCTCTTCACCCTGCACCTCCTCTTCACCCTGCACCTCCTCTTCACCCTGCACCTCCTCTTCACCCTGCACCTCCTCTTCACCCTGCACCTCCTCTTCACCCTGCACCTCCTCTTCACCCTGCACCTCCTCTTCACCCTGCACCTCCTCTTCACCCTGCACCTCCTCTTCACCCTGCACCTCCTCTTCACCCTGCACCTCCTCTTCACCCTGCACCTCCTCTTCACCCTGCACCTCCTCTTCACCCTGCACCTCCTCTTCACCCTGCACCTCCTCTTCACCCTGCACCTCCTCTTCACCCTGCACCTCCTCTTCACCCTGCACCTCCTCTTCACCCTGCACCTCCTCTTCACCCTGCACCTCCTCTTCACCCTGCACCTCCTCTTCACCCTGCACCTCCTCTTCACCCTGCACCTCCTCTTCACCCTGCACCTCCTCTTCACCCTGCACCTCCTCTTCACCCTGCACCTCCTCTTCACCCTGCACCTCCTCTTCACCCTGCACCTCCTCTTCACCCTGCACCTGCTCTTCACCCTGCACCTCCTCTTCACCCTGCACCTCCTCTTCACCCTGCACCTCCTCTTCACCCTGCACCTCCTCTTCACCCTGCACCTCCTCTTCACCCTGCACCTCCTCTTCACCCTGCACCTCCTCTTCACCCTGCACCTCCTCTTCACCCTGCACCTCCTCTTCACCCTGCACCTCCTCTTCACCCTGCACCTCCTCTTCACCCTGCACCTCCTCTTCACCCTGCACCTCCTCTTCACCCTGCACCTCCTCTTCACCCTGCACCTGCTCTTCACCCTGCACCTCCTCTTCACCCTGCACCTCCTCTTCACCCTGCACCTCCTCTTCACCCTGCACCTCCTCTTCACCCTGCACCTCCTCTTCACCCTGCACCTCCTCTTCACCCTGCACCTCCTCTTCACCCTGCACCTCCTCTTCACCCTGCACCTCCTCTTCACCCTGCACCTCCTCTTCACCCTGCACCTGCTCTTCACCCTGCACCTCCTCTTCACCCTGCACCTCCTCTTCACCCTGCACCTCCTCTTCACCCTGCACCTCCTCTTCACCCTGCACCTCCTCTTCACCCTGCACCTCCTCTTCACCCTGCACCTGCTCTTCACCCTGCACCTCCTCTTCACCCTGCACCTCCTCTTCACCCTGCACCTCCTCTTCACCCTGCACCTCCTCTTCACCCTGCACCTCCTCTTCACCCTGCACCTCCTCTTCACCCTGCACCTCCTCTTCACCCTGCACCTCCTCTTCACCCTGCACCTCCTCTTCACCCTGCACCTCCTCTTCACCCTGCACCTCCTCTTCACCCTGCACCTCCTCTTCACCCTGCACCTCCTCTTCACCCTGCACCTCCTCTTCACCCTGCACCTCCTCTTCACCCTGCACCTCCTCTTCACCCTGCACCTCCTCTTCACCCTGCACCTCCTCTTCACCCTGCACCTCCTCTTCACCCTGCACCTCCTCTTCACCCTGCACCTCCTCTTCACCCTGCACCTGCTCTTCACCCTGCACCTCCTCTTCACCCTGCACCTCCTCTTCACCCTGCACCTCCTCTTCACCCTGCACCTCCTCTTCACCCTGCACCTCCTCTTCACCCTGCACCTCCTCTTCACCCTGCACCTCCTCTTCACCCTGCACCTCCTCTTCACCCTGCACCTCCTCTTCACCCTGCACCTCCTCTTCACCCTGCACCTCCTCTTCACCCTGCACCTCCTCTTCACCCTGCACCTCCTCTTCACCCTGCACCTCCTCTTCACCCTGCACCTCCTCTTCACCCTGCACCTCCTCTTCACCCTGCACCTCCTCTTCACCCTGCACCTCCTCTTCACCCTGCACCTCCTCTTCACCCTGCACCTCCTCTTCACCCTGCACCTCCTCTTCACCCTGCACCTCCTCTTCACCCTGCACCTCCTCTTCACCCTGCACCTCCTCTTCACCCTGCACCTCCTCTTCACCCTGCACCTCCTCTTCACCCTGCACCTCCTCTTCACCCTGCACCTGCTCTTCACCCTGCACCTCCTCTTCACCCTGCACCTCCTCTTCACCCTGCACCTCCTCTTCACCCTGCACCTCCTCTTCACCCTGCACCTCCTCTTCACCCTGCACCTCCTCTTCACCCTGCACCTCCTCTTCACCCTGCACCTCCTCTTCACCCTGCACCTCCTCTTCACCCTGCACCTCCTCTTCACCCTGCACCTCCTCTTCACCCTGCACCTCCTCTTCACCCTGCACCTCCTCTTCACCCTGCACCTCCTCTTCACCCTGCACCTCCTCTTCACCCTGCACCTCCTCTTCACCCTGCACCTGCTCTTCACCCTGCACCTCCTCTTCACCCTGCACCTCCTCTTCACCCTGCACCTCCTCTTCACCCTGCACCTCCTCTTCACCCTGCACCTCCTCTTCACCCTGCACCTCCTCTTCACCCTGCACCTCCTCTTCACCCTGCACCTCCTCTTCACCCTGCACCTCCTCTTCACCCTGCACCTCCTCTTCACCCTGCACCTCCTCTTCACCCTGCACCTCCTCTTCACCCTGCACCTCCTCTTCACCCTGCACCTCCTCTTCACCCTGCACCTCCTCTTCACCCTGCACCTCCTCTTCACCCTGCACCTGCTCTTCACCCTGCACCTCCTCTTCACCCTGCACCTCCTCTTCACCCTGCACCTCCTCTTCACCCTGCACCTCCTCTTCACCCTGCACCTCCTCTTCACCCTGCACCTCCTCTTCACCCTGCACCTCCTCTTCACCCTGCACCTGCTCTTCACCCTGCACCTCCTCTTCACCCTGCACCTCCTCTTCACCCTGCACCTCCTCTTCACCCTGCACCTCCTCTTCACCCTGCACCTCCTCTTCACCCTGCACCTCCTCTTCACCCTGCACCTCCTCTTCACCCTGCACCTCCTCTTCACCCTGCACCTCCTCTTCACCCTGCACCTCCTCTTCACCCTGCACCTGCTCTTCACCCTGCACCTCCTCTTCACCCTGCACCTGCTCTTCACCCTGCACCTCCTCTTCACCCTGCACCTCCTCTTCACCCTGCACCTCCTCTTCACCCTGCACCTCCTCTTCACCCTGCACCTCCTCTTCACCCTGCACCTCCTCTTCACCCTGCACCTCCTCTTCACCCTGCACCTGCTCTTCACCCTGCACCTCCTCTTCACCCTGCACCTCCTCTTCACCCTGCACCTGCTCTTCACCCTGCACCTCCTCTTCACCCTGCACCTCCTCTTCACCCTGCACCTCCTCTTCACCCTGCACCTCCTCTTCACCCTGCACCTCCTCTTCACCCTGCACCTCCTCTTCACCCTGCACCTCCTCTTCACCCTGCACCTCCTCTTCACCCTGCACCTCCTCTTCACCCTGCACCTCCTCTTCACCCTGCACCTCCTCTTCACCCTGCACCTCCTCTTCACCCTGCACCTCCTCTTCACCCTGCACCTCCTCTTCACCCTGCACCTCCTCTTCACCCTGCACCTCCTCTTCACCCTGCACCTCCTCTTCACCCTGCACCTCCTCTTCACCCTGCACCTCCTCTTCACCCTGCACCTCCTCTTCACCCTGCACCTCCTCTTCACCCTGCACCTCCTCTTCACCCTGCACCTCCTCTTCACCCTGCACCTCCTCTTCACCCTGCACCTCCTCTTCACCCTGCACCTCCTCTTCACCCTGCACCTCCTCTTCACCCTGCACCTCCTCTTCACCCTGCACCTCCTCTTCACCCTGCACCTCCTCTTCACCCTGCACCTCCTCTTCACCCTGCACCTCCTCTTCACCCTGCACCTCCTCTTCACCCTGCACCTCCTCTTCACCCTGCACCTCCTCTTCACCCTGCACCTCCTCTTCACCCTGCACCTCCTCTTCACCCTGCACCTCCTCTTCACCCTGCACCTCCTCTTCACCCTGCACCTCCTCTTCACCCTGCACCTCCTCTTCACCCTGCACCTCCTCTTCACCCTGCACCTCCTCTTCACCCTGCACCTCCTCTTCACCCTGCACCTGCTCTTCACCCTGCACCTCCTCTTCACCCTGCACCTCCTCTTCACCCTGCACCTCCTCTTCACCCTGCACCTGCTCTTCACCCTGCACCTCCTCTTCACCCTGCACCTGCTCTTCACCCTGCACCTCCTCTTCACCCTGCACCTCCTCTTCACCCTGCACCTCCTCTTCACCCTGCACCTCCTCTTCACCCTGCACCTCCTCTTCACCCTGCACCTCCTCTTCACCCTGCACCTCCTCTTCACCCTGCACCTCCTCTTCACCCTGCACCTGCTCTTCACCCTGCACCTGCTCTTCACCCTGCACCTGCTCTTCACCCTGCACCTGCTCTTCACCCTGCACCTGCTCTTCACCCTGCACCTCCTCTTCACCCTGCACCTCCTCTTCACCCTGCACCTCCTCTTCACCCTGCACCTCCTCTTCACCCTGCACCTGCTCTTCACCCTGCACCTGCTCTTCACCCTGCACCTCCTCTTCACCCTGCACCTCCTCTTCACCCTGCACCTCCTCTTCACCCTGCACCTCCTCTTCACCCTGCACCTCCTCTTCACCCTGCACCTCCTCTTCACCCTGCACCTCCTCTTCACCCTGCACCTCCTCTTCACCCTGCACCTCCTCTTCACCCTGCACCTCCTCTTCACCCTGCACCTGCTCTTCACCCTGCACCTCCTCTTCACCCTGCACCTGCTCTTCACCCTGCACCTCCTCTTCACCCTGCACCTCCTCTTCACCCTGCACCTCCTCTTCACCCTGCACCTCCTCTTCACCCTGCACCTCCTCTTCACCCTGCACCTCCTCTTCACCCTGCACCTCCTCTTCACCCTGCACCTGCTCTTCACCCTGCACCTGCTCTTCACCCTGCACCTGCTCTTCACCCTGCACCTGCTCTTCACCCTGCACCTCCTCTTCACCCTGCACCTCCTCTTCACCCTGCACCTCCTCTTCACCCTGCACCTGCTCTTCACCCTGCACCTGCTCTTCACCCTGCACCTGCTCTTCACCCTGCACCTCCTCTTCACCCTGCACCTCCTCTTCACCCTGCACCTCCTCTTCACCCTGCACCTCCTCTTCACCCTGCACCTGCTCTTCACCCTGCACCTCCTCTTCACCCTGCACCTGCTCTTCACCCTGCACCTCCTCTTCACCCTGCACCTCCTCTTCACCCTGCACCTCCTCTTCACCCTGCACCTGCTCTTCACCCTGCACCTGCTCTTCACCCTGCACCTGCTCTTCACCCTGCACCTCCTCTTCACCCTGCACCTCCTCTTCACCCTGCACCTCCTCTTCACCCTGCACCTCCTCTTCACCCTGCACCTCCTCTTCACCCTGCACCTCCTCTTCACCCTGCACCTCCTCTTCACCCTGCACCTCCTCTTCACCCTGCACCTCCTCTTCACCCTGCACCTCCTCTTCACCCTGCACCTGCTCTTCACCCTGCACCTCCTCTTCACCCTGCACCTGCTCTTCACCCTGCACCTCCTCTTCACCCTGCACCTGCTCTTCACCCTGCACCTGCTCTTCACCCTGCACCTGCTCTTCACCCTGCACCTCCTCTTCACCCTGCACCTCCTCTTCACCCTGCACCTGCTCTTCACCCTGCACCTGCTCTTCACCCTGCACCTCCTCTTCACCCTGCACCTCCTCTTCACCCTGCACCTCCTCTTCACCCTGCACCTCCTCTTCACCCTGCACCTCCTCTTCACCCTGCACCTCCTCTTCACCCTGCACCTCCTCTTCACCCTGCACCTCCTCTTCACCCTGCACCTGCTCTTCACCCTGCACCTCCTCTTCACCCTGCACCTGCTCTTCACCCTGCACCTCCTCTTCACCCTGCACCTGCTCTTCACCCTGCACCTCCTCTTCACCCTGCACCTCCTCTTCACCCTGCACCTCCTCTTCACCCTGCACCTCCTCTTCACCCTGCACCTCCTCTTCACCCTGCACCTGCTCTTCACCCTGCACCTCCTCTTCACCCTGCACCTCCTCTTCACCCTGCACCTCCTCTTCACCCTGCACCTGCTCTTCACCCTGCACCTCCTCTTCACCCTGCACCTCCTCTTCACCCTGCACCTGCTCTTCACCCTGCACCTGCTCTTCACCCTGCACCTGCTCTTCACCCTGCACCTGCTCTTCACCCTGCACCTCCTCTTCACCCTGCACCTCCTCTTCACCCTGCACCTCCTCTTCACCCTGCACCTCCTCTTCACCCTGCACCTCCTCTTCACCCTGCACCTGCTCTTCACCCTGCACCTCCTCTTCACCCTGCACCTCCTCTTCACCCTGCACCTCCTCTTCACCCTGCACCTGCTCTTCACCCTGCACCTGCTCTTCACCCTGCACCTCCTCTTCACCCTGCACCTGCTCTTCACCCTGCACCTCCTCTTCACCCTGCACCTCCTCTTCACCCTGCACCTCCTCTTCACCCTGCACCTCCTCTTCACCCTGCACCTCCTCTTCACCCTGCACCTCCTCTTCACCCTGCACCTCCTCTTCACCCTGCACCTCCTCTTCACCCTGCACCTCCTCTTCACCCTGCACCTGCTCTTCACCCTGCACCTGCTCTTCACCCTGCACCTCCTCTTCACCCTGCACCTGCTCTTCACCCTGCACCTGCTCTTCACCCTGCACCTCCTCTTCACCCTGCACCTGCTCTTCACCCTGCACCTCCTCTTCACCCTGCACCTCCTCTTCACCCTGCACCTCCTCTTCACCCTGCACCTCCTCTTCACCCTGCACCTCCTCTTCACCCTGCACCTGCTCTTCACCCTGCACCTCCTCTTCACCCTGCACCTCCTCTTCACCCTGCACCTCCTCTTCACCCTGCACCTCCTCTTCACCCTGCACCTCCTCTTCACCCTGCACCTCCTCTTCACCCTGCACCTCCTCTTCACCCTGCACCTCTCTCTGCACCCTGCACCTCCTCTTCACCCTGCACCTGCTCTTCACCCTGCACCTGCTCTTCACCCTGCACCTGCTCTTCACCCTGCACCTCCTCTTCACCCTGCACCTCCTCTTCACCCTGCACCTCCTCTTCACCCTGCACCTCCTCTTCACCCTGCACCTCCTCTTCACCCTGCACCTCCTCTTCACCCTGCACCTCCTCTTCACCCTGCACCTCCTCTTCACCCTGCACCTCCTCTTCACCCTGCACCTCCTCTTCACCCTGCACCTCCTCTTCACCCTGCACCTGCTCTTCACCCTGCACCTGCTCTTCACCCTGCACCTGCTCTTCACCCTGCACCTCCTCTTCACCCTGCACCTCCTCTTCACCCTGCACCTCCTCTTCACCCTGCACCTCCTCTTCACCCTGCACCTCCTCTTCACCCTGCACCTCCTCTTCACCCTGCACCTGCTCTTCACCCTGCACCTCCTCTTCACCCTGCACCTCCTCTTCACCCTGCACCTCCTCTTCACCCTGCACCTCCTCTTCACCCTGCACCTGCTCTTCACCCTGCACCTGCTCTTCACCCTGCACCTCCTCTTCACCCTGCACCTCCTCTTCACCCTGCACCTCCTCTTCACCCTGCACCTCCTCTTCACCCTGCACCTCCTCTTCACCCTGCACCTCCTCTTCACCCTGCACCTCCTCTTCACCCTGCACCTGCTCTTCACCCTGCACCTCCTCTTCACCCTGCACCTCCTCTTCACCCTGCACCTCCTCTTCACCCTGCACCTCCTCTTCACCCTGCACCTCCTCTTCACCCTGCACCTCCTCTTCACCCTGCACCTGCTCTTCACCCTGCACCTGCTCTTCACCCTGCACCTGCTCTTCACCCTGCACCTGCTCTTCACCCTGCACCTCCTCTTCACCCTGCACCTCCTCTTCACCCTGCACCTCCTCTTCACCCTGCACCTCCTCTTCACCCTGCACCTGCTCTTCACCCTGCACCTCCTCTTCACCCTGCACCTCCTCTTCACCCTGCACCTCCTCTTCACCCTGCACCTCCTCTTCACCCTGCACCTCCTCTTCACCCTGCACCTGCTCTTCACCCTGCACCTCCTCTTCACCCTGCACCTGCTCTTCACCCTGCACCTGCTCTTCACCCTGCACCTCCTCTTCACCCTGCACCTCCTCTTCACCCTGCACCTCCTCTTCACCCTGCACCTCCTCTTCACCCTGCACCTCCTCTTCACCCTGCACCTCCTCTTCACCCTGCACCTCCTCTTCACCCTGCACCTCCTCTTCACCCTGCACCTCCTCTTCACCCTGCACCTCCTCTTCACCCTGCACCTCCTCTTCACCCTGCACCTCCTCTTCACCCTGCACCTCCTCTTCACCCTGCACCTGCTCTTCACCCTGCACCTGCTCTTCACCCTGCACCTGCTCTTCACCCTGCACCTGCTCTTCACCCTGCACCTGCTCTTCACCCTGCACCTCCTCTTCACCCTGCACCTGCTCTTCACCCTGCACCTGCTCTTCACCCTGCACCTCCTCTTCACCCTGCACCTCCTCTTCACCCTGCACCTGCTCTTCACCCTGCACCTGCTCTTCACCCTGCACCTGCTCTTCACCCTGCACCTCCTCTTCACCCTGCACCTCCTCTTCACCCTGCACCTCCTCTTCACCCTGCACCTCCTCTTCACCCTGCACCTCCTCTTCACCCTGCACCTCCTCTTCACCCTGCACCTCCTCTTCACCCTGCACCTCCTCTTCACCCTGCACCTCCTCTTCACCCTGCACCTGCTCTTCACCCTGCACCTGCTCTTCACCCTGCACCTGCTCTTCACCCTGCACCTGCTCTTCACCCTGCACCTCCTCTTCACCCTGCACCTCCTCTTCACCCTGCACCTCCTCTTCACCCTGCACCTCCTCTTCACCCTGCACCTGCTCTTCACCCTGCACCTCCTCTTCACCCTGCACCTCCTCTTCACCCTGCACCTCCTCTTCACCCTGCACCTCCTCTTCACCCTGCACCTGCTCTTCACCCTGCACCTGCTCTTCACCCTGCACCTGCTCTTCACCCTGCACCTGCTCTTCACCCTGCACCTCCTCTTCACCCTGCACCTGCTCTTCACCCTGCACCTGCTCTTCACCCTGCACCTCCTCTTCACCCTGCACCTCCTCTTCACCCTGCACCTCCTCTTCACCCTGCACCTCCTCTTCACCCTGCACCTGCTCTTCACCCTGCACCTGCTCTTCACCCTGCACCTCCTCTTCACCCTGCACCTCCTCTTCACCCTGCACCTCCTCTTCACCCTGCACCTGCTCTTCACCCTGCACCTCCTCTTCACCCTGCACCTCCTCTTCACCCTGCACCTGCTCTTCACCCTGCACCTCCTCTTCACCCTGCACCTCCTCTTCACCCTGCACCTCCTCTTCACCCTGCACCTCCTCTTCACCCTGCACCTCCTCTTCACCCTGCACCTCCTCTTCACCCTGCACCTCCTCTTCACCCTGCACCTCCTCTTCACCCTGCACCTCCTCTTCACCCTGCACCTCCTCTTCACCCTGCACCTGCTCTTCACCCTGCACCTGCTCTTCACCCTGCACCTGCTCTTCACCCTGCACCTGCTCTTCACCCTGCACCTGCTCTTCACCCTGCACCTCCTCTTCACCCTGCACCTCCTCTTCACCCTGCACCTCCTCTTCACCCTGCACCTCCTCTTCACCCTGCACCTCCTCTTCACCCTGCACCTCCTCTTCACCCTGCACCTCCTCTTCACCCTGCACCTCCTCTTCACCCTGCACCTGCTCTTCACCCTGCACCTGCTCTTCACCCTGCACCTGCTCTTCACCCTGCACCTGCTCTTCACCCTGCACCTGCTCTTCACCCTGCACCTCCTCTTCACCCTGCACCTCCTCTTCACCCTGCACCTCCTCTTCACCCTGCACCTCCTCTTCACCCTGCACCTGCTCTTCACCCTGCACCTGCTCTTCACCCTGCACCTCCTCTTCACCCTGCACCTCCTCTTCACCCTGCACCTCCTCTTCACCCTGCACCTCCTCTTCACCCTGCACCTGCTCTTCACCCTGCACCTCCTCTTCACCCTGCACCTCCTCTTCACCCTGCACCTCCTCTTCACCCTGCACCTCCTCTTCACCCTGCACCTCCTCTTCACCCTGCACCTCCTCTTCACCCTGCACCTCCTCTTCACCCTGCACCTCCTCTTCACCCTGCACCTGCTCTTCACCCTGCACCTGCTCTTCACCCTGCACCTGCTCTTCACCCTGCACCTCCTCTTCACCCTGCACCTCCTCTTCACCCTGCACCTCCTCTTCACCCTGCACCTGCTCTTCACCCTGCACCTGCTCTTCACCCTGCACCTGCTCTTCACCCTGCACCTCCTCTTCACCCTGCACCTCCTCTTCACCCTGCACCTCCTCTTCACCCTGCACCTCCTCTTCACCCTGCACCTGCTCTTCACCCTGCACCTCCTCTTCACCCTGCACCTGCTCTTCACCCTGCACCTGCTCTTCACCCTGCACCTGCTCTTCACCCTGCACCTCCTCTTCACCCTGCACCTGCTCTTCACCCTGCACCTGCTCTTCACCCTGCACCTGCTCTTCACCCTGCACCTCCTCTTCACCCTGCACCTCCTCTTCACCCTGCACCTCCTCTTCACCCTGCACCTCCTCTTCACCCTGCACCTCCTCTTCACCCTGCACCTCCTCTTCACCCTGCACCTGCTCTTCACCCTGCACCTCCTCTTCACCCTGCACCTGCTCTTCACCCTGCACCTGCTCTTCACCCTGCACCTGCTCTTCACCCTGCACCTGCTCTTCACCCTGCACCTGCTCTTCACCCTGCACCTCCTCTTCACCCTGCACCTGCTCTTCACCCTGCACCTGCTCTTCACCCTGCACCTGCTCTTCACCCTGCACCTGCTCTTCACCCTGCACCTCCTCTTCACCCTGCACCTGCTCTTCACCCTGCACCTGCTCTTCACCCTGCACCTGCTCTTCACCCTGCACCTCCTCTTCACCCTGCACCTCCTCTTCACCCTGCACCTCCTCTTCACCCTGCACCTCCTCTTCACCCTGCACCTCCTCTTCACCCTGCACCTCCTCTTCACCCTGCACCTCCTCTTCACCCTGCACCTCCTCTTCACCCTGCACCTGCTCTTCACCCTGCACCTGCTCTTCACCCTGCACCTGCTCTTCACCCTGCACCTGCTCTTCACCCTGCACCTGCTCTTCACCCTGCACCTCCTCTTCACCCTGCACCTCCTCTTCACCCTGCACCTCCTCTTCACCCTGCACCTCCTCTTCACCCTGCACCTGCTCTTCACCCTGCACCTGCTCTTCACCCTGCACCTCCTCTTCACCCTGCACCTCCTCTTCACCCTGCACCTCCTCTTCACCCTGCACCTGCTCTTCACCCTGCACCTGCTCTTCACCCTGCACCTGCTCTTCACCCTGCACCTGCTCTTCACCCTGCACCTGCTCTTCACCCTGCACCTGCTCTTCACCCTGCACCTGCTCTTCACCCTGCACCTCCTCTTCACCCTGCACCTCCTCTTCACCCTGCACCTCCTCTTCACCCTGCACCTCCTCTTCACCCTGCACCTCCTCTTCACCCTGCACCTGCTCTTCACCCTGCACCTCCTCTTCACCCTGCACCTCCTCTTCACCCTGCACCTCCTCTTCACCCTGCACCTGCTCTTCACCCTGCACCTGCTCTTCACCCTGCACCTCCTCTTCACCCTGCACCTGCTCTTCACCCTGCACCTCCTCTTCACCCTGCACCTCCTCTTCACCCTGCACCTCCTCTTCACCCTGCACCTCCTCTTCACCCTGCACCTGCTCTTCACCCTGCACCTCCTCTTCACCCTGCACCTCCTCTTCACCCTGCACCTCCTCTTCACCCTGCACCTGCTCTTCACCCTGCACCTGCTCTTCACCCTGCACCTCCTCTTCACCCTGCACCTCCTCTTCACCCTGCACCTCCTCTTCACCCTGCACCTCCTCTTCACCCTGCACCTCCTCTTCACCCTGCACCTCCTCTTCACCCTGCACCTCCTCTTCACCCTGCACCTCCTCTTCACCCTGCACCTCCTCTTCACCCTGCACCTCCTCTTCACCCTGCACCTCCTCTTCACCCTGCACCTCCTCTTCACCCTGCACCTCCTCTTCACCCTGCACCTCCTCTTCACCCTGCACCTCCTCTTCACCCTGCACCTCCTCTTCACCCTGCACCTCCTCTTCACCCTGCACCTCCTCTTCACCCTGCACCTCCTCTTCACCCTGCACCTCCTCTTCACCCTGCACCTCCTCTTCACCCTGCACCTCCTCTTCACCCTGCACCTCCTCTTCACCCTGCACCTCCTCTTCACCCTGCACCTCCTCTTCACCCTGCACCTCCTCTTCACCCTGCACCTCCTCTTCACCCTGCACCTCCTCTTCACCCTGCACCTCCTCTTCACCCTGCACCTCCTCTTCACCCTGCACCTCCTCTTCACCCTGCACCTCCTCTTCACCCTGCACCTCCTCTTCACCCTGCACCTCCTCTTCACCCTGCACCTCCTCTTCACCCTGCACCTCCTCTTCACCCTGCACCTCCTCTTCACCCTGCACCTCCTCTTCACCCTGCACCTGCTCTTCACCCTGCACCTCCTCTTCACCCTGCACCTCCTCTTCACCCTGCACCTCCTCTTCACCCTGCACCTCCTCTTCACCCTGCACCTCCTCTTCACCCTGCACCTCCTCTTCACCCTGCACCTCCTCTTCACCCTGCACCTCCTCTTCACCCTGCACCTCCTCTTCACCCTGCACCTCCTCTTCACCCTGCACCTCCTCTTCACCCTGCACCTCCTCTTCACCCTGCACCTCCTCTTCACCCTGCACCTCCTCTTCACCCTGCACCTCCTCTTCACCCTGCACCTCCTCTTCACCCTGCACCTCCTCTTCACCCTGCACCTCCTCTTCACCCTGCACCTCCTCTTCACCCTGCACCTCCTCTTCACCCTGCACCTCCCTCTTCACCCTGCACCTCCTCTTCACCCTGCACCTCCTCTTCACCCTGCACCTCCTCTTCACCCTGCACCTCCTCTTCACCCTGCACCTCCTCTTCACCCTGCACCTCCTCTTCACCCTGCACCTCTCTTCACCCTGCACCTCCTCTTCACCCTGCACCTCCTCTTCACCCTGCACCTCCTCTTCACCCTGCACCTCCTCTTCACCCTGCACCTCGCTCTTCACCCTGCACCTCCTCTTCACCCTGCACCTCCTCTTCACCCTGCACCTCCTCTTCACCCTGCACCTCCTCTTCACCCTGCACCTGCCTCTTCACCTGCACCTCCTCTTCACCCTGCACCTCCTCTTCACCTGCCTCTCTCACCCTGCACCTCCTCTTCACCCTGCACCTGCCTCTTCACCCTGCACCTCCTCTTCACCCTGCACCTCCTCTTCACCCTGCACCTCCTCTTCACCCTGCACCCTCCTTCTTCACCCTGCACCTCCTCTTCACCCTGCTACCTCCTCTTCACACCTGCACCTCCTCTTCACCCCTGCACCTCCTCTTCACCCTGCACCTCCTCTTCACCTGCACCTCCTCTTCAACCCTGCACCTCCCTCTTCACCCTGCACCTCCTCTTCACCCTGCACCTCCTCTTCACCCTGCACCTCCTCTTCACCCTGCACCTCCTCTTCACCCTGCACCTCCTCTTCACCCTGCACCTCCTCTTCACCCTGCACCTCTCTTCCACCCTGCACCTCCTCTTCACCCTGCACCTCCTCTTCACCCTGCACCTCCTCTTCACCCTGCACCTCCTCTTCACCCTGCACCTCCTCTTCACCCTGATCTTCACCTGCACCTCCTCTTCACCCTGCACCTCCTCTTCACCCTGCACCTCCTCTTCACCCTGCCCTCCTCTTCACCCTGCACCTCCTCTTCACCCTGCACCTCCTCTTCACCCTGCACCTGCTCTTCACCCTGCACTCCTCTTCACCCTGCACCTCCTCTTCACCCTGCACCTGCCTCTTCACCCTGCACCTCCTCTTCACCCTGCACCTGCTCTTCACCCTGCACCTCCTCTTCACCCTGCACCTCCTCTTCACCCTGCACCTGCTCTTCACCCTGCACCTGTCTCACCCTGCTTCACCCTGCACCTCCTCTTCACCCTGCACCTCCTCTTCACCCTGCACCTGCTCTTCACCCTGCACCTCCTCTTCACCCTGCACCTGCTCTTCACCCTGCACCTCCTCTTCACCCTGCACCTCCTCTTCACCCTGCACCTGCTCTTCACCCTGCACCTCCTCTTCACCCTGCACCTGCTCTTCACCCGCACCTCCTCTTCACCCTGCACCTGCTCTTCACCTGCACCTCCTCTTCACCCTGCACCTCCTCTTCACCCTGCACCTCCTCTTCACCCTGCACCTCCTCTTCACCCTGCACCTCCTCTTCACCCTGCACCTACTCTTCACCCTGCACCTGCTCTTCACCCTGCACCTCCTCTTTCACCCTGCACCTGCTCTCACCCTGCACCTCCTCTTCACCCTGCACCTCCTCTTCACCCTGCGACCTGCTCTTCAACACCTGCACCTCCTCTTCACCCTGCACCTGCTCTTCACCCTGCACCTCCTCTTCACCCTGCACCTCCTCTTCACCCTGCACCTCCTCTTCACCCTGCACCTGCCTCTTCACCCTGCACCTCCTCTTCACCCTGCACCTGCTCTTCACCCTGCACCTCCTCTTCACCCTGCACCTCCTCTTCACCCTGCACCTCCTCTTCACCCTGCACCTCCTCTTCACCCTGCACCTCCTCTTCACCCTGCACCTCCTCTTCACCCTGCACCTCCTCTTCACCCTGCACCTGCTCTTCACCCTGCACCTCCTCTTCACCCTGCACCTCCTCTTCACCCTGCACCTCCTCTTCACCCTGCACCTCCTCTTCACCCTGCACCTCCTCTTCACCCTGCACCTCCTCTTCACCCTGCACCTCCTCTCACCCTTGCACCTCCTCTTCACCTGCACCTCCTCTTCACCCTGCACCTGCCTCTTCACCCTGCACCTCCTCTTCACCCTGCACCTCCTCTTCACCCTGCACCTCCTCTTCACCCTGCACCTCCTCTTCACCCTGCACCTCCTCTTCACCCTGCACCTCCTCTTCACCCTGCACCTCCTCTTCACCCTGCACCTGCTCTTCACCCTGCACCTCCTCTTCACCCTGCACCTCCTCTTCACCCTGCACCTGCTCTTCACCCTGCACCTCCTCTTCACCCTGCACCTCCTCTTCACCCTGCACCTCCTCTTCACCCTGCACCTCCTCTTCACCCTGCACCTCCTCTTCACCCTGCACCTCCTCTTCACCCTGCACCTCCTCTTCACCCTGCACCTCCTCTTCACCCTGCACCTCCTCTTCACCCTGCACCTCCTCTTCACCCTGCACCTCCTCTTCACCCTGCACCTCCTCTTCACCCTGCACCTCCTCTTCACCCTGCACCTCCTCTTCACCCTGCACCTCCTCTTCACCCTGCACCTCCTCTTCACCCTGCACCTCCTCTTCAACCCTGCACCTCCTCTTCACCCTGCACCTCCTCTTCACCCTGCACCTCCTCTTCACCCTGCACCTCCTCTTCACCCTGCACCTCCTCTTCACCCTGCACCTCCTCTTCACCCTGCACCTCCTCTTCACCCTGCACCTCCTCTTCACCCTGCACCTCCTCTTCACCCTGCACCTCCTCTTCACCCTGCACCTCTCTTCACCCTGCACCTCCTCTTCACCCTGCACCTCCTCTTCACCCTGCACCTCCTCTTCACCCTGCACCTGCTCTTCACCCTGCACCTCCTCTTCACCCTGCACCTCCTCTTCACCCTGCACCTCCTCTTCACCCTGCACCTCCTCTTCACCCTGCACCTGCTCTTCACCCTGCACCTCCTCTTCACCCTGCACCTCCTCTTCACCCTGCACCTCTCTTCACCCTGCACCTCCTCTTCACCCTGCACCTCCTCTTCACCCTGCACCTCCTCTTCACCCTGCACCTCCTCTTCACCCTGCACCTCCTCTTCACCCTGCACCTCCTCTTCACCCTGCACCTCCTCTTCACCCTGCACCTCCTCTTCACCCTGCACCTCCTCTTCACCCTGCACCTCCTCTTCACCCTGCACCTCCTCTTCACCCTGCACCTCCTCTTCACCCTGCACCTCCTCTTCACCCTGCACCTCCTCTTCACCCTGCACCTCCTCTTCACCCTGCACCTCTTCACCCTGCACCTCCTCTTCACCCTGCACTCGCTCTTCACCCTGCACCTCCTCTTCACCCTGCACCTGCTCTTCACCCTGCACCTCCTCTTCACCCTGCACCTGCTCTTCACCCTGCACCTCCTCTTCACCCTGCACCTCCTCTTCACCCTGCACCTGCTCTTCACCCTGCACCTGCTCTTCACCCTGCACCTGCTCTTCACCCTGCACCTCCTCTTCACCCTGCACCTCCTCTTCACCCTGCACCTCCTCTTCACCCTGCACCTCCTCTTCACCCTGCACCTCCTCTTCACCCTGCACCTCCTCTTCACCCTGCACCTCCTCTTCACCCTGCACCTCCTCTTCACCCTGCACCTCCTCTTCACCCTGCACCTCCTCTTCACCCTGCACCTCCTCTTCACCCTGCACCTCCTCTTCACCCTGCACCTCCTCTTCACCCTGCACCTGCCTCTTCACCCTGCACCTCCTCTTCACCCTGCACCTCCTCTTCACCCTGCACCTCCTCTTCACCCTGCACCTCCTCTTCACCCTGCACCTCCTCTTCACCCTGCACCTCCTCTTCACCCTGCACCTCCTCTTCACCCTGCACCTCCTCTTCACCCTGCACCTCCTCTTCACCCTGCACCTCCTCTTCACCCTGCACCTCCTCTTCACCCTGCACCTCCTCTTCACCCTGCACCTCCTCTTCACCCTGCACCTCCTCTTCACCCTGCACCTCCTCTTCACCCTGCACCTCCTCTTCACCCTGCACCTCCTCTTCACCCTGCACCTCCTCTTCACCCTGCACCTCCTCTTCACCCTGCACCTCCTCTTCACCCTGCACCTCCTCTTCACCCTGCACCTCCTCTTCACCCTGCACCTCCTCTTCACCCTGCACCTCCTCTTCACCCTGCACCTCCTCTTCACCCTGCACCTCCTCTTCACCCTGCACCTCCTCTTCACCCTGCACCTCCTCTTCACCCTGCACCTCCTCTTCACCCTGCACCTGCTCTTCACCCTGCACCTCCTCTTCACCCTGCACCTCCTCTTCACCCTGCACCTGCTCTTCACCCTGCACCTCCTCTTCACCCTGCACCTGCTCTTCACCCTGCACCTCCTCTTCACCCTGCACCTGCTCTTCACCCTGCACCTCCTCTTCACCCTGCACCTCCTCTTCACCCTGCACCTCCTCTTCACCCTGCACCTCCTCTTCACCCTGCACCTCCTCTTCACCCTGCACCTCCTCTTCACCCTGCACCTGCTCTTCACCCTGCACCTCCTCTTCACCCTGCACCTGCTCTTCACCCTGCACCTCCTCTTCACCCTGCACCTCCTCTTCACCCTGCACCTGCTCTTCACCCTGCACCTCCTCTTCACCCTGCACCTGCTCTTCACCCTGCACCTCCTCTTCACCCTGCACCTCCTCTTCACCCTGCACCTGCTCTTCACCCTGCACCTCCTCTTCACCCTGCACCTCCTCTTCACCCTGCACCTGCTCTTCACCCTGCACCTCCTCTTCACCCTGCACCTCCTCTTCACCCTGCACCTCCTCTTCACCCTGCACCTCCTCTTCACCCTGCACCTCCTCTTCACCCTGCACCTCCTCTTCACCCTGCACCTCCTCTTCACCCTGCACCTCCTCTTCACCCTGCACCTCCTCTTCACCCTGCACCTCCTCTTCACCCTGCACCTCCTCTTCACCCTGCACCTCCTCTTCACCCTGCACCTCCTCTTCACCCTGCACCTCCTCTTCACCCTGCACCTCCTCTTCACCCTGCACCTCCTCTTCACCCTGCACCTCCTCTTCACCCTGCACCTCCTCTTCACCCTGCACCTCCTCTTCACCCTGCACCTGCCTCTTCACCCTGCACCTCCTCTTCACCCTGCACCTCCTCTTCACCCTGCACCTCCTCTTCACCCTGCACCTCCTCTTCACCCTGCACCTGCTCTTCACCCTGCACCTCCTCTTCACCCTGCACCTCCTCTTCACCCTGCACCTCCTCTTCACCCTGCACCTCCTCTTCACCCTGCACCTCTCTTCACCCTGCACCTCCTCTTCACCCTGCACCTCCTCTTCACCCTGCACCTCCTCTTCACCCTGCACCTCCTCTTCACCCTGCACCTCCTCTTCACCCTGCACTCCCTTCACACTGCACCCTCCTCTTCACCCTGCACCTCCTCTCACCCTGCACCTCCTCTTCACCCTGCACCTGCTCTTCACCCTGCACCTCCTCTTCACCCTGCACCTCCTCTTCACCCTGCACCTCCTCTTCACCCTGCACCTCCTCTTCACCCTGCCACCTCCTCTTCACCCTGCAACCTCCTCTTACACCCTGCACCTCTCTTCACCCTGCACCTCCTCTCACCCTGCACCTCCTCTTCACCCTGCACCTCCTCTTCACCCTGCACCTCCTCTTCACCCTGCACCTCCTCTTCACCCTGCACCTCCTCTTCACCCTGCACCTCCTCTTCACCCTGCACCTCCTCTTCACCCCTGCACCTGCCTCTTCACCCCTGCACCTCGCTCTTCACCCTGCACCTCCTCTTCACCCTGCACCTCCTCTTCACCCTGCACCTCCTCTTCACCCTGCACCTGCTCTTCACCCTGCACCTCCTCTTCACCCTTGCACCTGCTCTTCACCCTGCACCTGCTCTTCACCCTGCACCTGCTCTTTCACCCTGCACCTCCTCTTCACCCTGCACCTGCTCTTCACCCTGCACCTCCTCTTCACCCTGCACCTGCTTCTTCACCCTGCACCTGCCTCTTCACCCTGCACCTGCTCTTCACCCTGCACCTGCTCTTCACCCTGCACCTCCTCTTCACCCTGCACCTGTTCTTCACCCTGCACCTCCTCTTCACCCTGCACCTCCTCTTCACCCTGCACCTCTCTTCACCCTGCACCTCCTCTTCACCCTGCACCTGCTCTTCACCCTGCACCTCCTCTTCACCCTGCACCTGCTCTTCACCCTGCACCTCCTCTTCACCCTGCACCTCCTCTTCACCCTGCACCTGCTCTTCACCCTGCACCTCCTCTTCACCCTGCACCTGCCTTCTTCACCCTGCACCTGCTCTTCACCCTGCACCTCCTCTTCACCCTGCACCTGTTCTTCACCCTGCACCTCCTCTTCACCCTGCACCTCCTCTTCACCCTGCACCTCCTCTTCACCCTGCACCTCCTCTTCACCCTGCACCTGCTCTTCACCCTGCACCTCCTCTTCACCCTGCACCTGCTCTTCACCCTGCACCTGCTCTTCACCCTGCACCTCCTCTTCACCCTGCACCTGCTCTTCACCCTGCACCTGCTCTTCACCCTGCACCTCCTCTTCACCCTGCACCTCCTCTTCACCCTGCACCTCCTCTTCACCCTGCACCTCCTCTTCACCCTGCACCTCCTCTTCACCCTGCACCTCCTCTTCACCCTGCACCTCCTCTTCACCCTGCACCTGCTCTTCACCCTGCACCTCCTCTTCACCCTGCACCTCCTCTTCACCCTGCACCTCCTCTTCACCCTGCACCTGCTCTTCACCCTGCACCTCCTCTTCACCCTGCACCTGCTCTTCACCCTGCACCTCCTCTTCACCCTGCACCTCCTCTTCACCCTGCACCTCCTCTTCACCCTGCACCTCTTCACCCTGCACTGCTCTTCACCCTGCACCTGCTCTTCACCCTGCACCTGCTCTTCACCCTGCACCTGCTCTTCACCCTGCACCTCCTCTTCACCCTGCACCTCCTCTTCACCCTGCACCTCCTCTTCACCCTGCACCTCCTCTTCACCCTGCACCTCCTCTTCACCCTGCACCTCCTCTTCACCCTGCACCTCCTCTTCACCCTGCACCTCCTCTTCACCCTGCACCTCCTCTTCACCCTGCACCTCCTCTTCACCCTGCACCTCCTCTTCACCCTGCACCTCCTCTTCACCCTGCACCTCCTCTTCACCCTGCACCTCCCTCTTCACCCTGCACCTGCTCTTCACCCTGCACCTCCTCTTCACCCTGCACCTGCCTCTTCACCCTGCACCTCCTCTTCACCTGCACCTGCTCTTCACCCTGCACCTCCTCTTCACCCTGCACCTGCTCTTCACCCTGCACCTCCTCTTCACCCTGCACCTGTTCTTCACCCTGCACCTGCTCTTCACCCTGCACCTCCTCTTCACCCTGCACCTGTTCTTCACCCTGCACCTCCTCTTCACCCTGCACCTCTCTCACCCTGCACCTCCTCTTCACCCTGCACCTCCTCTTCACCCTGCACCTGCTCTTCACCCTGCACCTCCTCTTCACCCTGCACCTCCTCTTCACCCTGCACCTCCTCTTCACCCTGCACCTCCTCTTCACCCTGCACCTGCTCTTCACCCTGCACCTCCTCTTCACCCTGCACCTGTTCTTCACCCTGCACCTGCTCTTCACCCTGCACCTCCTCTTCACCCTGCACCTGTTCTTCACCCTGCACCTCCTCTTCACCCTGCACCTGTTCTTCACCCTGCACCTCCTCTTCACCCTGCACCTCCTCTTCACCCTGCACCTGCTCTTCACCCTGCACCTCCTCTTCAGCCTTCACCCTGCACCTCCTCTTCACCCTGCACCTCCTCTTCACCCTGCACCTCTCTTCACCCTGCACCTCCTCTTCACCCTGCACCTGTTCTTCACCCTGCACCTGCTCTTCACCCTGCACCTCCTCTTCACCCTGCACCTCCTCTTCACCCTGCACCTCCTCTTCACCCTGCACCTCCTCTTCACCCTGCACCTCCTCTTCACCCTGCACCTCCTCTTCAACCCTGCACCTGCTCTTCACCCTGCACCTCCTCTTCACCCTGCACCTCCTCTTCACCCTGCACCTCCTCTTCACCCTGCACCTGCTCTTCACCCTGCACCTCCTCTTCACCCTGCACCTGTTCTTCACCCTGCACCTCCCTCTTCACCCTGCACCTCCTCTTCACCCTGCACCTCCTCTTCACCCTGCACCTCCTCTTCACCCTGCACCTGCTCTTCACCCTGCACCTCCTCTTCACCCTGCACCTGTTCTTCACCCTGCACCTGCTCTTCACCCTGCACCTCCTCTTCACCCTGCACCTCCTCTTCACCCTGCACCTCCTCTTCACCCTGCACCTGCTCTTCACCCTGCACCTCCTCTTCACCCTGCACCTGCTCTTCACCCTGCACCTGCTCTTCACCCTGCACCTGCTCTTCACCCTGCACCTGCTCTTCACCCTGCACCTGCTCTTCACCCTGCACCTGCTCTTCACCCTGCACCTGCTCTTCACCCTGCACCTGCTCTTCACCCTGCACCTGCTCTTCACCCTGCACCTGCTCTTCACCCTGCACCTGCTCTTCACCCTGCACCTGCTCTTCACCCTGCACCTGCTCTTCACCCTGCACCTCCTCTTCACCCTGCACCTCCTCTTCACCCTGCACCTCCTCTTCACCCTGCACCTGCTCTTCACCCTGCACCTCCTCTTCACCTGCACCTCCTCTTCACCCTGCACCTCCTCTTCACCCTGCACCTGCTCTTCACCCTGCACCTGCTCTTCACCCTGCACCTGCTCTTCACCCTGCACCTGCTCTTCACCCTGCACCTGCTCTTCACCCTGCACCTCTCTTCACCCTGCACCTGCTCTTCACCCTGCACCTGCCTCTTCACCCTGCACCTCCTCTTCACCCTGCACCTGCTTCTTCACCCTGCACCTCCTCTTCACCCTGCACCTGTTCTTCACCCTGCACCTGCTCTTCACCCTGCACCTCCTCTTCACCCTGCACCTCCTCTTCACCCTGCACCTCCTCTTCACCCTGCACCTCCTCTTCACCCTGCACCTCCTCTTCACCCTGCACCTCCTCTTCACCCTGCACCTGCTCTTCACCCTGCACCTCCTCTTCACCCTGCACCTGCTCTTCACCCTGCACCTCCTCTTCACCCTGCACCTGTCTTCACCCTGCACCTCCTCTTCACCCTGCACCTCCTCTTCACCCTGCACCTCCTCTTCACCCTGCACCTCCTCTTCACCCTGCACCTCCTCTTCACCCTGCACCTCCTCTTCACCCTGCACCTGCTCTTCACCCTGCACCTCCTCTTCACCCTGCACCTGTTCTTCACCCTGCACCTGCTCTTCACCCTGCACCTCCTCTTCACCCTGCACCTCCTCTTCACCCTGCACCTCCTCTTCACCCTGCACCTCCTCTTCACCCTGCACCTCCTCTTCACCCTGCACCTCCTCTTCACCCTGCACCTCCTCTTCACCCTGCACCTCCTCTTCACCCTGCACCTCCTCTTCACCCTGCACCTCCTCTTCACCCTGCACCTCCTCTTCACCCTGCACCTCCTCTTCACCCTGCACCTCCTCTTCACCCTGCACCTGCTCTTCACCCTGCACCTCCTCTTCACCCTGCACCTGTTCTTCACCCTGCACCTGCTCTTCACCCTGCACCTCCTCTTCACCCTGCACCTGTTCTTCACCCTGCACCTCCTCTTCACCCTGCACCTGTTCTTCACCCTGCACCTGCTCTTCACCCTGCACCTCCTCTTCACCCTGCACCTGTTCTTCACCCTGCACCTCCTCTTCACCCTGCACCTCCTCTTCACCCTGCACCTCCTCTTCACCCTGCACCTCCTCTTCACCCTGCACCTGCTCTTCACCCTGCACCTCCTCTTCACCCTGCACCTGTTCTTCACCCTGCACCTGCTCTTCACCCTGCACCTCCTCTTCACCCTGCACCTGTTCTTCACCCTGCACCTCCTCTTCACCCTGCACCTGTTCTTCAACCCTGCACCTGCTCTTCACCCTGCACCTCCTCTTCACCCTGCACCTGTTCTTCACCCTGCACCTCCTCTTCACCCTGCACCTCCTCTTCACCCTGCACCTCCTCTTCACCCTGCACCTCCTCTTCACCCTGCACCTGCTCTTCACCCTGCACCTCCTCTTCACCCTGCACCTGTTCTTCACCCTGCACCTGCTCTTCACCCTGCACCTCCTCTTCACCCTGCACCTCCTCTTCACCCTGCACCTCCTCTTCACCCTGCACCTCCTCTTCACCCTGCACCTCCTCTTCACCCTGCACCTGCTCTTCACCCTGCACCTCCTCTTCACCCTGCACCTCCTCTTCACCCTGCACCTCCTCTTCACCCTGCACCTGCTCTTCACCCTGCACCTCCTCTTCACCCTGCACCTGTTCTTCACCCTGCACCTCCTCTTCACCCTGCACCTCCTCTTCACCCTGCACCTCCTCTTCACCCTGCACCTCCTCTTCACCCTGCACCTGCTCTTCACCCTGCACCTCCTCTTCACCCTGCACCTGTTCTTCACCCTGCACCTGCTCTTCACCCTGCACCTGCTCTTCACCCTGCACCTCCTCTTCACCCTGCACCTCCTCTTCACCCTGCACCTGCTCTTCACCCTGCACCTCCTCTTCACCCTGCACCTGCTCTTCACCCTGCACCTGCTCTTCACCCTGCACCTGCTCTTCACCCTGCACCTGCTCTTCACCCTGCACCTCACCCTGCACCTGCTCTTCACCCTGCACCTGCTCTTCACCCTGCACCTGCTCTTCACCCTGCACCTGCTCTTCACCCTGCACCTGCTCTTCACCCTGCACCTGCTCTTCACCCTGCACCTGCTCTTCACCCTGCACCTGCTCTTCACCCTGCACCTGCTCTTCACCCTGCACCTCCTCTTCACCCTGCACCTCCTCTTCACCCTGCACCTCCTCTTCACCCTGCACCTGCTCTTCACCCTGCACCTCCTCTTCACCCTGCACCTCCTCTTCACCCTGCACCTGCCTCTTCACCCTGCACCTGCTCTTCACCCTGCACCTGCTCTTCACCCTGCACCTGCTCTTCACCCTGCACCTGCTCTTCACCCTGCACCTGCTCTTCACCCTGCACCTGCTCTTCACCCTGCACCTGCTCTTCACCCTGCACCTGCTCTTCACCCTGCACCTGCTCTTCACCCTGCACCTGCTCTTCACCCTGCACCTGCTCTTCACCCTGCACCTGCTCTTCACCCTGCACCTGCTCTTCACCCTGCACCTGCTCTTCACCCTGCACCTGCTCTTCACCCTGCACCTGCTCTTCACCCTGCACCTGCTCTTCACCCTGCACCTGCTCTTCACCCTGCACCTGCTCTTCACCCTGCACCTGCTCTTCACCCTGCACCTGCTCTTCACCCTGCACCTGCTCTTCACCCTGCACCTGCTCTTCACCCTGCACCTGCTCTTCACCCTGCACCTGCTCTTCACCCTGCACCTGCTCTTCACCCTGCACCTGCTCTTCACCCTGCACCTGCTCTTCACCCTGCACCTGCTCTTCACCCTGCACCTGCTCTTCACCCTGCACCTGCTCTTCACCCTGCACCTCCTCTTCACCCTGCACCTCCTCTTCACCCTGCACCTCCTCTTCACCCTGCACCTCCTCTTCACCCTGCACCTCCTCTTCACCCTGCACCTCCTCTTCACCCTGCACCTCCTCTTCACCCTGCACCTGCTCTTCACCCTGCACCTGCTCTTCACCCTGCACCTGCTCTTCACCCTGCACCTGCTCTTCACCCTGCACCTGCTCTTCACCCTGCACCTGCTCTTCACCCTGCACCTGCCTCTTCACCCTGCACCTGCTCTTCACCCTGCACCTGCTCTTCACCCTGCACCTGCTCTTCACCCTGCACCTGCTCTTCACCCTGCACCTGCTCTTCACCCTGCACCTGCTCTTCACCCTGCACCTGCTCTTCACCCTGCACCTGCTCTTCACCCTGCACCTGCTCTTCACCCTGCACCTGCTCTTCACCCTGCACCTGCTCTTCACCCTGCACCTGCTCTTCACCCTGCACCTGCTCTTCACCCTGCACCTGCTCTTCACCCTGCACCTGCTCTTCACCCTGCACCTGCTCTTCACCCTGCACCTGCTCTTCACCCTGCACCTGCTCTTCACCCTGCACCTGCTCTTCACCCTGCACCTGCTCTTCACCCTGCACCTGCTCTTCACCCTGCACCTGCTCTTCACCCTGCACCTGCTCTCTGCACCTGCTCTTCACCCTGCACCTGCTCTTCACCCTGCACCTGCTCTTCACCCTGCACCTGCTCTTCACCCTGCACCTGCCTCTTCACCCTGCACCTGCTCTTCACCCTGCACCTGCTCTTCACCCTGCACCTGCTCTTCACCCTGCACCTGCTCTTCACCCTGCACCTGCTCTTCACCCTGCACCTGCTCTTCACCCTGCACCTGCTCTTCACCCTGCACCTGCTCTTCACCCTGCACCTGCTCTTCACCCTGCACCTGCTCTTCACCCTGCACCTGCTCTTCACCCTGCACCTGCTCTTCACCCTGCACCTGCTCTTCACCCTGCACCTGCTCTTCACCCTGCACCTGCTCTTCACCCTGCACCTGCTCTTCACCCTGCACCTGCTCTTCACCCTGCACCTGCTCTTCACCCTGCACCTCCTCTTCACCCTGCACCTCCTCTTCACCCTGCACCTCCTCTTCACCCTGCACCTGCTCTTCACCCTGCACCTCCTCTTCACCCTGCACCTCCTCTTCACCCTGCACCTCCTCTTCACCCTGCACCTCCTCTTCACCCTGCACCTCCTCTTCACCCTGCACCTCCTCTTCACCCTGCACCTCCTCTTCACCCTGCACCTCCTCTTCACCCTGCACCTCCTCTTCACCCTGCACCTCCTCTTCACCCTGCACCTCCTCTTCACCCTGCACCTCCTCTTCACCCTGCACCTCCTCTTCACCCTGCACCTCCTCTTCACCCTGCACCTCCTCTTCACCCTGCACCTCCTCTTCACCCTGCACCTCCTCTTCACCCTGCACCTCCTCTTCACCCTGCACCTCCTCTTCACCCTGCACCTCCTCTTCACCCTGCACCTCCTCTTCACCCTGCACCTCCTCTTCACCCTGCACCTCCTCTTCACCCTGCACCTCCTCTTCACCCTGCACCTCCTCTTCACCCTGCACCTCCTCTTCACCCTGCACCTCCTCTTCACCCTGCACCTGCTCTTCACCCTGCACCTGCTCTTCACCCTGCACCTGCTCTTCACCCTGCACCTGCTCTTCACCCTGCACCTGCTCTTCACCCTGCACCTGCTCTTCACCCTGCACCTGCTCTTCACCCTGCACCTGCTCTTCACCCTGCACCTGCTCTTCACCCTGCACCTGCTCTTCACCCTGCACCTGCTCTTCACCCTGCACCTGCTCTTCACCCTGCACCTGCTCTTCACCCTGCACCTGCTCTTCACCCTGCACCTGCTCTTCACCCTGCACCTGCTCTTCACCCTGCACCTGCTCTTCACCCTGCACCTGCTCTTCACCCTGCACCTGCTCTTCACCCTGCACCTGCTCTTCACCCTGCACCTGCTCTTCACCCTGCACCTGCTCTTCACCCTGCACCTGCTCTTCACCCTGCACCTGCTCTTCACCCTGCACCTGCTCTTCACCCTGCACCTGCTCTTCACCCTGCACCTGCTCTTCACCCTGCACCTGCTCTTCACCCTGCACCTGCTCTTCACCCTGCACCTGCTCTTCACCCTGCACCTGCTCTTCACCCTGCACCTCCTCTTCACCCTGCACCTCCTCTTCACCCTGCACCTCCTCTTCACCCTGCACCTCCTCTTCACCCTGCACCTCCTCTTCACCCTGCACCTCCTCTTCACCCTGCACCTGCTCTTCACCCTGCACCTGCTCTTCACCCTGCACCTGCTCTTCACCCTGCACCTGCTCTTCACCCTGCACCTGCTCTTCACCCTGCACCTGCTCTTCACCCTGCACCTCCTCTTCACCCTGCACCTGCTCTTCACCCTGCACCTGCTCTTCACCCTGCACCTGCTCTTCACCCTGCACCTGCTCTTCACCCTGCACCTGCTCTTCACCCTGCACCTGCTCTTCACCCTGCACCTGCTCTTCACCCTGCACCTGCTCTTCACCCTGCACCTGCTCTTCACCCTGCACCTGCTCTTCACCCTGCACCTGCTCTTCACCCTGCACCTGCTCTTCACCCTGCACCTGCTCTTCACCCTGCACCTGCTCTTCACCCTGCACCTGCTCTTCACCCTGCACCTGCTCTTCACCCTGCACCTGCTCTTCACCCTGCACCTGCTCTTCACCCTGCACCTGCTCTTCACCCTGCACCTGCTCTTCACCCTGCACCTGCTCTTCACCCTGCACCTGCTCTTCACCCTGCACCTGCTCTTCACCCTGCACCTGCTCTTCACCCTGCACCTGCTCTTCACCCTGCACCTGCTCTTCACCCTGCACCTGCTCTTCACCCTGCACCTGCTCTTCACCCTGCACCTGCTCTTCACCCTGCACCTGCTCTTCACCCTGCACCTGCTCTTCACCCTGCACCTGCTCTTCACCCTGCACCTGCTCTTCACCCTGCACCTGCTCTTCACCCTGCACCTGCTCTTCACCCTGCACCTGCTCTTCACCCTGCACCTGCTCTTCACCCTGCACCTGCTCTTCACCCTGCACCTGCTCTTCACCCTGCACCTGCTCTTCACCCTGCACCTGCTCTTCACCCTGCACCTGCTCTTCACCCTGCACCTGCTCTTCACCCTGCACCTGCTCTTCACCCTGCACCTGCTCTTCACCCTGCACCTGCTCTTCACCCTGCACCTGCTCTTCACCCTGCACCTGCTCTTCACCCTGCACCTCCTCTTCACCCTGCACCTCCTCTTCACCCTGCACCTGCCTCTTCACCCTGCACCTCCTCTTCACCCTGCACCTCCTCTTCACCCTGCACCTCCTCTTCACCCTGCACCTCCTCTTCACCCTGCACCTCCTCTTCACCCTGCACCTCCTCTTCACCCTGCACCTCCTCTTCACCCTGCACCTCCTCTTCACCCTGCACCTCCTCTTCACCCTGCACCTCCTCTTCACCCTGCACCTCCTCTTCACCCTGCACCTCCTCTTCACCCTGCACCTCCTCTTCACCCTGCACCTCCTCTTCACCCTGCACCTCCTCTTCACCCTGCACCTCCTCTTCACCCTGCACCTCCTCTTCACCCTGCACCTCCTCTTCACCCTGCACCTCCTCTTCACCCTGCACCTCCTCTTCACCCTGCACCTCCTCTTCACCCTGCACCTCCTCTTCACCCTGCACCTCCTCTTCACCCTGCACCTCCTCTTCACCCTGCACCTCCTCTTCACCCTGCACCTCCTCTTCACCCTGCACCTCCTCTTCACCCTGCACCTCCTCTTCACCCTGCACCTCCTCTTCACCCTGCACCTCCTCTTCACCCTGCACCTCCTCTTCACCCTGCACCTCCTCTTCACCCTGCACCTCCTCTTCACCCTGCACCTCCTCTTCACCCTGCACCTCCTCTTCACCCTGCACCTCCTCTTCACCCTGCACCTCCTCTTCACCTGCACCTCCTCTTCACCCTGCACCTCCTCTTCACCCTGCACCTCCTCTTCACCCTGCACCTCCTCTTCACCCTGCACCTCCTCTTCACCCTGCACCTCCTCTTCACCCTGCACCTCCTCTTCACCCTGCACCTCCTCTTCACCCTGCACCTCCTCTTCACCCTGCACCTCCTCTTCACCCTGCACCTCCTCTTCACCCTGCACCTCCTCTTCACCCTGCACCTCCTCTTCACCCTGCACCTCCTCTTCACCCTGCACCTCCTCTTCACCCTGCACCTCCTCTTCACCCTGCACCTGCTCTTCACCCTGCACCTCCTCTTCACCCTGCACCTGCTCTTCACCCTGCACCTCCTCTTCACCCTGCACCTCCTCTTCACCCTGCACCTCCTCTTCACCCTGCACCTGCTCTTCACCCTGCACCTCCTCTTCACCCTGCACCTCCTCTTCACCCTGCACCTCCTCTTCACCCTGCACCTCCTCTTCACCCTGCACCTCCTCTTCACCCTGCACCTCCTCTTCACCCTGCACCTCCTCTTCACCCTGCACCTGCTCTTCACCCTGCACCTGCTCTTCACCCTGCACCTGCTCTTCACCCTGCACCTGCTCTTCACCCTGCACCTCCTCTTCACCCTGCACCTCCTCTTCACCCTGCACCTGCTCTTCACCCTGCACCTCCTCTTCACCCTGCACCTCCTCTTCACCCTGCACCTCCTCTTCACCCTGCACCTGCTCTTCACCCTGCACCTGCTCTTCACCCTGCACCTGCTCTTCACCCTGCACCTGCTCTTCACCCTGCACCTCCTCTTCACCCTGCACCTCCTCTTCACCCTGCACCTGCTCTTCACCCTGCACCTGCTCTTCACCCTGCACCTCCTCTTCACCCTGCACCTGCTCTTCACCCTGCACCTCCTCTTCACCCTGCACCTGCTCTTCACCCTGCACCTCCTCTTCACCCTGCACCTGCTCTTCACCCTGCACCTCCTCTTCACCCTGCACCTCCTCTTCACCCTGCACCTCCTCTTCACCCTGCACCTCCTCTTCACCCTGCACCTCCTCTTCACCCTGCACCTGCTCTTCACCCTGCACCTGCTCTTCACCCTGCACCTGCTCTTCACCCTGCACCTGCTCTTCACCCTGCACCTCCTCTTCACCCTGCACCTCCTCTTCACCCTGCACCTGCTCTTCACCCTGCACCTGCTCTTCACCCTGCACCTGCTCTTCACCCTGCACCTCCTCTTCACCCTGCACCTCCTCTTCACCCTGCACCTGCTCTTCACCCTGCACCTGCTCTTCACCCTGCACCTCCTCTTCACCCTGCACCTGCTCTTCACCCTGCACCTCCTCTTCACCCTGCACCTGCTCTTCACCCTGCACCTCCTCTTCACCCTGCACCTGCTCTTCACCCTGCACCTCCTCTTCACCCTGCACCTGCTCTTCACCCTGCACCTCCTCTTCACCCTGCACCTCCTCTTCACCCTGCACCTCCTCTTCACCCTGCACCTGCTCTTCACCCTGCACCTGCTCTTCACCCTGCACCTGCTCTTCACCCTGCACCTGCTCTTCACCCTGCACCTCCTCTTCACCCTGCACCTCCTCTTCACCCTGCACCTGCTCTTCACCCTGCACCTGCTCTTCACCCTGCACCTCCTCTTCACCCTGCACCTGCTCTTCACCCTGCACCTCCTCTTCACCCTGCACCTGCTCTTCACCCTGCACCTCCTCTTCACCCTGCACCTGCTCTTCACCCTGCACCTCCTCTTCACCCTGCACCTCCTCTTCACCCTGCACCTCCTCTTCACCCTGCACCTCCTCTTCACCCTGCACCTCCTCTTCTCCCTGCACCTGCTCTTCACCCTGCACCTCCTCTTCACCCTGCACCTCCTCTTCACCCTGCACCTCCTCTTCACCCTGCACCTCCTCTTCACCCTGCACCTGCTCTTCACCCTGCACCTGCTCTTCACCCTGCACCTGCTCTTCACCCTGCACCTCCTCTTCACCCTGCACCTCCTCTTCACCCTGCACCTCCTCTTCACCCTGCACCTGCTCTTCACCCTGCACCTGCTCTTCACCCTGCACCTCCTCTTCACCCTGCACCTGCTCTTCACCCTGCACCTCCTCTTCACCCTGCACCTGCTCTTCACCCTGCACCTCCTCTTCACCCTGCACCTGCTCTTCACCCTGCACCTCCTCTTCACCCTGCACCTCCTCTTCACCCTGCACCTCCTCTTCACCCTGCACCTCCTCTTCACCCTGCACCTGCTCTTCACCCTGCACCTGCTCTTCACCCTGCACCTGCTCTTCACCCTGCACCTGCTCTTCACCCTGCACCTCCTCTTCACCCTGCACCTCCTCTTCACCCTGCACCTGCTCTTCACCCTGCACCTGCTCTTCACCCTGCACCTGCTCTTCACCCTGCACCTCCTCTTCACCCTGCACCTCCTCTTCACCCTGCACCTGCTCTTCACCCTGCACCTGCTCTTCACCCTGCACCTCCTCTTCACCCTGCACCTGCTCTTCACCCTGCACCTCCTCTTCACCCTGCACCTGCTCTTCACCCTGCACCTCCTCTTCACCCTGCACCTGCTCTTCACCCTGCACCTCCTCTTCACCCTGCACCTGCTCTTCACCCTGCACCTCCTCTTCACCCTGCACCTCCTCTTCACCCTGCACCTCCTCTTCACCCTGCACCTGCTCTTCACCCTGCACCTGCTCTTCACCCTGCACCTGCTCTTCACCCTGCACCTGCTCTTCACCCTGCACCTCCTCTTCACCCTGCACCTCCTCTTCACCCTGCACCTGCTCTTCACCCTGCACCTGCTCTTCACCCTGCACCTCCTCTTCACCCTGCACCTGCTCTTCACCCTGCACCTCCTCTTCACCCTGCACCTGCTCTTCACCCTGCACCTGCTCTTCACCCTGCACCTGCTCTTCACCCTGCACCTCCTCTTCACCCTGCACCTCCTCTTCACCCTGCACCTCCTCTTCACCCTGCACCTCCTCTTCACCCTGCACCTCCTCTTCACCCTGCACCTCCTCTTCACCCTGCACCTCCTCTTCACCCTGCACCTCCTCTTCACCCTGCACCTCCTCTTCACCCTGCACCTCCTCTTCACCCTGCACCTCCTCTTCACCCTGCACCTGCTCTTCACCCTGCACCTCCTCTTCACCCTGCACCTGCTCTTCACCCTGCACCTCCTCTTCACCCTGCACCTCCTCTTCACCCTGCACCTCCTCTTCACCCTGCACCTCCTCTTCACCCTGCACCTGCTCTTCACCCTGCACCTCCTCTTCACCCTGCACCTCCTCTTCACCCTGCACCTCCTCTTCACCCTGCACCTCCTCTTCACCCTGCACCTCCTCTTCACCCTGCACCTCCTCTTCACCCTGCACCTCCTCTTCACCCTGCACCTCCTCTTCACCCTGCACCTCCTCTTCACCCTGCACCTCCTCTTCACCCTGCACCTGCTCTTCACCCTGCACCTGCTCTTCACCCTGCACCTCCTCTTCACCCTGCACCTGCTCTTCACCCTGCACCTCCTCTTCACCCTGCACCTGCTCTTCACCCTGCACCTCCTCTTCACCCTGCACCTGCTCTTCACCCTGCACCTCCTCTTCACCCTGCACCTCCTCTTCACCCTGCACCTCCTCTTCACCCTGCACCTCCTCTTCACCCTGCACCTCCTCTTCACCCTGCACCTGCTCTTCACCCTGCACCTGCTCTTCACCCTGCACCTGCTCTTCACCCTGCACCTGCTCTTCACCCTGCACCTCCTCTTCACCCTGCACCTCCTCTTCACCCTGCACCTGCTCTTCACCCTGCACCTGCTCTTCACCCTGCACCTGCTCTTCACCCTGCACCTCCTCTTCACCCTGCACCTCCTCTTCACCCTGCACCTGCTCTTCACCCTGCACCTGCTCTTCACCCTGCACCTCCTCTTCACCCTGCACCTGCTCTTCACCCTGCACCTCCTCTTCACCCTGCACCTGCTCTTCACCCTGCACCTCCTCTTCACCCTGCACCTGCTCTTCACCCTGCACCTCCTCTTCACCCTGCACCTGCTCTTCACCCTGCACCTCCTCTTCACCCTGCACCTCCTCTTCACCCTGCACCTCCTCTTCACCCTGCACCTGCTCTTCACCCTGCACCTGCTCTTCACCCTGCACCTGCTCTTCACCCTGCACCTGCTCTTCACCCTGCACCTCCTCTTCACCCTGCACCTCCTCTTCACCCTGCACCTGCTCTTCACCCTGCACCTGCTCTTCACCCTGCACCTCCTCTTCACCCTGCACCTGCTCTTCACCCTGCACCTCCTCTTCACCCTGCACCTGCTCTTCACCCTGCACCTCCTCTTCACCCTGCACCTGCTCTTCACCCTGCACCTCCTCTTCACCCTGCACCTCCTCTTCACCCTGCACCTCCTCTTCACCCTGCACCTCCTCTTCACCCTGCACCTCCTCTTCTCCCTGCACCTGCTCTTCACCCTGCACCTCCTCTTCACCCTGCACCTCCTCTTCACCCTGCACCTCCTCTTCACCCTGCACCTCCTCTTCACCCTGCACCTGCTCTTCACCCTGCACCTGCTCTTCACCCTGCACCTGCTCTTCACCCTGCACCTCCTCTTCACCCTGCACCTCCTCTTCACCCTGCACCTCCTCTTCACCCTGCACCTGCTCTTCACCCTGCACCTGCTCTTCACCCTGCACCTCCTCTTCACCCTGCACCTGCTCTTCACCCTGCACCTCCTCTTCACCCTGCACCTGCTCTTCACCCTGCACCTCCTCTTCACCCTGCACCTGCTCTTCACCCTGCACCTCCTCTTCACCCTGCACCTCCTCTTCACCCTGCACCTCCTCTTCACCCTGCACCTCCTCTTCACCCTGCACCTGCTCTTCACCCTGCACCTGCTCTTCACCCTGCACCTGCTCTTCACCCTGCACCTGCTCTTCACCCTGCACCTCCTCTTCACCCTGCACCTCCTCTTCACCCTGCACCTGCTCTTCACCCTGCACCTGCTCTTCACCCTGCACCTGCTCTTCACCCTGCACCTCCTCTTCACCCTGCACCTCCTCTTCACCCTGCACCTGCTCTTCACCCTGCACCTGCTCTTCACCCTGCACCTCCTCTTCACCCTGCACCTGCTCTTCACCCTGCACCTCCTCTTCACCCTGCACCTGCTCTTCACCCTGCACCTCCTCTTCACCCTGCACCTGCTCTTCACCCTGCACCTCCTCTTCACCCTGCACCTGCTCTTCACCCTGCACCTCCTCTTCACCCTGCACCTCCTCTTCACCCTGCACCTCCTCTTCACCCTGCACCTGCTCTTCACCCTGCACCTGCTCTTCACCCTGCACCTGCTCTTCACCCTGCACCTGCTCTTCACCCTGCACCTCCTCTTCACCCTGCACCTCCTCTTCACCCTGCACCTGCTCTTCACCCTGCACCTGCTCTTCACCCTGCACCTCCTCTTCACCCTGCACCTGCTCTTCACCCTGCACCTCCTCTTCACCCTGCACCTGCTCTTCACCCTGCACCTCCTCTTCACCCTGCACCTGCTCTTCACCCTGCACCTCCTCTTCACCCTGCACCTCCTCTTCACCCTGCACCTCCTCTTCACCCTGCACCTCCTCTTCACCCTGCACCTCCTCTTCACCCTGCACCTCCTCTTCACCCTGCACCTCCTCTTCACCCTGCACCTCCTCTTCACCCTGCACCTCCTCTTCACCCTGCACCTCCTCTTCACCCTGCACCTCCTCTTCACCCTGCACCTCCTCTTCACCCTGCACCTCCTCTTCACCCTGCACCTCCTCTTCACCCTGCACCTCCTCTTCACCCTGCACCTCCTCTTCACCCTGCACCGGCTCTTCACCCTGCACCTCCTCTTCACCCTGCACCGGCTCTTCACCCTGCACCTCCTCTTCACCCTGCACCGGCTCTTCACCCTGCACCTGCTCTTCACCCTGCACCTGCTCTTCACCCTGCACCTGCTCTTCACCCTGCACCTGCTCTTCACCCTGCACCTGCTCTTCACCCTGCACCTGCTCTTCACCCTGCACCTGCTCTTCACCCTGCACCTCCTCTTCACCCTGCACCTGCTCTTCACCCTGCACCTCCTCTTCACCCTGCACCTGCTCTTCACCCTGCACCTCCTCTTCACCCTGCACCTGCTCTTCACCCTGCACCTCCTCTTCACCCTGCACCTGCTCTTCACCCTGCACCTCCTCTTCACCCTGCACCTCCTCTTCACCCTGCACCTCCTCTTCACCCTGCACCTCCTCTTCACCCTGCACCTCCTCTTCACCCTGCACCTCCTCTTCACCCTGCACCTCCTCTTCACCCTGCACCTGCTCTTCACCCTGCACCTGCTCTTCACCCTGCACCTGCTCTTCACCCTGCACCTGCTCTTCACCCTGCACCTGCTCTTCACCCTGCACCTCCTCTTCACCCTGCACCTGCTCTTCACCCTGCACCTCCTCTTCACCCTGCACCTGCTCTTCACCCTGCACCTCCTCTTCACCCTGCACCTGCTCTTCACCCTGCACCTCCTCTTCACCCTGCACCTGCTCTTCACCCTGCACCTCCTCTTCACCCTGCACCTCCTCTTCACCCTGCACCTCCTCTTCACCCTGCACCTCCTCTTCACCCTGCACCTCCTCTTCACCCTGCACCTCCTCTTCACCCTGCACCTCCTCTTCACCCTGCACCTCCTCTTCACCCTGCACCTCCTCTTCACCCTGCACCTGCTCTTCACCCTGCACCTGCTCTTCACCCTGCACCTGCTCTTCACCCTGCACCTGCTCTTCACCCTGCACCTCCTCTTCACCCTGCACCTCCTCTTCACCCTGCACCTGCTCTTCACCCTGCACCTGCTCTTCACCCTGCACCTCCTCTTCACCCTGCACCTGCTCTTCACCCTGCACCTCCTCTTCACCCTGCACCTGCTCTTCACCCTGCACCTCCTCTTCACCCTGCACCTGCTCTTCACCCTGCACCTCCTCTTCACCCTGCACCTCCTCTTCACCCTGCACCTCCTCTTCACCCTGCACCTCCTCTTCACCCTGCACCTCCTCTTCACCCTGCACCTCCTCTTCACCCTGCACCTCCTCTTCACCCTGCACCTCCTCTTCACCCTGCACCTCCTCTTCACCCTGCACCTCCTCTTCACCCTGCACCTCCTCTTCACCCTGCACCTCCTCTTCACCCTGCACCTCCTCTTCACCCTGCACCTCCTCTTCACCCTGCACCTCCTCTTCTCATGCCGACTCTCCTGTTTCCTCCTTCTCCCTGTTGCACAGCCTCACTTACCCACTGCCCCCTCCTGTGCTCGTGCTCTAGCTGCCTGAGCCCGAGTCACAGGACCCGCTTGGTGAGGCTTGCTCCCCCTCACCATGGCCGTGTTGCTCTGGTGCTCCTTCAGGAGTGCCCCTGTGTCATTTTCCAGAACCAACACCCCTGAGGGACGGACCTCCTTCACCCTCCACCTCTCCGTGCCCACCCCAACATCCAGCGTGTCTTGCTTTGCCCGCTTCAAGTACACTTCCTGCCCCTGACTCACTCCCTTCCTGGGTCTGCCCCCCGCACCTTGCTGTTGCCTCTGCTCATATCTCCGAGCATCCCGCAGCTGTGCGGTGTGGAGATTCTCCAATGCCGCTGGCATCATCACTCGTAGGTATCTTGCCCTGGTCTCGGACAGCGCCACCCAGTTCTCTATCGTCCTTGCAGTCACAGTGTCTGTGAGGACCCGGGTTGCTCCCACCGGCAGCAGCGGCTCACACCCATATAGGAGACTATAAGGGGAGTGATCTCTCAGCGCCGCCTGCTTCCCAAATCTGTACCCTGCTGCTATCCAATGCAGCTCCTCGTCCCAGTCCCGCTTCCTCTTTTCCCCGTACGCTCGCAGTCCCCGCTTCAAGGTCTGGACCAGTCGCTCAGTCAGCCCATCGCTCTGTGGGTGGTACCGCGAAGTGCGCCTGTGGGTGATCCCAGTCTCCTCCAGCAGCCCCTTAACTCCCCTTGGAACTCTGTCCCTTGATCTGTTAGGACCTCTGCACATGCCCCGAACCTGCACAACACTTGTTCCTTGAACGCTGCTGCCACGTGTCTGGAGCTCTTGCTCGGGATCGCTCTTACCTCCGGCCACTTGCTCACATGTTCGACCATGAGCACTATGTACTGCTTCCCCCCACGGCTCAGTGGCAGCTCCCCCGCCAGGTCTAAGGACCATCGGAAGCCGAGGCCTCGGATGGGCAGCGACTGCAACTCCGCCTTGGCTTGGGTGAGGTTTGCCCTGCTCCTTTGGCATGCCTCACAGCCCTCCACCCACCCCTTTACTTGCCTCCGCATCCCCTCCCACCACCACCCTGTCTTCAACAGCTGCACTGTCCTCTCGTGCCCAAAGTGCCCTAGCTTGGTGTGGACTTCCTTAATCACTGCTTCTCTCTCGCTTGGGGCCGGCACCAGCTTCCATCCGTCCTCTGTCTGCACCTGCAACTGCTGCTGGTACCACCTGTAATGCTGGCCCCTTGCCCTCACTCGTGCCGGCAGCGCTTCGTCCTCTCCTGTCTCTCCCTTCACCCATCGCATGGCCGGTTCGTCCTCCCAAATCTCTGCTGGCCCCTTCCCCTCCTTGGCCCCGTTCTGCTCCACTAATCTGGCCAGCATTGTCAAGGTCACAGTGGGCTCGAGCGGCGGCGGGTTCCGAGAGAGGCCATCCACGTGTTGCAGTGTTTTTCCTGGCCTATGCCTAATCTTGAAGTCATACTCCTGCAGCTTCATCGCCCATCTTGCATTCCTGCCCGTCAGTCCCGGGGTTGACATCAGCCACGTCAGGGGCTGGTGGTCTGTTACTAAGGTGAATTCCCTCCCCTGCAGGTACACCCTGAAATGCCCTACTGCCCATACGCCTGCCAACCCTTCTCCGATGTAGGAGCTGTACTGCGCCTCTGCCGAGTTGCAGCTCCTGCTCGCATATGCCACTACCTTCTCCTCTCTTTCTACCTCCTGGCAGAGAATCCCCCCCATCCCTTGGCTGCTCCAATCGGTGTAGAGCGTGAACGGCTGATCAGCGGCGGGCAGCTTGAGCACCGTCGCGGTCTTCACTGCTGCCATCAGGTCCTGCAGCGCCCCTTTCTGTGCTTCCTCCCACTCCCACGCCTGGTCCTCCCGCAATAGCACATTCAACACCGCTGCTCGCTTGCTGAAGTTGGGCACAAACCGCCTGTAGTAGCTCAAGAAGCCCAGCACTGCTCTCAGCCCTGACTTGTCCCTCGGCTCCCTCAGTCTGTCCAGGACTTCCACCTTGGCCTGTTGGATCCCTATCTGTCCCCCTTTCACCTCATACCCTAGGTACTACACCGTCTGTTCCCCCCATCTGCACTTCTTCGGATGGCAGGTGAGTCCCGCCGCTTCAATCGCCGCCAGGGTCCGCTCCACATCCTACAGGTGCTGCTGCTCTGTGGTGCTGAAGATCACCACATCATCAATGTAGCAGGCTGCGCACTCCACTCCCCGCAGCACGCTGTCCATGACCCTCTGGAATACTGCTGATGCGTTCCTCAGTCCAAACGGCATGTACAACCACTCGTACAGCCCGTCTGGCCCATGAAAGGCCGTCTTCCTAACGTCCTCCTCTCGGATTTTGATCTGGTTGAACCCCTGCCGCAGGTCCAGCGTAGTGAAGAACACCCCCTCTGCCAGTTTGTCAAAGATCTCCTCCGCCATCGGCATCGGGTACCTGTCTGCTACGGTGATTTTGTTGAGTGCCCTGTAGTCTCCACACATCCTCCTGCTCAGCACCTCCCCTGTCAGGTCTCTCCTGGCTGCCACCACTGTGGGTGTGGCATACTCGGACTCCGATCTCCTAATCAGTCCTGCTTCCAGCAGCTCCTTGATCTTCTCCTTGCAGATCTCCTCATCCCCAGGCGGCATCTTCCTCCTGCGCTGGAACACTGGTTCTGTGCTGCTTAGCTTCAGCTCCATCTCCTTCACCTTGCACCTTCCCAGTTCTTGCATGGTGAAGGCAAAACACTTCCTGTGCCTGGCGAGCAGCTCCTGCATGGCCTCCTTTCCCTCCTTGCTCATCACTTCCCCCACCACCTAGCTCTCCTCCTCCTTCTCCTGGCAGCTCCATGCACCCCGTGGCTCCGCCTCCATCCTTCCTCTCTCTTCCGCCTGCCCCCAGCTCACGACCGTCTCCCGCCACATCCGCTGAATCAGCCACCTCATCACGTGGCCATCCATTGTATTCCCCAGAGCCCTCCTCCTGTCCGCTTCACTTGCCCCAGGCGCTGCTGTTGCGTCTTCCCCGTATCCCATTGCCAGCTCTCGCTCCAGTGTCGTGGGCTCCTCCCATCTCCCCTTCTTGTGGTCATACACCACTCCCGGCCCCGGCTTCCCTGCTTCCCACTTGTACCCTGCTGCCCCGACATACGCCACCAGCGTGGGCAGAGCCCTCCTCTCCTGCCCCACTTGGTTGCACTGCTCGTGCCTGCTGTAGCTCTTGCGACACACTGGTGCTGGGGTCCGCCCTGGTTCCAGGATGTCCTTCACCTTCCTTTCTGCTGCTCGCCTTACCCCCTCCATCTCTGCCTGCAGCTGCTCGGCAGGGACCACATTCTGCCAGTACATTCTGAGCATGTGCGCGTAGGACCCCATTCTGGCCGCATCACAGCTCACTCCTTCTCCCAGTTGTCCCCTGATCCTGTCCCTCACCAGTCGGATTGGCTCTCTGCTATCCCCCTCCAGGTCCAGGTTCTCCAGCAAGTATGCCACCCTGCCCTGCCTCTCCTGCAGCCATTCCATGATTCGGAACAGATCCTCCAGCAGCCCCGTCCTATGATCTTCTCCTCCCTTGCCCCTGCCTGCCCAAGACACCCCTTGGCATTCCCACCCTGCCACCAGCAGATCCACCTGCCCCCAGCTCGCTACTTCGGCCTCACCTATGTCTTTCACATCGTGAATCGTCCCCCCCATCGCCTTGCTGATCACCTCCTCACTCAGCAAGTCCGGGAATTTCGCTTGCAGCTTCCTGGCATGGTGCTCCGCCATCCTCCTCACCCCGGATTGCTTCTCCACATATGTCCATCTCTTCACTGCTATCCCATTCCTCACCACTGCTGACAGCCCAGCCCCTATCCCCCCAAATAACTCCACCAGGTGGATGGGCTGCTGCCAATCACTCTGCTGCTGCGGCTTGTCCATCCCCTTCATTCTAGGCGCTCCTCCCCTCCCTGGCAGCCCTCCTTGCTCCCCTGGCAGCCGCTCCCCCACGGTCTGGTACGCTCTCTTCGGCTCCACCTTCATGAATCGCACTGGCAGTTCTCCTAGCGGCCCCTCCCTTTTCCAGTATCTGGTCCTAAACTCCACCCTCTCCATCCAAGTGCAGATGGTCATTCCTACCGCATACACCAGCTCGGTGCCCACCAGCACATCGAAGTCCTCCGACTCGGAAATCCCACACTTCATGCGGATTTTGGTTTCATGTGTCCCCCCCGGCAGCAGCGTCACTTCTATGGGCGTCCGTGTGCATGGCATCCATTTCGGCTCCCCCGCTTCCGCTGTCATCACCAGCATCCCCTTGGCCACGTGCCTCTCCGGAGCCAGCAGTCCCAGCCTCTCAGCCATCCCTCTGCCCAACATTACGCTCTGTGCCCCCGTATCTATGATGGCTGTCGTTACCTTCACTCCCTCCACTTTTATGGCTCCCTTTTCAAGCAGCAGCACTGAGGTCTGGCATGCCAGCCTCTCTTGGGGGTGGCGTGCGGGGGCTGGCTCTTGGGCTGGCTCGGATGGCGCTTCTCCCTTCACCTGCTCCTTCCTTCCTTGCTCTCGCCTGCCATCTCTTCCCCCGCTTCTCAGCCCCATCTCCTCTCTCCCCCTCCATGCCATGAGAGCACACTGCACGTCCTGCTCCACCTCCTCTCCCCCCCCTTCTCCCGCGTACATTCCTGCCTCCGCCTCCCCCTTCAGCCCTGTTGCCCTCAGCTGTGCCTGCAACCTGTTAATCTGCCGCTGCAGCTCCTCTGGATGCCTCCTACTCCCCCCTTCCCTCTGGTAGCAATCCTTCGCCTCATGTCCCTGCCTTTTGCAGATTTCACACCGGGCTGCATCCGGGCATTCCCGCTTCCTATGCCCCGGCTTCCCGCACCCATCACAGTTTTTGCAGTCCCTGCGCAGATGGCCTGGCTGTCCACACCTGTGGCATGTCCTGGTATCCGCCCCAGTCTCCCCTCTTCCCTCCGTTCTCCCTCCTCCTCCCGGTATTATGGCCGCCGCCCACGTTGGCCGCCTACTCCTCTCTGCTGGCCTGGGGAGATATGCCTCGAATTTCCTTTGCGCGAGCTCCACCCTCTCCGCCAGGGCGAACACCTCCTCCAGGCTTGCATCCGCTCCGAGCTCATACACCCTCATCCTCAGCCCCCCCCCTAAGGCCTCGTCCAAGCCCCCCAGGAACTTGCTGGCGAGAAGGCTGCTGTCCGTGCATCTCACGTCCTCCGCCACATTTATCAGCCGGTTGTAGTAGGTCAGCAATGATTCAGTCCGGCCCCTGCTGAATTCCTGGAACTCCCTTATGCGCTCGGCCGTGTGCCCTGGGAATTGCCGCTGCAGCCTCTCCAGGAATGCCTCGGTGGGGTCCTCGCCGTACCTCCCCGCCCTCCACAGCAGTTCCTCCATCCTCATACGGTAGAGCGTCTCGGCCTCTCCCTCGAGCGTGTTCGGCAGGCTCAGGAAGAAGTCTACTGGATCCATGTGGTGCCGGTCGCAGCGGTACCGCACATTCCCCACCTGCATGAGGTAGTTCTTGAGGGTCGGTCCTGCACGCTGGTCACCTGAGAATCTGGCGGGCACCTCCACCCGCGGGGCGCCGTTGCTGCCCCCACGCCCCTCTCCCCATGCCTCGCTGGCCCCTTCCTGCCGACTCCTCTCTGTTCCCCTCGCCCGTGCCCTCTGCATGCCCTCTCTAGCTTCCCGCGCCCGCTCTGCCCCTTGCGCCAGAGTTCCGCCTTCCGTTCTGCTCTCTTGGCGGTTTCCGCCTGCCTCGTACCGCCTCTCCCTCGATCCTCCTCGCCCCTCTGTCCGTCCCCACTACACCGTCGGCGGTCCGTGCACCTCCCGCTCCTCCCATCTGCTCATCTCGCGCCGCGGCCGCCTCTCTGGCGATGGTGACTAGGCGTCCAAGTGCTCCCTCCAAGTGCGCGGCTGACGCCACGGTGACCGCTCCCCCGCGTACTTCTCCCTGCGCGTGTGTTGTCCGTCCGACGAGCGGGACCAGCTGCTGTCTCTCCGCTCCCTCTGCCTAGTCCGGCCTGGCGAGCGCATGGTGCTGCTACGTCCCCCTTGCTGCTGACCGTGCCGCTTCGGCGACGCTGTTTCCGCCTCTCGCCCCCTCTCACCACGCGGCTGCTGCCGTCCTGCCGAATGCGAAGCGCCGCCGCTCCACTCTCCCTGCTCCTGGCGCTCGCCGCGCGGGCGGAACTCGCCCACGCGCCCTCCCCCGAGGCGCCGCTCCCTCTCCGCCGAGCGGGACCGCTCCTCCTTCCCCTTGCCGCGCGGATTCGGCGCCTGCCACGCTCGATGGCTCATCTCTGGCCCGCCCAGCTCCTGCCGTCCAGAGCTCTCCGTGCGCCGCCCTTCCTCGTGGGGATCGTCTCGACCGCGCGATCCCGGCGGCGGGGCCTCTGCTTCCGCGACCGCCACCGGGCTCGTCTCCGCTTGCGCTTCCGCCGGCTCGGTTTCCGCATCGCCCGTTCCTCCTGTTCGCGCCTCGTTCGCCCCTTCTATCCCTGCCTCCTCGTCTGACCGTCCCGATCCTTCTTCCTCGTCCTCCGCGCCCTGCTCAGGCGTCTCTTCTCGAACTGCATTGTGCGGCGAGTTCTCTCCGCGAGCGACGCTACCGCCGCTCCCTCCTTGTCCGCGAGACTGCTCGCCGAACGCCAACCACCGCCCTCTCTCGTCGCGACGTCGTCCGCGCTCCTCCGGGGAGCGGAACACCTTTCCGCCGCGGTGGTTTCCGCCCTCCGCGCCAGGTCCGCGTCCGCTCTCCAGGAGCCACGCATTTCGATCCGCGCGTTCGGCGTGTCCTTCGTCATTCGTTCGCGCATCGGCTACTCGACCGTCCCTCACAGCAGGGACCCGATCGGCGCGGAAGGCGGGACGGCGCGGCGATCGCTCCATGGATCGCCCACGCTCTCGTGACGGCTCTCGGCGCTCCCGTTCCTCCTCCCGTCGGCTATACGCCCTACCCCAGCGCAGCTCGTATCGATCCATCTCGTTCGCGCTAGGAAGTTACAGTCCTAGCCCCCGTGTCCTTTCTCGTTGTTATGAAAGAGCCTGGTCTCTCACCCCGTAGGTTCCCTCTTAGTGTCGTGCTGTCGTGTGCTAGAGCCTGAGACAATCAGATTCACTAGTGTAAGAGAATAACAACGAGAAAGCATCGATGGGTTGGAGGTGAGTGACCTTACCCCACCCCTGGCTGCACATTTCCAAATGTGCGGCTCGGGGTTGGGGTTCATTGGTTTCACATTTCGCCCTTCGGAGTCTTTCCCCCTTTTTATCTCAACCGCTCTTATCATGTTTCCCCCCTTCTACACCCTCGCTCCTAACAGTAACTTCGCTACATCCTACACCTATTACTTATATTCTTATTCCTATCTCATCTTCCTATGGACTTAGTATGAAGCCCACACTATACCATCATTCTACTGTTATTGCATATGCATTAAGTGCATATGCGGTGACACCATGGACTCACTTTCACCCATGGACTCACTTTCACCCATGGACTCACTTTCACCCATGGACTCACCTTGACCCATGGACTCACCTTGACTGCAGCATGCACGCAGCGAGCATGGTAAGCCTTGGCGCAGGGAATCAGGCCCACCACCGCCCCTCCCCCACCGCCCCACTCCGCCGCCGTCGCTGCCACCGCCTCGTCCGACCAATAGCAGGGCGACAGCTGGCCCTCGGAGGACTTGCAGGCGAAGCAGTAGAGCTCGTGCGTGGCGGAGAGGGAGTGCGGCGGCGGGCCCTTCTCAGCGCGCAGCATGAGGCACGTCAGGTACCGCTCGTGCCGCCGCACCCGCTCCTCCTCCCCTCCCGCCTCCTCCTCCCCTCCCCCCTCCTCCTGGCCGCCATGTGCCGCGGTGGGAGGCGTGGGCGTGGCGGCGGGGGCACGGGAGGACTGGGAGCGCGACCGCTTGGTTGGCGTGACCCCTACTGCTGATGCGGCCACGCCACCACCAGCACCACCTGAAGCAGCCCCTGAAGCAGCCCCTGAAGCAGCCCCTGAAGCAGCCCCTGAAGCAGCCCCTGAAGCAGCCCCTGAAGCAGCTCCTGGGGCAGCGCCCATTGTTCCCCCTGCTCTGCCTGCGCCACCATCTGCGGCTGCTCCAGTGGGTGGCACAGCCGGCATGCTGAGCAGCGCCCTCCCTGCCGCCCCCTGACTGCCTGCCGCCCCCACAGGGCCGGGCGGGGGAGGGGCAGAGGATGGGGGGGTGGCCGATGCGGGCAGGGGGAGAGAGAGGCGGGGGTGGGGTGCAGGGGGGGCACTGGCAGCAGCAGCCGCAGCAGCAGAGGGCGGAGGGGTGGACGCGCGTGCCTCTGCTGACACAGCCTCAGTGGCTGCTGACGTGGAAGGGGCGGGCGCGGGGGGAGGGGTGGGCGGCGGGGAGGGAGGCGGGGGGAGGTAGGCGGCGGCCTCCTTGGAGAGGGGGGGGGCGAGGGCGGAGGTGCACCAGCGGTGGCGGCGGAAGAGCCCCTTGAGGTAGTTGAGCCACCGCGTCTTGATCGCCTGGATGGACCTGCTCGCACACGAGGGGGTGGGGGTGGGGGTGGGGGTGGGGGTGGGGGTGGTGGGGGTGGAGCAACGCGGCAAGCTTTGGGGTGGCGCGGGAGTCCCTTGATACCCACTGGGTGACAACCAGGGTGTTACTTAGGCGCCGCGAATGCCCTTCCCAAAAAGAGCATGCGGCGCAGCACAGAGAAAGCGAGTGGCAAGAGTTGCTGCAGTGGGCAGTGGGCAATGGGCCCGGCACCACACACGCACTTACCGGCCGGGCAGGATGCGTTCGATGCTGATCCAGCGGGTGCCGAAGAGCACGCGCCCCACCAGCAGGATGGCGTCCTCGTTGGGCGTCCACCGCTCTATCTTCGCCTCCCCCCCGCCCTCCCGCCCTCCCCCGCCCTCCCGCGACCCCAGCGTGCCCTTCACCCCCAGCGCTGACGTCATCATCTCCTCCGCCAGGCGGTCCTTCCACTTCTCCCCCTCCCCGCCCAACCCTCCGCCCATCTCCACCTCCCCCGTGCGCCCCGGCAGCCCCCCCAGGCGGCGTCTGGCGCGCTCCAGGAAGCGCACGGCGGCCACGGCGGCGGGGAACGACCCGCGGATCATGTTGCTGTCCACCACGGGGAACGACAACCCCTCCGCCCCCTGCTGCTGCGCCTGCTCGCCCCCGCCCTGCTCCCCGCCCTGCTGCTGCTGCGCGGCCCTCTCTCTGTCCGCCGCGATGAGCTCCTTCAGCCACGCGGGCATCATCGTCTCCTCGCTCGCCGCCGCGCCGCCGCTCTCCCCGCCCGCCGCTGCCCCGCCTGCTGACGCGCCCGGCCGGCTCCGCGCCGACCGCGGCCTGCCCGGACCCCTGCGCGCAACCACCGCTTCCGCCGATGCGTCGTCCGCCCCCCCCTCGCCGTCCGACCCCGCGTGCTCCCCCGCGTCCGCGTCCGTGTCGTCCGCGCCGTCCCGCCCCGCCGCGTCCTCGTCCTCCGCGCCGCGCTCGTCGTCGTCGCCGTCGGCGCGCTGCACGGCGAAGGAGCCGGGCGGCGGCACCCAGTGCGCGTAGAGGTCGGGCGGCACGGGCTCAAGGTCGGCGACGAACGCGCCGTAGTACGCGACGCCGGCCTCCTGGCGGGCGCGCAGCGCGGCGAGCAGCAGGTTGTAGTAAAGCACGTCCATCTCCGGCGACGGCGACCGCGACGACGCCGCTGCGCGCCGAGCCCGCTTCACTCCCGCCATGGCGTTACCGTGTTGTCGCAAACAAGTGGCGATGACTCGCAACCTGCAAGCACAGTGCGATGCGATTATTCGACGTTTTTTCGGGTTGGGTTTGCATCCTTCCTCGGCATTTCGAGGAAATCCTGACCCACCCGAGCGTGTTCAAAATAAACCCAGTAGGCATGGACAATTGGGCCTCCTCGTTCTGTTGCCGCATGAGCAGTTTGGGCCTTCTGCACAAGCACTGCGGGATGGGCTTTCCTCGAAGGGGTCTCCCGCGGCCTCGGCGAAGTTCGTTTGTGTACCAAACCTCTGGTGCGGGAGTTGTGCGCGCATCACTGTACTGTTTGTGCGCTGGGAAAATTTCACGAGCTTGGCTCCACAGGCAAAATTTCGCATGACCTGTGCAAGCCCTATGCGCTCGTTGAGGGGGGAATGAAGAGGCGCACATGGAAGAGCCCGCAGCCCGCTGTACTTGTGCGGCAGTCGTGAATGGATTGTTCGCCAACAGAAGGGAGTGCAACTTTCATTCAAGGAAGTGCAGCTGAACATGGGCGATTTAGTTCCGGATTGAAAGCTTTTATACAGATTATACAATGGAAACATTCTATTCTTATCTCCATTTCAGGAGTTTCGATCTCCTACCGTATTTTACAACAGCAATTCATTCCTGATGGTGGCCGATTACCCGCCAACAGAGCTGCAGATTTTGCAGCGTTCAAGCAGCCACCTTCTAATATTCATCTCACGCGGCAACGAAGCGAGGCAAAACATGCCACGCAGGTGCCACGAGCACACCCGCAGCAACACAACACAACGCCACAGCCACCCACAGCAGCAGCCTCTGCTCATGAAGCCATCGCCTCACTGCCACCACCAGCGGCCGCAGCAGCAGAGCAAGCAGCGTCCAGGGAGACAGCTCCCCCAGCTCCTCCAGCTCTCTCAATTGCCCCTTGCCGCCCACACCGCCACTCAACTCCTCTGCCTTCATAGAACCATAAGCTTTGGCCCTGGACACAGTTTTTTTTTTTGCAAGCGTAGTTAGAGTTTTGTCTGGCTGGTGCGGCCGCTCGACCCACCCCGTGGCAACTGTCACTCTGTGCCGCCGCACCACCCTGCTGCTGCTAGTCCTGCCATTACTCCTCCCCTCGTTACTCCCCACATGCTTAGCCACTTGCCTGCTTCCGCCAGACCCCACAGACCCTCCTCCACTGCTGGCAGTGTCCTGCAAGTCAGGGTCGGCACTCTCGTCATCAGTCACCACAGACGACAATACATCAACCTCCTCTGATTCAATCTCCTCTGTCTCCACCTCTTCTGTCTCCACCTCCCACTCATCCATCTCTAAGGCTCTTCTCCCGCTTCTCCATCCCCTGCCACTAACCCCCAACAGCCTGTCTTTGTGCACCACCCTTCCTTCAGAATCCACCCACCACCGCGAATCAAACACCTCCTCTTCCTCGTCCTCCTCGCTCCACTCCTCTACCTCTACCTCCACCTGCTTCTCCACCCCACCGCCCTTTTTCCCCGATACCCCCTCACCCTGCAAGCCACCAGCCGCCCCTCTGCCTGCAGCCAGCTCAGCGGCGTGGGCAGGGCGAGCAGGGAGGGCGGAGAGCAGCTGCAGCATGCCGCTCAGGTACCGGGGCGCGGGCCGCAGGCCACCAGCCTGCCTTGTCCCTCCCCCACCTGCCCCTGCACGTGACAGAGAGTGCACCGGCCTGCCTCCCCCCACTCGCCCTGCCTTGGAAATTACCGCCGCTGGCCCCACTGGGCCATGAGACTTTACGGGCTGGAGGACGGAGGCTGTTGAATCTGCTCCTGCTTTGGATGGTGCCGCCTCCGCCTCTACACCTGCCCCTGACCCTGCTGCTGTTGTTGCTGCTGGTGCCGCTTCTGCTGCTGTGGGAGCAGCAGCTCCGAGGTTGACGGAGCGCCGAGCGGGCAGGTACTGCTGCCACGGGTGGCGCTGCCCGCGTGTCTTCTTGGACTGTGCGATGAGGTCTGCTATGGGCCGGGTGCGCGCACACACACACCGCTGCTCGCCAATCTCCTTCCTTGCTGCCTCCCCTGGCTCTGGTGCCAGAGAATGCACTGAGACCTGTGCAGTTGAATCCACTGCATCAACTGTATTCACTTCATCGACTGTATCGACTGCACTTAAGCAGTCTGAGGAAATAGCACTGGCTGTTGCAGCAGGCGCTGCAAGGCCCAGTGATTTAACAGCAGCTGCTGAAATGCCTGCTGTTGCTGTTGTAAGTTTCTCCGCCTGTGCTACGGAAGCGTCGTTGGATTGAGCAATACTTGAAGTCCTAAAGGCGCGCTCAAGGCCACCAGCACACACCGCTTGTGCTGCAGCGCTGCCGCCCGGCAGCACACCAAGTGTCGGCATCATCTGGGATGGAGTTGCTGCAGTGGGGCCTGCTGGCCCCTCCGCCTCCATCAAGGTTTCACTGCTCCTACTCCGCCCTGCCCTGCCTCTCCCCACATCTGCATCTCCCCTCTCCTCATGCTGTGGAACGTTGAACTGAGCCTCGTGGCGGCCAGCCACGTCGCCACCTCCTGCTACCTGCAGCCTCGCCTGCTGCAGAGGCTGCTGTCTTGCGTGTAATATCTCCCTGCCGCCTGGAACAACCACCCCTGCACCTCCGTCGCCATCGCCACCGCCAACCATCTCGCCATCACCATGACCATCCATCATCTCACCCTCCATGCTTCCCTCCCCTCCATGCCCCTCTACTCCTCCACGCGCCTCCCCTCCTCCATGCTCCAGCAATCGTGGATCATGCTGCGCGTCAAGAGCCGCCGCACCTCCGTCTTCCACCACCGCACGCCCTGCTGCCGCCCCAAGCATCACGACACCAGCTGCTGCTCCGCCTGGCCCCGCCTCCGCTGCTCCTGCAGGGGCCGGAAGCACTCCTCCCGCTGCGGCAGGTAAGGCAGGAGCTGCAGGCGCGGCAGCAGGAGCGGCCATTTGTGCAGCAGGAACGGCAGGAGGGGCTAGATGCGGCCCAGCGGCCACACGTGGGGCTGGTGCCGCGAGAGGCAGGGCGGCAACAGTCCTGGCAGGAGCACCAGGAACAGGGAGCTCTAACAAATGATGAGCTATAGGAACACCAGCTAAAGGCTCGACCGCTAGGGGAGCATCCGCTATAGGAACACCAGGTGCACCTGCAGGAGCAGCAAAGGCGGCAGGGGCAGCAAGGGCGGCAGGGGGAGGAGGGGCGGCAGGGGCAGCGGCGAGGGCGGCGGCGTCAGCAACAAGCACTAGATCATCCAGCCCTGCCAACTCCGCCTCCCCTTCCATCTCCGCGTGCCCTCCCCGTTCCTGTAACGGGTGTGGCTGTAACGCAAGCGCTTCAAGAACATGTGCATGCAGTCGAACGGGCTCAGCAGCCGCTAACCCTACAGCACCACCTCCTCTTGCACCGCCCTCCGCCGCACCGTTTTCTGCCACACCGCCCTGTGGCACGGGCAATATGCGTACTCCTTCCTCCTCTTGCCCCACCACCCACAGTGCACCTGCCCCCCCAGCAGCACCACCAAACGAACCGTCTGCAGCAGCACCGGCGGCACCAGCAGCAGGAGCATAATCACCCGCACCAGCATGCGTGTGGGCGTGAGCGGGGTGGTGTGTCATCCGCGCCCCGTGTCCTTCCACATCTTCCACGCCGAAATGCATTGTGACGTCTGCCGCACGAGAATAGAGGAGGGGGCGACACACACACGCGCAGAAACACATGCACGGACCATCAGCGACCGCCAAGGGGGACAACGGAGAGGCAACAACCTTCCGGAAACACAGCAGAGACGTGAGAAGCGGGCGGGACACGTGGGGTGAGAAGACGTGACAAATGGCGACACAAGGGGACGGTGGTGGCTAGCGCGGTGTACCTGCAACGGCGCTGAGCTCCATGCGCGAATCCAGACCCCGCCCATCAAACGCTGCTACGGGTGTTGCTGCTACGGGTGTTGCTGCTACGGGTGTTGCTGCTACCATGCCCTCATGCTGATCCATCCCCCTAGCCCACTCTTGCGCACCCATGAAACAGTCCTCATCACTCATACTTCCATCAGCCTGATTCAGAGAGAGATGGAGAGGAGGGAGGCGCGGAACAGTCAAGAAAATGGGAAAGAAGGAAAAAAAAGACCGGAAGAAGCAGACAAAAGCTACCCGAAAATAGGACAAGGCCTTTAAAAAAAACAGAAAAAGGCCCGAAAGGGAAGGAAAAGGTTTGAACAGCAGTTACTGTCGATTGAAATACCACAATACCTGGGCAAGACGCGTTTGCGCGTGCGCATGAGGAGTTGGGCGCGCGTCCAGATTCAACGATGGCGCACCACTGCGGCTGCCGCTGCTCGCCAGCCGCGCTCCGCCGCCACCAACCGCCAGCTGCGGCGGGTTGAACACTTGCATTCGCACGCGGCGCCCGGCCACCGACGCGCCGGCGACCGGCATAACGGCGCCAGCGGCGCGCACAGGCCGCGACCTCGGCCGCACCAGTGCTCTCGCGGCGGCGGCGCCCACAGGAGCGAGACCGAGATTGGAAGCGGTGGCGAGCGATGCGAAGCCTCCCCCTGCTGCTGCTGCGGCGGCGGCCCCCTGTGCTGATTTGGACTTCGCCAGCGCTGCGGCGGCCGCTGCGATGGTGGCTGCGCCGGCTGCACGCGCTGATCGCAGAGGCGCGGGCGCCACTGCTCTGAGTGCCGCTCGCGCTGCCGCACCAGGAGCGCCAGCAAGGGCAGCCGGTGCGAAACCACCGGGTGCCGCCATCGCACGCGCACCAGGCACACCCGGCGCAGCGAGAACGGCAGGAGTGGCGGGAAGAGCGACGTGGTTTTCGTAGAGGTCGTCGGCGACAAGCGCGTCTTCGAGGAAGTCGTCGATAGAGATGCCTTCGGGAAGATTCAACGCCGGCAGCTGCTCGCCCAACCACTCCTCGCCGTCCTCCATCGGTATGTTCCACTCCTCCGCCTCTGCCGCGTGGGCGGTCCCATGCTCCGCCACGTGTCCCGCCGCCGCAGCGCCCGCTTGCCACTGAATGTTCTCCCACAATCCGTCCACATCCACGTCGCTCTCCGCCTCCTGCCGCGCCGCTCCGCTCCCGGCAATCCCGCTCGCAGTAGCCGACACATCCGGCACGGCAACGGGCACAAGCAGCGCCGCGGCAGGGTCGACGGGAACGAGATCGACCTCCTCCAATCCCAGAATGTCCATCAGATTCTCCGCGCCGCCCTCCATGTGCCCCAGCTCCGTAACCGGCGGCAGCTCGAACGGGAAGTCCGGAAACCCCGGTTCCTGCGACGGCGGTCCGAACGTGCCTGGCGGGACGAATGACGCGTCTGCAGCGGGAAAAGCGGGCACGGACGGGTAAGCGGCGGCAGGGGCGTGTAGCGACTCGGGAACGACGGAGAAGCCATTCGTGCCGTCGCTGCGGGTGGAAGGTTCCTGAAAGAACGGGTGAAGGTCGGTGGTGGTAGTCAGCGCGCCTTCCGACTCCGCGTCGCTCGAGCCCGCTTCCTCCGCGCCTCCCGCAGCTCCGCTCCCCCCAAACTTTACGGGCTGTCCCGCACCACCCGCACCACCCACACCCGTCGGCGACACACCACCCAGAGTATTACCTCCTCCTCCGCCACCACCCGTCTCCCACGGCGGCTCGCTCGCAGTGGGCTGCCCGTCGTCTTGATCCATGGGCAACGGAGTATCCGCGGCGCCGGCGCTCTTGTTGAAAACGCGGCACAGCACGTAGTCCGCCGCAGGGCCGCCGCGCGACCGCGCCTCGGGCTCCAGCCGGTACTCGTGCATCACCCAGTCCGTCCGCTCGCCACGTGGCGCCCTCCCAAGGTAGAACACGAGCGTCTTCTTGATCCCAATTTGTCGTGACGTGCGCGAGCTGCGCACGGGCTTGTCCTTGCCGGTCGACTTCCAGTACCCCTTCGCCGTGGCGCGATTGGCGCGCGACCCGTGCGGGTATTTCTTGTCGCGAGCGCAGAAAAGGTACCACTCGCCGGCCTCGAGGCACGACTGGCTGGGCAGGTCCCACGGCTCGCACTTGAGAATGTCGACTTCGACGATCAGCCCGTCGTCCACGAGGCGGTTCTCCACCTTACGCTGCAGGTAGTACCCCAGCAGCTCCTCGTCCGTCGGGTGGAACCGGAACCCCGGCGGTAACCGGAACGGCGGCATCTTCTTCTACTGCTTTGTGATTATTAGTCGATGCTGAATCCAGCTACTGGAGGAGAACCTAGAAGAACGCAAGTGCGAGTTGAAAAATCGGGAAAAATAAATCGGAGAAAAAAACTATACAAATGAACTCGTACGCTCCGAAAAGAATAGTAAAAGGAGCAAAAACTCGATTATCGAGTGATCGCAAGAGGTCGTGGGAGTGCAGCAAGGAACGTTCGTCCCGCGTTGTTAGACACTCTCGTATGTGGAAAACTGACAGGATGCGGGCTGCATGCCTGGTTTTGATCTCTCTGGAGTAAGCACAGCAAATGGAAGAACCCTCAGTGACTGTTGGACCAGCTCAGGATGGCGCTGCTTGGCGGGAGGGGGATGCGCCGGGGCGGAGGACTGTGGCAGTGTAGAGCTAGCAGGAGGAAAGGGCAGGGGCACGAGGGGAGGAGGGGCACCAGGCGGGAGCTTGAGCATGAGCAGATGGGGGCGTGTTTCATCGGGAGGACAGGGGGGAGGGGAATTTCGAAGTAGAGAGCTGATTGATGCTGCGCTGAAGTAGGGAGTACGCGGAAGGATATGGGGCGAATGGGGAGAGAAAGCGCAGAGCAGAGAGGGAGAGGGGGAAGGTGACGGGAGAATGAGGGAGGTCACTTTCCAGGCAGGTGAGCCTCGCACGAGCGTGACGCCACACAGCAACAGTATTCGTCGATGTGGCCGTGCGCAAAAGGGTTTGGTCACTTTGATCTGACGGCATGCAGAGGTGGCGTGCGATGAGACATCCAACTGAATGGTGTCGATGTGTTCATGGAAGCGAAGCTCCCGCGCAGACTCTCTCATTTGCGCGAGTCTCGCAGATCAACCAAGACGCTCTAGTTCGTCCCAGGCCGTCACTGCTTTCTTGTGCTTCACGCGTCCTCGGTACGCGTCGGGCATGCTCATATATGGGAAGCACGAAAATACACTTTGAATATTAGTTCCATTCGAACCACTATGAGCATGATTGAGTTGAGACTAAGGTTTCACTTGTGAAATAACAAAAAATCATATGTTTCTTCCACAGTACAAGGCACTCCAGTATACGCGCCTCTAATATATATATTTTTAAGAAAACTTGGATAACTTGGATAGCACATACGGTATGCCCCCCTCTCAAACCCCCACCAAATTTATCTGGCTGCAGGTATCTGGCTGCTGCAGCCGGTCAACCCCACCCTGTGGCAACCGTCACTCTGTGCCACCGCACACCACCCTGCTGAATCTGCTCCTGCTTAAGCTGGAACAGCCGCTGCATCTGCACCTGCCCATGTCCCTGCTGCTGTTATGCTGCTGCTGCTGCTCTTGCTGGTGTGGGAGCAGCAGCAGCGGAAGCAACTCCGAGGTTGATTGAGCGCCAAGCGGGCAGGTACTGCTGCCAAAGGTGGCGCTGCGTGCGTGTTTTCCAAATAGCAACAGCAGCCGCAGCAGCAGCAGCATTGGCAGCAGCGTGGTGTGTCATGCGAGCCCCGTGTCCGTCCAGGTCGTCCACACTGAAATGCCTTGTGACGTCTGCTACACACAGAACAGAGGAGAGCGACACACACACACACACACACACACACACACACACACACACATACACGCGCGCGCGCACGCACACGCACACACATGCGCGCGCGCGCGCACATCCTCAACCCCTCGCACGCGCGCGCGCGCGCGCACACACACACACGCACCCACGCGTGCGCAGACACAGGCACAGCCATCAGCGACTGTCAAGGCGTAAGGGAGAAGCAAAGGCTTCTCGGAAACACAGCAGAGGCGTGGAAAAAGGTCGCAACAGATGGGATGAGAATAAGCGGCTAGAAGGCACGCGTGGACAGTGGAGGACGGTGGTGGCTAGCGCGGTGTACCTGTGACGGCGCTGAGCTCCATGTGTGAATCCAACCCCCCCCCATCAAACGCTGCTATGGATGTTGCTGCTACGGGTGTTGCTGCTACGGGTGTTGCTGCTACGGGTGTTGCTGCTACGCGTGTTGCTGCTACCATGCCCTCATGCTGATCCATCCCCCTAGCCCACTCTTGCGCACCCATGAGACAGTCCTCATCACCCACACTGCCATCGGCCTGATTCAGAGAGAGACGCAGAGGGAGGCGCGGAACAGTCAAGAAAAGGCATGAGGCGGAACGGCGGAAAGAAACAGATAAAGCCTAGAAAACGGAAAAGGTTCGAGAAGAAAATCCTCCACAATACCTCCGCGAGACGCAGCTGCGCGTGAGGCGCAGGGGGTGCGCCCAGATTCCGAGACGCTGCGCCGCTGCTCGCCAGCCGCGCACCCCCACCGCCACCCGCCAGCTGCGGCGCATTAAGCGCGTGCATGCGCCGGCTGTGCATGACGGCGCCAGCAGCGCGCACAGGCCGCGACCTCGCCCGGCCCGTTGCTCTCGCGTGGGTGCCGCCCAGGGGAGCGGCAGCGCCCTGTGCCGCTCTGGCCTTAGCCAGCCCTGCGAGGGCCGCGGTGATGGTGGTTGCGCCTGCTGCGCGCGCTGGTGGCACGGGCGCTGGTGGCACGGGCGCTGGTGGCACGGGCGCTGGTGGCACGGGCGCCGCCAGCCTTGAGGGTACTGCCGCTGCGCCCGGTGCTCTGGGCGCCGCTCGCTCTGCCACTCGGAGCGCTGCGCCAGCAAGGGCAGCAGGCGCGCAACCACCGGGTGCCGGTGCAGCAAAAGTGGCAGGAGCCGGGGGAGCGGCGGGGAGGGCGGCGTGGCTTTCGTCGATGGAAAATCCCTCCGAGAGCGGCGGCAGCTCCTCGTACACTGTACGCCACTCGTCCTCCTCTGTCTCGTGGCTCGCCCCATGCTCCGCCACATACCCCGCCGCAGACCCCCCAGCCGACACAGCTTGCCGATAAATGTTCTCCCAGAATGTGTCCAGATCCACGTCGCTCACAGGCACGACCACGGGCACACGCGGCGGGGCGGCAGGGTGGAGGCGAAGGAGGTCCATCAGCGCCGCAGCAGCCGGCTCGCTCGCAGCAGCCGGCTCGCTCGCAGCAGCCGGCTCGCTCGCAGCAGCCGGCTCGCTCGCAGCAGGCGGCTCGCTTGCAGCAGGCGGCTGGTTCTCATTGGACAAGCGGCACAGCACGTAGTCCGCCGCGGCGCCGCCGCGCGACAGCGGTGCGGGCTCCAGCCGGTACTCGTGAATCTTCCAGGCCGTCCGCTCGCCACGTGGCGCCCTCCCCAGGTGGAACACGAGCAACTTCCGAAACCCTATTTGCCGCGACGTGCGCGAGCTGCGCACGGGCTTGTCCTCGCCGGTCGACTTCCAGTACCCTCTCGGCGTGGCGCGATTCACGCGCGAGCCGTCCGGATATTTCTTCTGGAGCGTGCAGAAGAAGTACCACTTGCCGCCGGCTTCGAGGCTCGACCGGCTGGGCAGGTCCCACGGCTCGTAGCGGAGAATGTCGACCTCCGCGATGAGCTCGTGGTCGTCGTCGTCCGCGCGGCGGCCTTCCGCTGCCTCCACCTTCCGCCGCAGGTAGCCTTGGACCAGCTCCTCGTCCGTCGGGCGGAAGCCGCATCCCGGCGGTAACCGCCGCAATGCCGCCATTTTGCGATGCTAAAGCTAGCTGCTGGAAGGAGAATCTAAAAGGGCAAGTGCGTGCTGAGAACTCGAAGAGCTATGGAAGGTATTAGGTATTGAAAGAAAACTGTAGTGACTGCGAGAGATGGTGGGAGGAGCCCAACAAGGAACGTTGGTCCTTGATTGTGGAAGGAACAAGGAGACAATGCAGCTCGTGACTGAAAAACGGGGGAAATGCATGTCTGTTGATTTCTCCTGAGCAAGTGGAAGAACCCTGAGTGATGGATGGCTCATCAGTCTGATGGCGGCGCCTGGCGGGAGGAGGATGGGGCGGAGCGGAGGAATGCGGCAGCGCAGTGGCAGGTAGGTGGTAGCAGGGTGAGGTCGAGGAGACGCCAATGGGCGAGGGGCGGCGGGAAGTCGCGCAGATGGTAAGCGGAGCCATTAGGCAGGGAGGGAGGGGAGGTTCGAGCGGAGAGCTACTCGTGCGCCTCTGAGGAAGGAAGTACGCGGAGGGATCTGAGGGGGTGAACGCGCGGGGCAGAGCGAGAGGGCGGAAGCCGGCGGGAGAATGGCGGCTGATCACCTTCCTTGCATGGGACCTCGCACGAGCGCGATGCCGCAAAGCAATTGTCGACCTCTTCGATTGGTCCTTGATCTGACCAGCCCCACGGAAAGCGCGATTTTTCTCCTTTATCTTAGGGGGCCCAAAATTTCGGCGACGGCCCGAGACTTCGGAACCCGTAGTCGGCACGGCAACGGAAATGGAGGAAGTCACGAACCACCCTCGATTTGCTGTGATGTCACAAGCCACAGATGCGAAAAGGCAGCCACAATGGTGACCAAAAAGAGGTGTAACAAGCTATCTCATTAACTCGCACCATTATGTACAATTTGAGCGAACGAACGAGGATTGCACTATCGAGGCAAGAATACAATGAGCGAAGGAATGAGGAAGGAGAAGTCTAGCGTGGTAACGGTAACGCGCGAGGTGTGGGGTGCGCGACGGGCCTTGCGCTGAGGTTGGAAATTGTCGAGGCAAAGGACCGGAGCGCGGGTTACCAACTGAACTGTGAGGTTGGGCCGCGATGTGTACAGTGGCGGGAACAGTGGTCGAGGTGAGTGTCGTGAGCGGGTAACGTTTTACTGTAGGTTGCTGCTGGCGGGAACGGTCATGTACGCTGTAAGCAGGACGCGAATTAACGAATTGGGTTTTTCCTTTCACCCATCCTAGGGCCTATGTTATTAGGATTATTTTTCCCGATTCTCCTGAATTCAGGATAGGTGTGTTGGCGTTCTCCTGGAAAAACAGCATTAGGCAAAAGTTTGTCATGTGAAATCAGTATAATGGTGATTTTGCATACTCGGCACACAGGATAGCGCTGTAGGTACAGCCCTGACGAGTCAGGATAGTGTCGAGACTCGTCTTGACGCGAATACTGCTTTTTCG